TTGCCCAGCCTCTCCTGGCCAGGTCACCAACGCCACCTGCATCGCGGTTCTGGCGATCACCTCTCAGCCCTCATCTCGCTGATCCGTGAGCAGAGCTTGGGCACTGCGTCTCCCCTCCTGTGTCCATGAACTCCCGTCTTCTCGGGCCCTCACCCGGCTCTGGCCTGGGTTTCCTCCCCATTTCTGGCCACTCCTCTTCTAGCTCCATCTTGCCTTCCAGGGCCTGGACTTTCCTTCCAGGAAAGCCACTCATGCCCTCCCTTGCTAAACTTTCAATGACCTCTGTGTCACTATAGTCATCTGCCACCTGGACCTCTTTCTGAGCTTCTGGATTCCACTTTCTACTTGGCCCCTTTCTGTGGGCGTCTAACAGAAGGCTCACTCTAGTTGCTTTCCAAAGGGCCCTCACCTTCCTGCCCACTCCTGCTTAGGGCCTTGGGTTGACTGCTCCTCTACCTCAAATGCTCTTCCCAAGGCCCTTCCCTTTCTTTTCTTTGAGTTCTTTAAATCACTTTAATCACTTTTTAAAAAAAATCACACCTGTCATATTGCCTGAAGCCTTTCTTCCGATCTTTATTTTTGTTTTTTTTGGTGGTGGAGGAGGAGGTATCCTGGAGACTGAAGCCTAGGACATTCATACTGAGCTATAGTGAGACAATGTATCACTAACTAGCTAAATTGCTCAGTCTGGATTTGAATTTATAATTCTGCCTCAGCTATCCAGAGTTTGCTTTGCTCTCTACCCACTTGGCTTCATCCACATTTAGCATAACATTTATTGTACTTGTTTATATGTCTATTCCTTGTTTGCTTTTGAGAGACTATATATTTCACAATGGAAAGGATCTTTGCTCTGTTTTGTCCCCGTTGCTGTATCCCTGGCTCCCACATGTGTATAGGAGGTACTCCATGTGAATTTGTTTCGTGAATGAAAGAACACATGGATAGAAAACTGTGCCTTGTCACCCTTTCCATTTGGGGAACAAAATCATGTGAAGGGTCAGAGGTAGCATTTCAGTGTGGATGCCTGGAAGACACAAGGACAGGACTCCCAGAAAAAAGGAAGTGCAGAGAAGGAGCCGTTTGAAAGGAAAGTGAGGTCAGAGGGGACTATTTTGAGTTTGAGTGTTTTGAGAAATGTCCAATCATAGTGTTCATGAGGCTTTTGGAGATCAGGGTCTGGACAGAGGTTGGCAGCTGTTTATATGGAGGTAATGAAGGATGACGAAGAAGACAAGGAGGAGGAAGAGGAGGAGGAGGAGGAAGAGGAAGAGGAGAAGGAAGAGGAGGAGGAGGAGGAGGAAGAGGAAGAGGAGAAGGAAGAGGAGGAGGAGGAAGAGGAGGAGGAGGAAGAGGAAGAGGAGAAGGAAGAGGAGGAGGAGGAGGAGGAAGAGGAAGAGGAGAAGGAAGAGGAGGAGGAGGAAGAGAGACAAAGCTCATTAAACAACTTTCCCCAGAAAGTTTATATTTAAGGAAGGAGAGAAACTAGCAGGAGTATTTCAAGAGAAAAAGAGCAACCAGGAAAGCCATGGAAATGGAAAGCAGTTTTGAGAAGCAGTGGCCGCAGAGGCTGAACACTGCGCAATCACGGGCAGGATGTGGACTGGTGATGGCTCCTAGTGTAACGTCACAGATGGCTTGAGGATCCAGCAGGGGTGCAGTGGAAAAACTCCCAGCAGGCCACAGAGCGATACAATCAGAGCTTTCTAGAAGCAGACCAACCCACTGTGGATGGCCAGGATGGGCAGATGTGGAGAGGATGTCCTTTAGGAGGATATTATAGTGGTCAGACCCAGGAGTCCTAAAAGTAAACTTAAGGTCTGTTAGTGTCAACATTCAAGTTGTCAAGCAGGAGGGCTGGCCCAAGGTCATGGGGTCTGAGGACTTTCTGGAACCCAGTTGGGTTCTGATGCCAGCAGCGGACATTTCCCAATGCTGTGTCACTTGGCCTTCAGAGCTAATATTTGTCTCCTATTGATCGAGGATTCAGCCCGTTACTTTTTAACTGGAGCTGGGGTTCAAAGGCCTGATGGCCGCTTAAATACTCATTATGGTGGGGATAGCACATTCCTCTGATAATCTCCACTGAGGAACAAGCAAGGATCTTTTAAGTAAACAGATGGCTCAGAAGTCAAAGGGGTGGGGCTGAGTGTGGGTTGGGGTCCATGCAGGAGGCTGTAGAAGACCCCAGGGCCAGACCCTTAGAATTGACCGGAGAGCTAAATGACTAGAAATCAAACAACAAATTCCAATCTCACATTTCCTGCCATAAATGAAACCAAATATAAGTTATTACCATAACCTTTTAATAAACAAAGAAGTTTTACAAATTCAACAACATTCTGGGGCCCTGGTGAAGAATTCCTGGGAGTGGAAAATCCAGTTTTTGGTCTCTGGTCCCTGCAGACCTTCAACTCTGTTGGACAAAGGAGAGGAGTGTGCTTTCCCTAGAAGAGACCTGGAAAATCTGGTGCTTGCTTGTGGTGGGGAAAGGCTGGAAGGTGGGGGGTGGTGGGGGGCTCTGCCTTGGGGCAGCCAGGGAGGCTGTGCAGCTCCTCACTAGGTGCTGAGGCCACTGTCTCTACCCACTGTGGCAGTCACTCACATTCACAATGGATTCGGGGGCCGGAAGCAGCCCCCCCCCCAAACAAACGTCCCTACTCACTTTGTTGACACCTAAATGCCATAATGTTAAACTTTGTCGCTTTTGGCTTAAGCATCAGCGGTTGACTCTTGTTCAAAATATTTCTGGAATGGATCCTGTGTTTAGCCTATCAGTCATTTACATCTTGGTGTGATGAGATTATTGACTCTTTCCTCGGGAGTTGAGAAGGGAGGTGAGAAGGAGAGAATGGTGGGGGGGAAGCAGAGTCCTCGGTTGAATGTCGCATCTGAGCCCGATACTTGGGGCTCAGAGAACAAGCCATAGGTCTCTGAACTTCCCTGTGTGCTTTCTTGTATATACATTGATTACTAAAACACCTGTCTCTTTAGGCTGATGTGGGAGTTTATGGAAAGTAGAGTAAAATCATAAGACAGCAAACCAAAGACCCAGAAGCTTGGCAAAATGGCAACTACTCTCCCCACAGAAAATTTTCCCTGCAAAGGGATGCTGAAGATGAAGACAAAATCTTTCTCAGTGGCTGTTTGTCCTGGTGGTCTCACACCCCTCCCCTTTTCCTGTGGGTGCCAATGTAGATATGTCCCAGCATCCTCTGCAGTGTGATATGGCCATAGGGCTGGCTCCTGGCTGGTGGAGGTGGGCAGGGGTTTATTCCCTTCTCCACCTGTGGCTGGCAGAGGATCCTATCCCAGGGGATTGTGGGGCAAACAAAGAGGGTGCTGAGGTCTCTAAAGGGATGCATGGGGCAGAGAATTTTTTCTAACCCACAGAAAAATGCAGGAAATGTACCTTTACTAAGCCACTGTGACTTGGGAATTATTGATTATGGCTTTAACTTGCTCCGACTTACTTTCTTCTCTCCTCAGGGTCCTGCCCAAGGAGGAAGAGTTAGGCAGGAGGAAAGGGCCAGGAGCCAGGGACCTAGGATGCCCAAAGCATCCTCCACAGGCTGGAAGCACTGGGTACCAGCTGCCATATGTACCTGGTGTAACCTGGAAGTTTAAGGATGATTCTTGTATGTAAACCATGAAGGCTTAAGCATCCAACAAGGTCACTGAATACACTTGAAGGTGGAGATTACTTGTGAAATGGGGATACTAGTTGAATATTAAACTGACATGTCTGTTCATAATGCCGTGTGGCTTCCCTTCCACTGATTTAAATTTTAATTGCTTCAAGGTAGCAAAGTTACAAAGTAGAACTTAAAAACGTCATTTCAACAATTGCATGGTTCCGGCTGAAAATGTAGAACAGGCAAAACTAATATATGTAGAAAAATTCAGGACAGCTCTGGGATATACGGACTGACTTGGAGGACGCATCATAGAGCGTGGATGGCAATTTGGGCTCCATAGGTGTGTGTGCACCAACTTCTGTGATCACGCACTTAAGATTTGTGTATTTTCTTACACATGAATTTTACCTTAAAAGCAAATAAGCTAAATAAAAGTCTAGCCAATGATACAAATGCTGAAGTACTGGGGGTAGTACACGACGCCTACAATCTATTCTTCGAAGATTCAATAATTACGAGAGATGGCAGATATTTGGTAACAGGCAGAACAAAACTAATGTTATTAGGGTGGAATCTAGGTGGCAGGCCCAGGGTGTTTTCGTAGTCTTTCTCAACTTTTATTTGCAAGTTTTCATAATAAAATGTTAGAGGCATTGGTGTATGTGTGGGGGGTGGTCATTGCTGTGTTCTGGGACTCAAACTGACCATTTTCAGTCCCAAGGAAATAAATGGCATTGATACCAGGATTTGCCGAGGGACATGCAGTTTTTGTCCATTTTAAAATCTTTTCTGTATCAGGAGCTAAATCTAGTTGGTTCATGTTAGAGGTTTACCAAAGGCCTTGCACTCCCAAGGGCATTCTCGGCAGAGGGAAACAGGAAGAGAATGGCTGTGGGGGGGAAGGGAGACCAGGGTCTGACCTGGGGACACTGTTGTCTCTGGGGACCCTTGTCTCACCACCCTGGGCCCCTGGCAAGAGGAGAAACACCAAAGAGTGCGTAGCCCCCTCATGGTCCTCGAGCCATGGGTGGGGGCAGCAGAGCCTTTTGTCCCAAGTCCCATTGGGGAGCCTAGAGTGCGTGCTGGGAGCAGGCAGAGGGCCGACTGTGCAGAGCGAGGCTCCAGTGAGAATCCAGGCAGAGGCTGGGCCGATCAGGCTGGCCCCCAGGCCCCTGGAGGGTGGCATGGGGTACTTGAAAGCCTACCCAACAGACAGAGAAAACAACACCCAGTGTCTGCAGAGGGAGATCACCGTCTCTGCCCCCCGGCACTCACCAGAGCCCTCTACAGGAAAGGGCCTCAATGGGCGTTTGATTTATACGTTGACTATCCCCCAAGACAATTTTAAACCAGGAGACAAAATTACACTGAAAGAGCAAACCGTTGATGCCTTTTATTCTGCTCGGGAACACGGCTTGGTGCAGCAAAGGTGCCAATTCTGTGTCCATCTAATCCTGTGTCAGTGGGTGCTGGGCTCCGTAGCACAGGCTTGTCTCACCTCCTGGACAGCACTCCGCAGTTCAAGCCCTGTAGCTCACTGTTTGTACACCATACTCCGCAGGTGCTGGGTAGGGGAGCCCCCATTCCCACGAAGTTTCACTATTCCAGTATTTGGAGGTTTTACTTCAGCTTGCGGTGAAGACTGGAGGAAGTCAGCTTGGACTTTGGAGGAAGAAAAGGAGAAACCTAGAGGGAGCAGGGGAATCACTTAGGCTGAAGCGTTTTGGCTCGTGACAGTTTTCTGTAATGTCCAGTGTGATGCTTCCCAGTTGAATGTGTTTGGAGGTGGTTTGGTCTCTATAAATGGTCCTGGTGCCAAGTACCTGTACCCTCTGCCTGCCTCTCCCCACCCAAGAACCCCAGAGCTGAGGGGCTGCCAGGGCAGGTACAGGCAAGTTGACCCAGCACTGCCCCTACGGAGAGTCTCAGCCCTTTCCCTCCAACGGAACCACCTACATACTGCCTTGGCCGGGGTCACAGAGTTGTTCTGCCCATGATGGTTGGGCTGTCTCCTTCCCTTACTTGTTCAGAGAAACATCCAGTCTTGGCTGTTCCAGATCTTCATTTGGGAGAGCAAAAATGCCCTAGAAGTCCATAAGGATACAAATCAGAGCACATCCTTGTTTCTAGTCCTCTAGACCCTCGGCATTGGTCACATGTAGAGTCGAAGGGTAAGAGCCCCAGGACTCTGGTGCAAAAGAGGGAGTGGACAAGGCAAGGCCAGACTCCTTCTGGGCCACATATTCTGCAATCACAAGATTCCAGTTTGCTGAGCCCAGGATGTTGTAGGACACAATCTCTTACCCTTTTGGCATTTGGTCTGGACAAAACCAACGAGGAACTTCCTGATTTAGCAACTATCTAAAACTGCGAAGGCAAGGGTTGCTGAGAGATTGCCCCAATCTGCTTTTATTCACAAACTCGGCCAAACAGCCTGATCATTGGGCTGCCAGGGTGCCCGTCTGCCAGGCTGCCAGAGATTTGCCACTCTATGTCCCACACTTACCTCTTCAGTATCACCCAGCAATACTCTGTTCCAGTATGCTCCTTTGGTAGCTTGTTTATTGTAATCCCCAACACCCCTTCCCTACTAACTGGCAAATTGAGCCCTTTCCTCAGGGAGGAAAGAAGGTTTTCCTTCAGTAGTAGGCTGTGGTGTTGCCAAAGCTCAAGAGGAAACATGGTTCCCCTCCAGCTCTCCCAGCCCGGTTCATGGTGCCAGAAGGCAGCACTGTGGCCAGCGCAGAACTGTATGAAGCAGCCAGGCACACCTGGATGGGGAGCTTGGATTGTGCCCAGCAGTCCCAAGGCTACCAGTGGTGCCCTGCCAGAGAAGGGAGGTACTTTCCACCTACCTTGTCACTGTCACGCTCCCTCCCTATCACTTGCAACCCACTGGGACCATATCCAGGACCAGCCTGGAATTTGTAGGGGGTGGGGAAGGTGTTGACAGCAGTGTGAGGTGTTTGGAGAAGGATGTGGCAATTGGGGGGCAGGGGCACCACGAAGGCACTGGGCAGGAGGCAGTGGGGCAAATGCACCATTTTCCCAAATCCTGTCTGGGGTCAGTATTACCAAGAGGGAACCTCTGTTCTCATCCTTCTCCGTTCTTAGCAGTTTGCAGCCAAGTTTCACAATCTACTTGAAGAGTCTATGCTAGGACTTCAGCAAACTCAGGCTCAAATCTCCCCCGCCCCATCCAATTCAAACCTGTTAAAGAGAGAATCTATGGTTCCAGGTCTCTTGAAAACACACTTTTTTGGAAGTTTTCTTTCAGAGGGGAAAGTACCAAAGGGACCAGAAGGTAGTTTTTGGGCTCTCACCCCTGGGGCTTCATTGAAAGCTGTTTCTCAGGGACTAAAAAAGCTAGTCCTAGAATTTGCAGACACCCATGCTCACTGCTGACTTTCTATAGGCTTTAAAATTTTGGAAGTGCCCACTTCACTCTTGTATCTCAGTGTAGGCGAAAAGCTTAACCTAGCATTTGTATTTGCCTCTAAGCATCAACACCCAGGATTCCGAGAGGCTCTATCCACCTGGCCCTGTCCTGTTATGTCCTTGTAAGCCTGGGCAAGATGGCAGGAGCCCTAGGTGCTGTCACTAGCTTTCTGGCAAGATCATTAATTGCTCAAGGAAAAGGCTACGAGAAAGCAAGGGCTGACTACACTGTGTCCTGCAGGGAGACCACCCTGGCTGGAAGCTCCTGAGGGGATGGGCTAAGGATACGGAAAAGAGACTCAGTGCTAATGAAAAAGGGAAAACTTGCCAGGAGCCGATCTGACCGGAATGATGTGGCATGAGAAAAAAATGCCACGAGGTTTTCATGGCGAACTGGTAGAAGGCTGAGATTTTGAACATCACTTTGAGAACCGCTGTGGGTTCATTACTGAGTCCCATTAACTCTCCCACATGTTCAAGGCTGGCTGGATTAATACTGGAGAGAAAATCTGTGTTTCCAGGAATGGACCGACATGGATTATGTGGTATTATATAAAACCAGTAATTCTCAAGCTTAATAAAAAGACCAATTGGCAGATGGCTAAGAACACACATGTATCCTGTTACTATGCTTAAGCCAGTGGCCTGGGGCAGGCTATGGGGCTTTCGGCTGACATTAAGGAAACGAAGTTATAAATCTGCAGGCATTTAAGTCTCTTTGAAACAAGACAAAGAATTCATGAAAGCAGCTTTAAATCAGACAACCCATAATACCTGATGTAGAAAATGTTCCAGCTTCCACAATTCTTTATTAAATATTTGACAAGTTGCATCACTTCTTTACAATGACTTTGTTTTGTCACATTACTCTTTTGCTGTCAGAAAAACAAACTACAATTTTTCTGTAGAGCTCTCAAGAAAAAAAGCAAAAAAGGACTTGTTTTTAAACAAAACTTTTCTTGTGTGTATCAAATTCAACCATATTTTAAAGCTATTCTGATTGTGAAAATGAGCTTTACCCATAAGTTGTCTTAAAAAAAACATCAAGGTAGTTTGGTTTTGACCATTGTATCAAATAGTACTTGGCTTTGTATTAGGAGGTGGATTTACAATAAAAAGTTATGAAACATTGAGAATTTATTTGGAATGCTTGAAACTCTTTTCACCTTCAAAGTCACACTGTTTTGTTCATGTTTCATTTGATAATAGATCCTGAATTAAGAAAGGACAACAAACGAACATCTTCCTAGGGTTCTCTCAGGCTCTGAGGGTCAGAATCCTCAAGACAGAGCCTGGAGAAACCTGTAGAAGGGACAAATCTCTCACTCCCTTTTGAACCAGGTTACTCACAGAGGTGTAAAAATGCTATACAAATATATTTGGACAGCATATGCACTTACATATGTATTTATGTTACATAATAGTAAAGGAAGAACAAAGTCACGCCAAGTTACCAAGAAGGAAACTGTGACAAGCTATGTGAAATTAGTCTGAGTACAAGGATGGGCTTACAAAGGAACACGGACATCTGCTGATGGAACTCCTGGTCATGAGAAAGGCTTCTGATGCACTGATACAGGGTGAAGAGCACAGTACACTAGAGGTCGGGCATCAACAGCGATGTCCTGAGATTCCTGTTGCTACTCCTTACAAACAAAACTAACACAGAGACATGCACTTTCAACATGCTCTACTTTGAGTGTAACATCTTTGACAAAGGACAGATGTCAAATGAGAGGTTTCCTTGGAAAATTTCAAACCAACAGAAAGCTACTTCTTTCCTACAAAACATTAACACAGGCTCATGTCCTAATGCTATGGAATTTTCTCTGACACACTGCAAATACTCTGGAGTGGAGTGTGCGTATGTAAGTGTATATACACTGTTCATTAAGGCTTATATAAATTAAAAAAGTGGTCCAAAGTATATCACATTTTCTTCCTAGTTTTAAAATCTAGACTACAAAGTGGAGTCTGTAAGTTTTTGTCTTTTAACACATCTTAGTTCTGAAGTTGGCAGTTTTGACATGACTTAGGATGTACTCCAATGCCTGAACGAGACAGAGGTAGTGCATGATCTTTTGGGAGTCAGGAGCATCCCTACTGGCAAGGCAGAAAATGACATCAGACAGCATCTCCCTTGCTCTCCTGGCCACAGGGGTGAAGAGGCAGGGTGAAGGGAGAGGACAGAAAGAGCAGAGCTAGCACAGTGGGCAGGGGCTGGGGAGCCGATGACCCCAGGTTCCCTGTGTAGACTTTAAAATCTCAGATGAGAGATGCAAGACTATTAGGAAAATACAGGAGTCAACTGGCAGAAAACAAAACCAAAAACCAAAACTGGTGACTGTCACAACATTGAGAATGTTACTGCATGTGAACTCGACTTTTGACACAGCCAACTAGGGTCTGGCAAGATCAAAGAGCAATGATACAGTGCATGCCATCTATGTAACAGGCCAAGTGCAGAAAAGCACCTCAAATACTCTGCAAACTGTTTCTCAGAATCTATCACTGGGTCCCTACATGGGGGGAATAATCCACATCCAGCTGCTTTACGTCGTTTGCCACAGGAATTTAGGAAATATCTGATGTCACTGATGAATGGGCGTTAGAAACCAGGCACCTCCCATTTTTAATTTTCACAAGACTGGCTATAGACAAGGAAATGTATCAGGTGAACATGGAAAGCGGGACACACCAGCACTCAGTCTGAGCTCATCCTGTTAGAAAGGCTTCAGATTTACTCTCAGATCAACTGGGGCAAGAACGGAAGCACTCTAGAAGCCACAAGCACCCCTGTGATGCTCCAAGCCTTCCACACACAGGTGCACACTGGCTCTCACCCAGCTTCCTGCAATTGGCCTGTGACAACCACAGCTTCCGAGGGAACCAGAGAAATGGGATACCTGGGATCTCTATGGCTCAGGAGATAACAGAGACCTTGGCATGCAGAGCAGCCTGGCTGCTGGGACAAGCAGGACAGACAGCACCTCCCCCTGCCTCAGGCCGGCCTGCCAGTGTGGGGGGACCAGCCAGGGTCCAGCAACAAATGCACTTTCTCTTCTGCCACCTGCAGTTATGGCACGAAAATCACCAGGAGCGGCATTAAAATTTACACACAAGAAGACCCAGAACCATTCTAGGCAAAGACTGAAACTTTGTAAATAGTTGTGAACAGTGAACTGTTGATTTCTTTAAAAAAACTAAACCCAAATTCAGCAGTATTTAATTGTCAGTAAAACCAGAGGGCAGATTAAGGGGTCGATGAACTAAGGGTCACCCACAGTAACCCCCTTTTAAGTATTCATCAGGGTATACACTGATGATTCTTGTACATTCCTGTCTTAAAAATGATCTGAATAGTTTTTCTTTTTGTATTTTCAATATTTAGTCTAATTTGCATTTAGACAATAGTCTGATTTTTTTTTTTACAATTTATAAAACAACAGAAAATCTCAGTTATTACATGAGCATCAGATTTTTCCTCCTGCAATTACATGGTCTTTCTCAAAAACCATCAAAGTTACTTCTCAACTCAGGCTTCGGCATGATTTTTTAAAAGAAACTGACTCTGGACTATGAAAGTTACCAAAAAACTGTTATTTTGTTTTTTGCCACTGAGACATTTGTTATATTAATTGTAGGGGGGTAAAAAAATTCCCACCAAAAAAACAAAAATAAGGAGCATTTTAAAAATTATTACTTAACATCCAAGTTTTCTAATCACTACTAAATATCTTCAAGCTGGCATGAAAAGGAGCCAATACTCAGCTCTGTAGCAAGTCACCTTGTTCTAGAACCTCAGGGTTCTACACGGCCTCAGACAACTTGTCTGCAACCACGAGTGTCCACAGTTTCTTGCGTGCCGCACAGCACTGCACGAATACGACTGATTTCTTACACCAAAGTTCTTCTCACACAACAGAGACTCCGAACTCACAAACTTTTGTATTATCTATGACTGGCAAGAGACCCACTCTCCAGTGTCTCCTAACAGCACGACAGGGTCTAGGACAACACACGTGAAACAGGACAGCAGGGCTGCTGACCTCTCCTGTCTCAGGCATCTTCTCACCACAGGACAGCATTCTGCAACACAGACTGCACAGAGACCCTCAATCTTAAACCACCACAGCATGACCTCAGGGGATCAAGTCAAGTCCTTCTCACTTTTAATCTAGCATACAAGAGACACGACTCAGGCAGTACACAGCATCGAAGCATGCAACAGGTCATAGGTAACAGAAATTGGTTAGATTAAGTGTATATTAAATAAATCCTTGTAGTTGAGTAGAAATCACAAAACAACTGGAAAGGACAGGTCTGTAGGCTCAGCTTTACATTCAGGTATATACCAGCAGCCAGATTCACAACTGATAGATATTGCACCAGAAAGATGTGTGCAGGGAAAAGAAATAATCATCACATTTAATGGTCATGATAAAAAACCAAACAAAAACAAAGCCAGGTATGACCTCCAAGTGGTACATAAAGTGCCTTCAGAACGGGTGCAGTTTAGAGCAAGAACTGATCATTTAGCTACGATTAGCGAACACACAAAAAGGAGACCGAAGGGATCTGGCTTCCACAGTTTTGCGTCAAATAGTGCTGAGTTTCATTCAAAATGTCTCTACTACAAACAGCGAAAGGGGAAATATAATAAAAGGGTGTCTGTACAGCAACAGGAAGGGTTAATAATTCCTCTCATGAGAAATGATAGTCTAACCCTGCCTCGAATGTGGTATAGCACACGTAATTACTGCTAAGGAATAATGGTGTGATTCCTTTCAAGTTAACACAAATATGTCATGCTATGTTACAATTCTCTCGGCTTGTAGCTATTATCTAAATTTGTACAAAAAAGTAATATCCAGTTTATTTTCATTCTGAGTATGGAAAAAAATGATCATTATACCTAATGTTACATTTGAAATTCTCTCCAAGTTCTTGTCTGTAGAAGGTTTCTGAACAAAAATTAATTTCTAATTTTAATAAAGTAGAGGGGCAGTGTGGCAAAGTACTTCAAAAATAAAAATGTCATTGACATCAAGCTTGGTATGAAATTCAAATACCAAAAAAAATGCTCACTTTACCAAGTGCATGAGACATCTTTAATTGTAACGAAATAAAATCTGAAAATCAGTCTGAATCATTTTAAAAAGTAAACATGAATTGTAATACTATACCTGTAAAGTGATTAATTCCATTCACTGTCATTAGAAAGTATGCAAAATATTTATTAAGGGCTTTGCCTGCAGAGGCACAACATAAATAGAACAAGTCTTCCTGAAATGTAATTAGTGTACACATCAACCATTTGAGAAGTCGTGGTGAAGAGCAGGAATTCAGCTGGGACCGGCTTCCCGAGTCTGCAGGAGGGCACGGCAGGGGTGGAGGCCCGGTCTGGGAGCCATGATGCACGGCGGTGCCCGCCACCGGCTCCACAAAAGTCTTGTCAGGCAAATGCAAAAGAGCATGTGGAACTTGCCGGACGGTCATCGGCCCTGAGGAAATACACCTTAATCCACCCCTTCGAATCCTTGAGCGTTCTCCACAGCCATGAGAAGCTTCTCTCTTAAATCTTCGAAGGTTTCATATGGAGGTAAGTCAAGGCGATTAAAGCTGCAAAAGGAACAGGAGCAGGTAAAAGGTTACCATTCTGACCCTTCAGCCACACAGCCCTTCCCAGATGTGGCTGACGGGGCACTGGGTATTTGAACAAGAAATGATGAGCCTCAGCCACAATTCTGAGTACTAGGAAATAAATTCTAGCTGTGAAACTGTCCATGTCAAACAGGGTATAGACACTACAGAGGAGAGAAAAACAACTTGCTAATAGTCTACAAAACCTCTGCTATAGCCAGATGTGGATTCTAGAAAAAGCCTGGTGGGAAGGAGACACGCAGGCAAGGTAATACATGCACCCACGCAGAGAGTTCAAGCCCTGGTGCCCAGTGCTGCAGGAATTGGCAGGAGTCGAGATGTGCCTGTTTTCAATGCTATCACTTATTCTCCACTGGGCCTGAGCCACATGCCCTTCTGAGAACCAACGACCTTCACTTTCGTCACCAGCCTATGAAGCAGGCTGAGGTCACCTCCTTTGTGCAGCTAAAGATCCTGAATCAGAGAGGCAAAGTCAAGGTGCCAGGAATCCTGCTCCTAGAAATACTGCAGACCCTCCAGGGCACAGCCCTGGCTGCCTGGAGCTGTAGAATGTCAATGTTAAGTCACTTCTGCTAAGTAGAATCTGGCAAGCCAGCTCCATCTGGAGTGCAGAACTGCATTTATGAAGAGCTCTGCTATCTCAGGAGGCTTGGGTGGGGGGTGGTGCTGACACCTCACAGGTGAGCCTAAGGGCTTCATGCAAATGGATGGCCTTGGCAGGCAATCAGGTCAAGTTCACGTTCTGGTTCTGCCACTTGCCAGCCGTGTAACATTGGGCAAGTCGTCCAGGGTGGCTCATCTGTGAAAGTAGGAAGATGGCTCACAGGAGCGCTGAGTGATCAGAATTTCAGAAAATCAGAATATATGTACAGTGGGCCTGGCACACAGCAAGTGCTCAAATGACAAGTGATCAGCGGTGTTATTCATTCAAAATTCACTGATTATCCACCGTCAGTTTCTGTGGGGACACCGCTGATGGCCACAGACACCTGCCACAACTCATGATCACTTAGAAGAGGATAAGTGAGTGGAGTCAACCGGTCTTACTTCATTGGCTTCACCCACACCACTTGGGTTTGAAACAGCCCCCCTTCGAGAGGCTGATGTCAGGCTCTAGGTGTGAGAACAGTAATTCATGTTTTAAAAGCGGACTATCGACAGCAGTGCCAACGAAAAAAAACACACCTCCATGCTAAGGCCGTAACAACTCCTAAAATGTGTAACGAGTCCCCACTGAGCTCCATGCCGAAAGCCACTACATTAAAAGACAGGGTGTGCTTCTCAAAATTTTAAAACTGCAATGCTAAGAGTCCCAAAAGAAATTCTTAATTTTTTGTTTTTTTTGTATTGACAATGGTCTAAGAACAAAATTGCACCCAGTGTAAAGGCAGAACTCTACTTTTCAAACTGCACAAGAAGGAATCTTTCAGAGGCGGCTCCTGCCTTGTAAGTCAGAGGCTCACAGTCCAGGGCCTGCAATTCCTGCAGGGTCTAAAGATCCCTTAAAAAGAGGCCTACACATGATGCCAGTTTGAGAAGCAATGGTGCACAGGAGAGAAAGGGTGAATGGGGCAGGTTAAGATCTGAGGTCTGACTTGTGTTTCAGAGGGGCTGGGCCTCAGTTTTCTTATCTATAGGAATGGAGCCATCAGATAACCTACGTCTTAGAATTGTGACAATTACATGAGTCACGTCAATGTCTGGAAGGAGCAGGCATTTGGTAAATGCTTGTCACTGCTACTTCTGAAGGAACTAACTGGCTTTGGTGCACCCTTGGCAAACATGACGATCCTGAGCAGGCCACTGCCCTCAGTGGGCTTAGGCTCTCTCATTTGAAACATATGTGAGCTGAAATTAATAGTACAGCAAACGGGTCTGGGATTACTAGGGAAAGTACACCGGCACTGACTTTTCCACAACAACGAACTGAAGCTTATAAGCAATCACACACCTGATGGTTACATCTGAATACCCTAAAGAAAGGGCCAGATCTTTCAACTTTTGCTCTTCTACCAAAGCAAATTCTTAGTCTGAAGCTTAATTGTGCATTTTACATTCATGAACATCATGGAGGAAATCGCTCATCTCCTGGCTGAAGGTCACTTGAAACTGTTGCAGAGGAGTGGCCACAAAGCTCCTGTTTCTGTTCACAATATGATCGGGTCCAGCTCAGACACAAGCCATGCAGAAACGAAGAGCAGCCTGTCCATGAAGTTCTGGGGTGCTTATGACCCATTCCTACAGGGATGGCAGACTGGTCTGAGGGAGCACCTGAGGAGAGCTCCTTGCTTAATTTCTCTAACATAGAGACAGGAATATAAGCTTTGGGAAGAGTTAGTTTGATATCTTACAACCTTCCTAGGTTAACTTTTTGTCTTTTTGAAACAAGGTCTTGCTATGAAGTTCAGACTGGCCTCGAATTCATTTGGTGGACCAGGTTGCCCTCAGACTTGCAGTGGTTTCCCACCTCAGCCTTCTGAGTGCTGGGATTATAGTCATGTGACACCGTGCCTGGCCTCTAGATCTATTTTTGAAAGTTTTCTTTTTTTTTTTTGTCTTTTTCCTTTTTATCGGTACTGAGGATCGAACTCATGACTCCCTGCTTTCAAGGCAGGCGCTTATGCCGCTGAGCTAAATCCCCAGCCCCTATTTTTGAAAGTTTTCAAAAATACTTTTTTCTTTTGAAAATCCCACTGCTCAGGCCACACTACGTCCACATCTCTGGGAGCAGGACTCTAGTACAAGGGTTTTGAAAAGCTCTCCACATACCACCATGGTCAGTTACTACTGATTTCAGATTTCTCTGGGCAGTATCATGTCCTAGTCCTGGTAAAGAATGTGAGAATTCCAAAATTGAAGAAAAGTTCAACAGCAAGATATCTCTGCCCACAGGGTAACAGAGGGATGTGGGCCGAACCAGACTGGTTCTCTCTGAAGAGGATAAAGGCTGTGTCGACACAGGAGGTGTATTTGGTGCAGTGGGGAAGCGGGCAGACGATTTCTGGCAGAGTTCAAATCCTCTGATTTGGGAATCTGTGAACTCTGTGCTCCTGAGCAAGCATTCTCCTCGTCCAGGGGCATAATCAGGGTGCACTGTAAGATGAAACAGTGCCTGGCCCACAAAAGACAACTGTGTTAGGTAACTCAGGAGCTCCCTGTACCCGTCCCCATCTCTGTGGCTGAGACTGGGAGTTTTGACACCCACAGCCCTGGGCTCAGCTCTGTGCTGGCTGCCTTTCAAACTGAGGCTGTCACAGCCCAGAAGACCACACTGGGCTCTGACACTGGCTGAAATAAAAGCTCCAAACGACCAAAACATTTTCCTCCTAGAATAAAAGTGCGTAACATGGGTAACGACTGTTCTGGATATTCACCCATTTCTGGCTTTTAAAGGTCCGACAGGCAATGACCACATTCATTCCATTCAGAGAGTCATGTGAATGGCATGAATGGAAAAACCGTTTCTTTCTGGTGAGGCAAGGGGATTGTACAGAAGCAAAGAACCTTTCAGAGCCAACTTCTCACAAAGGCATTTTCGTGAGAATTTCTCCCCCAGCCCATCTGTAGCAAGGGTGTCTCTGCCACTGTAGACAGCGTGGGCTCCCTGTGTCAGCTCAGCACAGACAGTGCTGGCCTCCTGCGTGCTCCTTGCTCGTGGGAAAGCCGGGTGTGCGGTGCTCACACTGACCGGAAGACCCACTCCAGTGTTTCCTAAGGAGCAGGACCGAAAGGCCCCCTCCTCCACACACCAGGAACAAGCAACTGAGGAACACTGAGCTTAGATTAGCAAAGCGTTGCTTTAAAAAACTTACTGAGGCAGAACTGCTCAGTGCTTGGTGAACTGTATCTCTTCCAAGAAAGATCTGAGGCTTCCTTCTTCTACAAGCAGTCAAACAGGGATCTTGCGAGGGTGATGAACCCCTCTACTTTACGGTCTCAGGCCATGTGTCACATACACACCTCTACCCTTAATTCCAGGGAACTATGGGTTATTCAAAGGCATGGAAGGTATTTTAAAATTGATGTTTCTATGCAGATTGTATTCTAAATTCTAAAAACCAATTTAAGATGGAAATAAAAATCCTTATCTTGAGAGGCAGGGAGCTGCCGTGTCCACAAATGTGAAGTGGTGAAGGCTCGGCTTGCTAAAGCAGGGAAGGCAGGGCTCGGAGGAGCCCCCAACAGTGCGGAGGCTTTTAGCCCTTATGTCAAACACACTGGCCCCATTCAGATCGTGGTTGAAGTTTTGTTAGCATTTACTGTATAATTCGTGTCCTCATCTGCATCAATTTTTCACACTGAGCTATTTATGGACAGGAAGTGTAGCACTCTATACCTCGGGGCCAGTATCACACAAGGCTGAGTGTCTGAGAAACTGGTGGCTGACACTGAAGTGTTTTGTCACTCACCATGTATGAGCTCTGGGCAGTTTTTCAGGGCTGCCCCACTGCTCTATTGTAAACAGCTGAGGACCATTGGAGCCTGCGCAGAAAAGAAAAGAGACTGGTCAACAGGGCTTGAGGTGGTAAAACCAAGTGACAGCGAGACTTAAAAGGGGAGGGGGCAGAAGAGCCCCCCTGCCAGGGCAGCACTTGCAGAGTGAGTCCTGACTCCGCCTTTTGCTGTGATGCCGCATTTAATGCTGGGAGGCATGCGGTCTGCACAAGCTCACACACAGGGTCTGGCTGCCCTCGGGATGAGCAGACAAGCCCACACACATGTGGCTGCAGCCCTTCCCCTGGGTTCTGAAGGGTTATACTTAAAACCGCTTCTGGGGAAAGGTATGAAATGAGAATTTCCATACACAGAGCAGACACTGCGGTTACTTCAATCTACAGTAAGCACTGAGAAACTGTGCCTTTTGGAGGTCAGCTGTCCTCCAAGGACTACACAGGTGAGTCTGGGAGACCTGGTGCTAGAAATATAACAACCCACTAGACTAGAAAAAATAAAATAAGACAGGTCTTATGGTTCTCCCACAAAATTCTACCCATCCCTGCAGGCAGAAGCCCCGTTACATGTCTATGTGAGAACTTGTGAACCTAATGCAAGCAAGCGCTGGCCTGCAGGGGCTTCCCAGCCTGCACAGCATTCCTGGGCCACAGGTGAGGCCTGGCCAGATCTTCACTGGGGGACGGCAGAGTCTGATGCGTGCTGCTCACCGTAAAGTTCAGCGAATCCATTCATGGGTACTCGGGATGTCCCCGTGACAAACTGCAGTAACCGGATCCGCTTCTCGGCGTCCATCAACAGCACAGCCTGTGCGACAGAGGCAGAAAGCTGTTACATCCCCAGGTGCCACAGGGCACATGCCGCTGCAAGGCAGGCAGGTGAACTTAATCTGATGTACACTGTCAGGTAAGAAGACTTAGACAGAAAACTGAGTTTTTCTATGTTTGTTTTTTTAGGGCATCACAATTGCAGCTCTTTGACCATAGTGAGTGACCATCAGATCTTTTCGTCTTCTGCCAAAGGCCAAAATATGTGATACAAAAACAAGCTCTGGGATGGCACTGATCTCAGGTTTTTGTATTCAAGGCTCGTCAGCTCCTATGAAATCAATTGTAACTACACAGTGATCAGGAAGGGTCTACACAAGGGGCACCCAGGTGAGGGGATGGGATTTCCCTGAAGACAACAGTTTACAAAAAGAAGGAAAAATAGTAGCACAAACAGGTCTCTAAAACCATTTGTACATCTAACATATCTGAGTTATTACAGGAATTGAGTTGGTTTTACTGGGAATATTATTTGAACTGCTATAAAATGTATCTAAAATAAAAGCTGAGTGAGACTTGGTCTAGGATTAGAAGATTAGATGCTTTCTTTTCCCTCTGTGTATCTGCTGGCACTTGAAATACTACTAACAGACAAACAAGTTGTCTAAAGTCAAACAAGTTAGATGATTTCTTTTATTGTACTAAATAATCACTTCCCTTTTTTTGGTGTGGTGAGTTAACTTGTTTGTTTAGTTTCCTGTCTTTCCCTTGGATCAAGCAATTGCTGTTTCTCTTCTAAGATGAATAGGAAGCAAATATTGATCCTAAGACAGGAAACCATATTTTATTTGCATCTTTGGATAGGAGACATGGATCAAAATGGTTTCTGGAATTAAAAAATTGAGAATTTTTTTCTCCACAGAATGTGGCATCTTGGGGAAGCCAGCCCCAAGAGAAGTTTATGTGTGAGAAAACTCCCACTCTGATTTCCACCTTGGAGGCCTCTTCTACTACTCTGGAAGCCAATGAACTCCTTTGTAAGAATCACCTTTCTCAGTGGGTTCTGCAAATAGAGGTCACTTTAACCAGGTGCTCAAGGATGGACCACATGTTTATGTTAAGAGTCAACCTCACTCAAGTTTCACGGGGCAAACTGCCGAGGCTCGGTTTCTCTCTTCCCTCTCCACAGTCCAAGCATGAGCAGGCCCCCATTTCAACATCAGTTGAAAGCAAGGTTGATGAAGGCACTGCAGAGCTTTGGCTCTGACTCAGGCGAGGAGCCTGAAGCTGGGCTGGGCTAGAGGTGCTGGAGTTACCTTCCAGAACCACTGAATGACGGGGTGATTCGGGCAGTAGCCATTCTTGTAAATAGAATGCTGTCTCCAGTCGTTCACGTCAACATCACCGAGGCCACACATCAGTAACTAGGAAGAAGATTTACCAGATATACATGAGGTAGGAATTGAAAGCACAAGAAATCAGACACCGAGAAATCAGTTTTCCTCAAAGCTGGCAGTTTGTCATTCTGCAAAGAAGCTAAGTCAGCAATTCATGAAAACCAACGACTGTGGACTCATGTCCCAAACATTTCCTGACACCTCAGATCACAGAAATGTGAGAGTGATTTAATACTAACCCCTGTAAAAACCATGACATTTCATACTGGGACACAGAGACTCTGGATCAGTCATATTCCTAGCTCTCAATCTAGGTGCAGTGTTCAGGGATGTCTACGCCCTGTTGGAATGTGCATGCTACATGTGTTTTCTCTGAGAATTTTCTCTACCTACAAGGGAATTACTACTTATGACAGTAAGAACTCATCTCTCCCAGATGGTTTGGTTCAAGTGATGACAAGATTTCATTCTTCTGGAGACCTGTGGACTGCAGACATCATTAACACAGTAATAAGCTTCCTAAATTACTTACTCTAAGGTTTGCTTGTCTTATTATGCAACTCTCCAGGAAAGGTTGCCTGTGCACAAATGCATATGATATTCCTAATAGAGGGAACAGAGTAACACAGAGGAACAGTACTTGAAGCCTGAAAACAGGGTTCCAAGGCCTAAAAAGCCTTGTGGGAGTCAACATGAGAGGCTGTCTGAGTGATTCCATCAGCAAAACACAGGGATTTCTGACACCATCTATCTCAGTTTCCTTTTTAAGATAAACTGTACAGAAACTTGGTCTATGAGAAATGGTCTACTACATGTGGCTTGGACAAATGGCCAACTACTGCCACCAGCTTGTTGACAGACACAGCCTCCTTCATTTTCCTATATTTCTTGTTACAAACAAACAGTGTTCCTCTAGTTCTCATGCTGCAATTCTTCATCTGTATCAATACCAACAAGCTATGGTGCAAACCTTCCGCTACTCTGTTGCCTTCTGATGTCAACATAAACTACTTCAGAGCCAATGAGACATCAAGTCAGCAGCCCCCAGTAGATGTTTACAATCACCTCTAGCCAAGTTCCTCTGGGCTGCCACTGTGGAGGTGGAGTGCAGCAGGGTCCTTGGCTCCTGTGCTTGCAAACAGGGTGCTGCCACACCCTTGGCCCAACCAGATGCAGCTGCTTCCCTCACCTGAGGCACAGAGCCACAAAGCCAAGGCGGCTCAGCGGGCATGCCCAACTGCCCTCGAATGTACAGGGAATCTTGGGGTGACTGCCTTTGCTATTCCTTACTTCTAAATCAGAAAATAAACTCCAAAGCACACAATTCATCTAAACTATCTCAGTAGGATTAGAAAATGTTACATAGATTATAGATTACAGATTAGAAAATGTTAAATATAGATTATAGATTAGAAAATGTTAAAACATCATTTGTACAGTAATGAGAAAACTTTTAAAAAGTCTACCTTGATGGCATGGACAGCTATTTCAAAAATAATAAAATGTATTATAGTAGCCATTTTGACTTCCTATTATCTTGTTTTGACTTCCTATTATCTGTATTGCTTTACTTGGTTTTTTTGGATTGGTTTTACTATGTCTGATGGTATGGGCAGCTATTTTGAAGATAATAAGAGGCATTATAGTAGCCATTATTGATTTACTTTTATCTTGTTTTGAAGCTTTGTATCATGTTATTTTGTTGTTTGATTTTTATAATGTCTGATGTTATAAACAGCTACTTTGAAGATAACAAGATGCATTATGGTAGCCACGGTTGTATTCCTATTGTCTTGTTCTGAAGTCCTGTATTGCTTTCATTGTTTTGTTTTGATTGGTTTTATTCTATTTTGTTTAATTTTATTGTGCCTGATGATATAAGAAGCTTTTTTGAAGATAGCAAGAGGCATCATGGTAGCCAAAGGTAACCATGTTGGTTTCCTTTCATCTTGTTTTGAAGTCTTATGTTCATTGTTTTGCTTTGATTCTCTCTATTCTATTTTCTTTCGTTTTTATTCTTTTCAAAATAAAAAATTTAAAATCTACTTTACATAAAATATTATTTATAATACAAACCTCCAGCTCATTTTCATCAAAAATTTTAATCAAATCAATAGGAAGCAGTTCCGTGAATCCCTGAAAAGACAAATAAAAAAAATCACCTTAAATTTTTCCTTGGCAAAATGAATTTTACATGAGATTATTTTGATTTTCCAGATGAAATATACTCTTTATTGATGGTTCACATATCATTGACAGTACCAAATAATGGTAATCCCAATAACTACAGTCAAATATGGAAATTTTGAAAAATTATGAAATCTAGAGGGTTCAGAAACTTGAGTAATATTTGAAACTGTGACAATACGAATCTTGTGGGCAGGTGGTTTCAGAAAGTCACATATGACACACTATTGTGAGTCACTGTGTCCTAAAAATGCACAGACCACAGATGTGCAAGAGACACATTTAAAAATAACACGCTGAAGGCTCAGGATGAGGCACAGGAGGAGGAGGTGTGATGCAGTCCAGGAGACAGAGGAGTGTGGAAGCCTAGCTCCAGGTCCCAGGCTGCCACCAGCCAGTGAAGTGGTCCAAGATGAGACACCCAAGGCCTCTGCACCGGAGCCAGATTCCCAACTGAGAGCTGCTGGTGGTGGGGCCCAGGAACCTGAGCTCTGGGCTTTTTAAAAAATCTAAATCAAGAATGAAAGTGCCCTTGTCCAGTTAGCCTTACATTTTATGTCCCCAGGACCCTGAATCTTTTGAGCACTGTGCCGGGCGTGCTTATTTCACGGATATATAACTGAGCTGGAATAAGTTCTAGAGTGCTATCAGACAGGAGCTCTGTGTCTGTTTAATGGAAATTAACAGTGTGGACTTGCGGCTTTTTCCTGTTACCTTTTAAATTACTGATTCAGTATCAGACTTCAAAAGGATTTCACTTTTGTTCAGTGTGACATGCTTTCTGAAGTGATTTTTCCTCATCCTTTGCAAGGTGTGCCAGCCTTGGAAGGAGCCTGGTAGTGTTGCATCCTGCTTCCCAGGGTGGAAGCTGGCTCAGGTGGCTAGCTGACAAAATGTGCTTTTTCATATAGTTACACAAGAGAAAAATCTGTGGGGAATCTTAAGACAGCTATGAAGAAAAGGCCTGTCACTGGGGCAGGCAGTATCCCCAATGGGATGGACTATTGGGAAACTCCCAAAGACCCTGGTGTCACAGCAGAAGTCTGCCTTCTCTGGGTATCACCTGGAACTCCACTTGACAGCTCTAGATCAAGTGTGTAAAGTCCCCCTTAAACACTGAACACTCTTGACCTGCAGAGGTTTCAGCAGTGTGAGCTGGGTCGTGCTGGCTTCCTCCATGGGTCTCCCCACCCCCGGAGGGGGCTCAGATGCTGGGTCATCTCCAACACACCACCCACAGGAGGCCTGCGAGCTCTCCTCAACCCAGGGCCCGAGTCACTAGGCAGAGACCCCAGCAGCACTCACCTCCAAAAAGGCGTTCATTTGCTTCTGGACTCTGTTCACAAACCTCCACTGGATGACTAAGCTGCAGGAGAAAAGGGGACATGCTTAAGCACCCCCACTGTCACCAGGACTCACTGATTTCTGCACAATAGGAACTGCTGCTCTCCAGGAAGGGGAAAGGAGAGAAGCCCCTTCAATAGTAGAACAAAGGGCAGTGTAGGCACTGCCGATTCAGGAATTCTTTCAATACCCAGTGGAGTCTCTACGAGGTCATAAGTATTCTGCCCCCTACCCATCAAGCCTCAGTTGATCAAAGTGCTTTATAGATGTAACTACTTGAAGACAACAGAAAAAGCCATGGGTTTGAGTGCACAGATGTGTGTGCATAAAAGATACCCACATGTATGTGTAACTATGTGCAAGTATTTGTAAAGAGAGTTCCTGGTACATTGAGTATTATGTACATTAGTGTGTTAATGCCAAAATTTGGTTGATGAATGGCTAAGACTCTAAAAGTAACTGACATTCACTGAAACCATTTTCTCTGCCACAGTGTTTGGTGCAGAGCAGAAACAACTGCAAGGCAAATCTATGAGGACTTCATCGAAGACGCTTTGTCTTCATAAAGGGCTTTTGTGCCAGAGGCACCACCACAGCAACATCCCCCACGAGCAGCCCACAGCACTCCCCGCTCAGCCATATCAGACAGCTCTGTGGGTCTGTGGATCGGCCCACGGCCACTCTTCCAGCACTCCAGGAGCACACGAGCCAGGGAGTACTTGGAGATTGCAAACCCATTTTTTCCAGTGAAGCTAGCTGAAACCCTGTCTCGTCCTGGCCTTCAGCAAATTTGAACCCCGAAATAATTAACTGCAAAGAGTGACGTGCAGCACATGTCAAATTCCTCAGGCATCAGACCTTAGTCACTCTGTGCTGCAGCCTTTTAAAGCAACTATTCACCATCTCTACTTTCCAAGTGATGACAGTATTGTCTGCTAAAATAATTCAAGGTCGGAACAAGGACACCAATTAGCATGGACAGGTAAGAACTGTAGTATCTTACTTCCAGATTACTTATTAAGCATGAACAAGCTTCTGACTTGAGAGTGGGAAAGGACTGTTGTATGCTAGCTTCATTCTTCCTCAGGGGCTCCATTTCTTCCTAATTAGGAAGGACAGGTCTTCTTTGCACATCATACTAAAAGATGCTGAGATTCTCAGCCAATTCTCAATTCTAGCCCGCTGACCAATTTAAAATAAGGAGGAAAACACTGCTTGTTGAAATGGAGTGTTGAGAGCAAACAAGCTCAGGGTACTGCTATAGGCCGTAATAAATGCAGAAATTAGGACCCCAGAATCAAGCCCTGCGGCACTTCTCTCCTGCCTAAGCCAAGGACAGGCTAGCAAAGGCAAACATGGCTATCCTTGGAAGAGCTCAGAATTGTGTCTGAATACACAGACATATCAAAGGTAAAAATATAATGTACCCAAGCAAGAAAAACCTCCTGCATGGTATAAACATCCTAGGATTATTTACAAGCTAGACTCAGCATTTTGTTCCACTAAATGAGGCTGAGCTTGGATTATGTAAACTGCAAACAGCAGAAACAACTCATTGTGTTTGCACATGCTAAATTCTTTCTCGGTTTTAACTCTGAGGTTTTCATTACAGAGAAATAGGAGGAAGGAAAAATATTTTGCCTTTGATAGTTCTTAATTTTATCACACTGCTCTGTGACACCGTGTTACACTGTTACAATTTAAACTTTAGATGAGATGGCCGCATATTCCTAAAGGGTAGCTCCCAGTGTTACTGGATCCCATACATCTCTTCCTTACTCCCCTCCTTGACAGGGTAGCTCACAGTAGTGAACACACAGTGCAGTCCACATTCAACTTCCCATTAGTCTAGGCTAAAAAAGAACTCACATTGCTGAAGACTGGCCCGTGTAGTCATGGTCACAGTGCTCATGAGCTGTCCTGGCAAGGAATGCCAACCCAGTGTGCTGCTCAATTTATTAAAAGAGAAGGTTGTAAATACATGTATACGTACTCAATATATTCCCTTTTATTTTCATTTGTCACCATTATTTCTGATCCATTGGGCTTTAAATCCACTTGATATGTCTACAAATATAAAGAAAAAAAATCACTATCATGGAGTTATTTTGCATATTATTGAATAAGGTCTTAGCAAAGGTAAGTAGTATTTGTTCAAAAGTAGTTGTCCAGAAAATAGGCTCTGTGTACAGTAGAATGTCTAATGAAGTTTTAAGTTGTTAAAATGTCACATATTTAAAGATATTATCATTAAATAAAAATTATTCTATGGTTATTTGTAAGTTTTAATTATATTTCATATAGTAGCAACAATGGAGAATAATATTTTTTTAACATGTAGTTCATTTACCAATTAATTATGTTTACCATACAAAACAATAAAACAATCAAGACTACAGAGATACAAATTCAAATGCATTTTGCTTCTGGAAGTTGAATTTTATAGTCATAATTGTAAGATGCATGGATTTTCTTTCAAACAGGCATGACACAGGACCTTAAAAGAAAGAAAGAAAGAAAGAAAGAAAGAAAGAAAGAACAAAAGAGAAAAGCAAAGCTTAAGCATCAGGCATAGTAGTAGGTGCCTGTAATTCCAGCTGTTTAACAGGTCATGGCAGGAGGATCACAAGTTTAAGGGCAGTTTGGCACTTGAGTGAGGACCTGTATTAAACTTAAAATTTAAAATATGGCTGGGAATATAGTTCAGTGGTAGAGTGCATTGCCTACTAGTATTTGTGAGGCCCTGGCCTTGATCTCCAGTATTGAGGGGAAAGGAAAAAAAAAAAAGAAGAATAAAAGAAACTTACGAAGCCAGATTGAAGAAATTTATCTGCATGGGGCCACTTTTTCCTCTGTCTGTCCTTGATACTACTCTTCCTTAGAGCAAATCTTGATCACAAAGGAACAGAGTTGCTGACCCCAGACTACCATCTTCCCCAGAGCCCTAGATCTGGCAAGATGCCTAAGGGGAAGCGTATTATTTGTGGAAAAGAATTCTCTACAGCCCAACTTCCCTGCTGTAAGACACATGGATATTTTGGTGGGATCCCCTCTGGAGTCCACAAGTTTGTATTGCCCAGTAAACCAAGAGCTAGAGTTCTATGTATAATGACGGCACACACTCTAATTGGTAATGCGATCTATGCTCCAGCAAAGTTCCCCTAGGAATTCCTTCCTCCATATTCTATGCACATAAAGGACATGGGCTCCTGGCCTGAACACTCAGTCTCATTGCTTCAAGTGTTTGTTCAACCTTCCAGCTTCTCACTCCTGTTCACAACGAGGTAGTTTACTCAACCACACTGATTCCCCATCTGGCCCTTTTGCATGTTCTTTTTCTTTCCATTTGGGAGAGTATCTTGTCTCTGCAGTATTTCCTTCAAACACTTCCTCATGGCTCCATTTCCTCCATTGGTGGATAACTTCTCCTGCCCTGGAGAGTCAGATTACTGCTGGTGGATGTGAACAGTTTTTGCTTGGGTAGTGGGGTAGAGATGTTTCATGTCTCTCGTAGCAGCTTTTAATAATCTCTGTACTGGCCCCCCATTCCTCTTCCAAGATTACCCTGGGATTCTTTTCATTAATGGAGATTTTCTCTTTGTTCTATACCACCGATGAGTTAATAATGCCAGATCACCTCCTGGCACTGAGCAGGCTCCTGGTGCTCAGCTAGTCTAAGATAGGAGCCCCTCTGCCCAGCTCTCATATTACAGGGAGGGGGAGTAAGCAGTACTCATAATCCCTGCAGGATACCCCGGCCAGGGCCACTCTTCCCCCTCCTGTTTTCCCCTATCTGCTTACAGGGCTTCCTCCCCAGGTATCCTCTAGGAGTTGTCAATTTCAGAACTACTGAATAAAGGTCCATCTGCAGACAGGAGGGAAGGAGTCCCCGTGAGGCTGCCAAGACAGCTCTAACCAATGCACTCAGGTCCAGTGCAGCCAGCACATGGAGACAGAGGGTTTCTGCCAGCACTGCTGGTATGTCTCACTGCTTCTATTGTTCTGGAAGACAATTTGGCAATGAATAGTCATCATTGTTTTCCTGTACACATATTCCTTCACATAACTTCTCTTTTAGAATTTATATCAAGGAAGAAAAAGTAGCCAACTATGCAAAATGTATACTTCAGTATTATATGCTATCTATATTTATATCCTATATATATCAATATTCTAGAATTATATTAACATAGTGAACATGGAAGTAGACTACATGCCCCACAAATAAGGTAAATATATATAGTATATATCTAAAAAAATGGAATTCAGTGTGCCATGAAACAGTACAGATTGTTACTTACTGACATGGGAAAGTATGTGATGTATTATGAACACTATGCATAGTACGATTCTGTTTCCATTCAAATAAAAATAAAACTTGCATCTGTGTGCATCCAAAGAATAGTTCTATTAGATATAATTTTTGTGTATGTGTGGTCCTGGGGATTGAAACTAGGATCTTTGCACTGAAATACATTCTCAATATTTTTTAAATTTTGAAACAAGATCTCAGTAAGTCACTAAATTGCCCTTGTTTGGCTCAATCGTGCAAGTCTCCTACCTCACCTTCCCTGAATACAGGCATTACTGGTATGCACCACTATACCTAGATCAAAATTTTAATTTTGGTTTTTCTTGAGATAGCAGGAATAGATGAAATACTGAAATTTTTAGTATTTTTATTATACTGTTTTTATTTTAATAACTAAAGTTAATTTTTTATAATTACTGCTAAAATGCTAAAAATGTTTTTGAAAGCAAAAAAAAAAAAAAAAAAAAAAAAAAAAGAAAGAAAGAAAAGGGACCTGACCATCCATGCTAACTAAGGAGGACACAAGTATGAAGAGGCTGCATGGCTGATGTGGACCAGCTTCCTTCACCAGTAGGTGGGTGCTCAGGGACAGGAGTAGGCTTGCCGAGGAAGTCAGCTCCAGGGCTCCTCTGTCCCTAGGCCATTATGTTGGGGTGAGTCCCCCAGGTCCCTGCAGTAGACTTCTCAGTCATGCTGTCAGAGGTGCTGAGTTTCTATCCTTCTTGGGTTTTCCAGAGAGGACATTTTAGTGGGAGCAATGACAGGTGTTCAAATTCTACTTTTTCACCTAGCTGCCAAGACTGCTTCCTGTGGTGCAGATGCATTGTTAGGGCAGGCACAGGTCAGATTGCTGAATGACTCCCTTAGGAAGGCACCATCACAGTGAGTTTGGGTGAAAGCAGGCAGTTGGATGCAAAAGCCTTAGTTTATGGGTCTGCAAAGCTGACTCTATGCTCGCTTCTCTGGCACCTTCCAATCCTTCTGGGCATCTTGCTCAGTGATAGCCTTGTGTTTCCATTTTCCCTATACTTCATACTTCCTCATTTTGGACTCTACTGCCTCCAGGGAGAAGGACAAAATAGCACCAGGGCTGCAAGCTCTGCAAGCTCAATAGGCTCGAAGGCGCCAGCAGCCTATTGCTGAGAAGGGAGAAGCCAGAGGGCAACTGTTGGGCTTCTCCTGATCATATCCTGCAGGTAGGGTGTGCATGGCACACAGAGGAGAAGAAAAAACCTTGGCAGGTAACCTTTCTGATCAAGGATATGCAGATGGAACGGGTGGGGGAGCATAGATGTCCTTCCTCCAGGGAAATAGTCCTTACCCCTTCGTGTGGGTGGATTTCTGCCATCCTCATCGGGTTCCCCACTACACTAAATACATCCTTCTGCCCTAGCACTGGCTTTCTAGGGATCATCATCATTTTCTTGGGTCCCCAAAATGCTACGTGACACTAACATAGTGTTGGCACACATTAGGTGTTCAATAAATACTAATGGAAAAAAGACCCTACAGATAGGAAGAGTCCTATTTTTAAAGTCCAGTATCCTGAGCATAATCTTCTCACTGTTCCTCATAATGATGGGAGGCAACCCAAGGGCAGATCCTCACAGAGCTAGAATTCCCCTCTTGCAAGTTAAGAGCTCTGGGTGCAGCACAGATCCCTGCCCTTCCACAGGTGCTTTACCCAATGTTTGCATGCTTAGCTGACGCTGTGGATCATACTGAGCACATGGGACTTGGGCAAAGAAGGCTGATTTGCTTCTGTGACTGCATTTCTGGGTGCTAAGCATTAAATGCTGGCCCCTATGAGGTAGCCACTGACCTCCCCAGCCTTGTCTCTCACCAGGCTGACTTCCTCTCCCCAGTCTTCCCCAGAACGACAGCAAAGCTGTGGCAAGGACAGCACTGGGGCTTCCAGGTCATCTTTTGCATTTTAACTTCCAATTCTTCAGCTGCCATCTGTCTGTTCCTGGAGTGACCTTGAGCACCATGATCACCTCTATTCCTTGTCCTGGTTCTCCTTAGCCCTCTTCTTCCTGTATACTACCAGTTTCTGCCTTTTGACCAACTCCTTCCCCCAACCTTTTTATTCTTTCCATTATAGTTCCCTAAGGAGCCCTTGTCTGATAGCCCCTCTCCCATGGGCCCTGCTTAACTTAGCTGGCCCTGTCCTAAAGAATTTCCAGACTTGATGGCTCACATGTAGGACCTCTCCAATCCACCTCATCGAACCTGCTTTGCCCAATGTGAAGGGAGGAATATTTTGTTCTGCTCTAACTGACCCTTTCCTTGGTGTGCCCTTGCCTGTGTGTGCGTGCGTGTGTGTGTGTGTGTGTGTGTGTGTGTGTGTGTGTGTGTATAAGTACATGGGTACACAGCCATGATTCCTGCTCAGCACCTGAACCTTCTCCACTGGACACACTCACAGCAGACTCCAGAAATGAGAAGCTCTAGATTCTCACTGAGCAGGAAGAAAACAATTCATACAACAGCAACAGCTGCAGCTGTGTAACAGGAAGCAAAAGCCACCACACTTCACGGTCTGCTGCTTGTAACTATGAAATGAGACGGGTTACAGCACAAAATACTGTGGAAAGCCAAGTGCACATCCATCTCGCTGTGCCCATGGTGCTGGCTCTGCTCCTCTGAGGAGAGGACTTTTAGTTGGCATCTGGGGTCACTGGCCCATACTGGATTAGAACCAACTGTGCAGCATGGTCAATGCTCTGCAGAGGGCTGAGAGGCTTGGACAGGTATCCTGCCAAGGCTCCCAGTTTTGATTCAAAACCATTATCTGAATGCTGCTAGCCATGTGCCAGGAACCATGCTAGTGGTAAGTGTTGATGATGAGCCAATGGCAGGCACATTGCTGCTGTCACTGAGACAAAGTCTGGTGGAGACAGATACATACTTGGACAAATAAAACCAAAGTACCCCATAGTAATGGTATTAGGAAGACATGGAAGGGAACTCTGAAGTACAGTGGCACTTTGGTGCTTGTTAATTGATCGTGGGAGGTGGGATGAATCCTACATACAGCAGGCACTGAACAAATTGTATTGGCTGGAAGGGGTAGTTGCATTAGGAGGCAACTGGCACTGGCAAGTTCTCGCTTGCAAGTTGAGTGCCAAATCACTGTCGAGTATCAAACAAGTTGCAGGCCCTGGGACAAAATTTTCATGTCAAAATGCACTGAGTACCAAATTCAATGAGTTTCAAAGCAGTTGAGTACCAAAGCATGACTGGCCAAGTGCTGACTTCCTAGAGGAAGGGATGTCTGAACTCAGGTTAGAGGAATCTGTTTCAAACAGAAGAGATAGCATGAACCAAAGTCCTGAGGCAGGAAGAAACTTAATAAGTTCCTGAAGGCCAACAAGGCTGACCTACATAGCTTGAGGAGCAAATCTATGGTGCAAAAACAAATCCAGAGGAGAAAAAATGGGGCAGGCCATACAGCAGCTCACAGGAAATACTAAGGATCTAGATTTTTACCACACGGGCATTGGGAAGCCCCTGAGAGTTTCTAGCAGAAAAATGAAATGAAATGATCTCTGTGCCATAACAAGAACCAAAGAAGATACAAAGAGACCCATGAGCTATGAGAGAGAGCTAGGGGAGCTGGGAGAGAAGGCGGTAGCTTGCACTTGGGGGTTGGCAGCGGAACAGAGAGGGAAACAAACATATGTGAGGACTATCTGGGAGGTACTGGGAATAGGGTTCACGGAGGAGTGGACAGGAAAAAAGAGATTCACAAACAATTCTTTCCACAATCCTGATCACAAACCAAATTGGATGAGAACAGAATCAAGATTTCTCCAAAATGTCAACATTAAACCTAACCACTGAATTTCATTTGGTTCTCACCCAAATTCAGTTTGCAACCAGTCATGCAGAGAATCAAGTTCATGAACTGAGGCACCACTGTAGGTGGTTGCTAATTTGCTTTAAATTCCTGCCAGTCCGTGAAGTGGACACATTAGTATCTTGTTCATCAGGCTAGGGAAGAGAGGAATTTAACAAATCAAGCACCTAATCACCTCTCTCATTTCCTGGATCTACACTGATTACATCAGTCTGACCCTACTCCAGAGTCAGAAAAGTTCATGGCATTAAATAAGGAGATTTGAGAATGGTTATGATGATTAGCATCAACTAGAATGATAAACAGAATCTTTAGTAGAAGTCTACTTAAAAATCGAACATCTTGAGTTTGGTTTTTATTTATTAGGTGAAGGTAATCACCTTTAATTGTAAATACAGAAGGTTTCCCAGTTTAATTGTTTCTACTGTTGCCACTATTAACAGATTCTGAGCTGTGTTGAGTTGGTCAAATGGTTTTCTATTGGTGGGCATACAAAGAGGCTTTTTTTGTGCATTTGACATGCAAGGTTTATCTTGCTTCTTTTTTGGTTCTTTATTTCTAATCCTTCCTATGTGTGTAGAAAATGAAGAGATGCATTGCTCCAGGAGACTATGTGTTGTCTTTTGAAAACTGTCAATTAATTATGTCAACAGGTCTAGTTTAAAAAAAGCAAGTCACTAAAATACAATTCATTTTGTTTCCTCACAGGACATCTATCACCTACAGTATTAGTCACATTTTTTTTTTAAAGCTAGGTTAGCACCACTTATCCATTTGCTCAGTAGGCAACTGCCTGCTAACCAGTGAAACATGAATTAGCCCTCAAGGGACTTACGGTGTACAGTAAGTCAGACGAAGAGCAGAGTTTACATATGGGGACACACGGTTACGGGACATTAGAAAACGGGATGGGAAGAGCACCAGAATATGAAAGATGGAGCCAGGAGGATGTTAGAGCAATTCAGCCCAGACCAGAAACAAGCAGGATCTGGCTAAGGACCGGCACAGACAGGAGGGCTAACAAGGACACGAGGACCTATTGGACACAGGACAGTGAGCGTGATGCAGCGTCAGATTCCCAGACGAGGCCCATGTTTCATGGATGAGACAAGATAGAGGTGGGGTTGGAGAGGAGGAAAGGGCTGGAGCCCTGGGAGTCCTGAGCCTCGCTGACAGAGTGCTTGAGGAGGCGGTCAAAGCCGGGACCAGGCATGAGATTAAGAAAAGGAGCTGACGGCCAGACAGAGGCCGTTGGTGCCTTGGGTGGGGACACGAAGACAGCAGGCAGAAGACAAAGGCAGAAGGACGCCAGTGTTAGTCAGGTCACCAGAGAAAGCAGGTCTTTTAAGGAATCTGAAAATCAAGAATAAGAGGGAAGAAAGAAGGCAGGCAGGCAGGCAGGCAGGAAGGAAGGAAGGAAAGAAGGAAGGGAGGTAGGCAGGCAGGCAGGCAGGAAAGGCCAAAGCACTGTGACTCCCCACACTTCTGAGCGTGCAGTGAGCACCAAGGGCAGAGGAAGAAGGGGGCTGACAGCGGGGAGGCACTGGGACTCCGCTTGGACTTGAGTGGGTGGGGAAAGCCCCTTCCCGCTCATCACACTGGCCCAGGCAGGAGGGTGATGTGCACTGTCTGAAAGGATGAAGACAAGATTCCGAAGGCATTCCCTGGTCATCCACATAGAGTCAAGGTCTCTCTGCCTCGATCCTTGAGGTTCTTCTATAAACGTTGTTGTTAATCAAATGGGAAGGATGGTACAGATTTCCTGAGATCTACCCACTCCAAGAATGCACTCAGTGGCTGGCTTCCTGGCTCTATAATGTGACATGGGGGCAAGAAGTAACCTTGACATTTACACAATCATTTTCTTGATATGTAATTTGTGCTCTTACATGTATTAGTTCTTTATGTCTAGCTGTATACAAGTCTTTTCTCTGAGAATCTGTTAAGATTTTCCCCCAAGAGGGTATGGACTTGATTTCATGACTTTAAGGATGAAACTGAGTCATGAACACATTTTTCAACAGTAGAATATACTTTGAATAATTGCTGCAGTAATAAAGAACAAATCTATTTCATTTTTCATTTAGTAACCCTTAAAAATGGGCTCTATGTCCTAGTTAATTTTAAGACCATGTTGACTTGTTCTAAGAGGTGGGAAATAACTGAGCTTTTGCAAATGTACTGGGATCACAGAATACCTTTAGAATACTTCCCAAGAAGCATTATTACTGAGGGAATCAATGAATCCAAGATGTCAGATTTTAGACAAACATACTCAATGACTTATAGTATGAAGATGAAAAATTCCAAAGAGGTAACTTTAAAAGGGACTTTATGATAAATCCATCCTGAATAGGTAGTGTGGGGATAGAGTAAGAAGGAACACCAGAAAAACTTGAGTTGTAAGACACAAATTTCTCCATGACAACAAAACAATAAAACAGAGAAAAAAATGCCCAGTGCCCCTGGAACATCACCCACTATTGGTCTCACACCCACAATGCTCAGTAAACGATCACACAAATTTCTTAATTCTAAAGCCAACCACCACATTTGGCTTGGCACTCATCTAGGAGCTCTAAGTTCATGCCCCAGAGCCTCTGAGGCTTTCCACAACTTCTGGGAGAGGGAAAGGGTTGTGTCTGGGACTTGGCTTCCTGCAAGACAGCAAGGTACTGCTACAATGAGATGGTGATGATGATCACCTAAAGCACCTGACAGCTCTTCTTAATCATTTAGCTGTGCCATGGTCTATCCCACAGGAATGCTCTTTGAAAGCCAAAGAGCTAATGGAGTTGGCTGCACATACCTGCCCAAAGTTTTCTTCATCTATGCAGAACATGAGGTCCAGTTCAGTAGGGTCATTTTCTAAGATCCATTTCAAAGAGTTATAGTATTCACTATCCTACAGAAATGATATAGAAAGTAAGATTAAGCATTAAAAAAATTCAGGTGACTCCTTTAAATAATTAGGCCCTTTTAATGTAATTCTGCTCACAATGCTCAAGAACTGCATTACTCACTAATTTAATAATGCCTGCTCCACCCCAAACCACTTGCTATTATGTCAACCATAAACAAAAGCCTTCAGGAGTGACAGGGGTTTGTAATGGACCATGGAGCAGGTGGGAGCCACCTGTTCTGGAGCACAGTCACATCTGCCAGACTATCCAGGTCTACAGAATTAACATGCACAAACTAATGTACTTCTTGTATTTTATGAGTGAAAATATCAGAGAAAAATGGGAAGGAGGAGACAATGTCCTAACTAAACATCAGTGTGTGAAGTTCTGTCCTTTTCTGTGCTCTCAATCTCCTAATTTAAAAAATTTTTTATTTATTTATTTTTTTCATCGGTACTGGGGATCGAACTCACAACCACACACTTGCAAGGCAGGTGCTTATGTCACTGAGCTAAGTCCCCAGGCCCTCAATCTCCTAATTTAAACAAAAACTGAGGCTGTTCTGGTTTCCAGGTAGAAAACCCAGGGCAGAGATCATAGGGTCACCAGCTCCTCTTTCTGCTCAGGCACATGGTTCTATTGCTGTGGACAAGTCAGGCTTTGTAAAAGCCAGAAAGAATAAGAACACTGTATTTCAAACACTGTCACTGACACAGTGACACATATTTGTGATTCCAGCTACTTGGGAGGCTGAGGCAGGAGGATCTTAAATCAGAGCCCAACTTCACTGTGAAGGCCCTGGGTTCAAATCTCAGTATCACAGATACAATACCACGAACACTACCTGCAAACAGGTAGGCTAGAAAGCCAGACTTTAAGAGCATGCTTTAAGAGCGGCTGTGCTCTTAAGTTTCCTCATAAGGTGGGAGCTGAAAGCTGAAAGGAAAAGTAATTCCGGTACTAAGGATGTGCACACCAGCCTGCCATGACCAAACACACAGCAGAGGGCTCAAGGGCAGTGCTGGCCTCCTCCCGCTTTTCCTGTGATTAGGTCCAGGTAGGTCAGTGTAAAGGACACGGTTCAGAGACAGCCATGCACAGGATGCCTGACCCCCAGCCCTGCTGAGAGGGGAGCTTCCTCACTTAACTAGAGCTGCAGATTCTCCAAAGAAGATGCCTCCTGAGGGCGCTGTGTGCGCACTGGCATGTGGGTGAACCCCACACACCGCAGAGAAAATGGGCGGGATGCAGGGAAAAAGAAGGCAGCACAAGCATTATGGGCTCAGAATGTTAAGGTTCGTTTTTCTAAAAAATACGTTCTAGTTTAATATGACGAATCCAAGTAAAAGTAGTAAGTTTAGTGCAATGTGAAAATGTACATCATGGTTTTATCATGATGTATCTTGCTGGATTTTATTATATGTGATAGTATAAACAAAAATTGTTATAGGCAAAGAGATAATATAGAAACCATTGTTTATTTTCTGTTAGCTAGTTCTAAAAACCCTACAATGCTTTCATCCACTTGAATGGTTTTACACTGACTTGATATGTTTGAAGCTATAGTATATGAAGTTATATTCAAATATTTCAAGGAAAAAGACACTATTGTAACTATTAAACCAGGTTATTTGGTGGTGAAGCACTAGGTTGCTGAAACTGTCATGCTTTGACCTGTACTGTTATGATGTTATGTCTTCTTTTATCTCAATCTCTTCTTTATTCATTAAAAAATTATTCAGTTATTTTTTATGATTTTTTTAATTAAGGGGAAAAATCAAAAAAATTAGCAGGATATATTATAGTAACTTATTTGATTTCCTATTAACTTGAAGTCCTGTAATACTCCCATTATCTTGTTTTGACTGATTAGACTCTGTTCTGTTCTGTATGATAGTATCAATTTTGAAGGTATACGCAACTACTTTGAAGGCAGTAAGATTCATTATGATGCCCATTCTGGTTTGACTATTATCTTCTTTGGAAGTCCTGTAGTGTTTACAAGGTTTAGGTTTTATTGGTCTTGTTCTCTACTGTTTTGTTCAACTTTATAATACCTAATGAGATAGGCAATTCTTTTTAAGGAAGCAAGAGGCATTATGGTAACCATTGTCGATAACCTTGTACTCTGTTTTTACATCATGTGCTATGTCTACCCTTGATTTTGACTGACAGCTTTGTTTTGCCATATTTGACTTTATTCTCTTCCAAAAAAAAAAAGGAATAAGAACTAAGGAGTAATAAAATCCAAAATGTGTAAATTTTGTTGTAAAAAAGAGGAAAAAAAAAAGTGCTCTAACGTATACAACTGTAAGTGTGTTAAGGGGTGTTAAATAGATGCCCATATTAATGTTTTTGGTTGGATCACTGAACACAACTGTTTGCAGTCTCACTGTTTGAATGTCCACTTTGTATGCTTTGATACTGTGACTTGAGCAACTGTCTCTAGGATGATAAGTGTGATCTGTTAACTGGTGATTTTTTACTGTTTTTTTTTTTTTTTTTCCTGTAGTTCTGTATTAATTGTACCCTTACACTGCTTTGTTTTGTTTTGTTTTTTCTCTTTTTCCTTTTAAATGAAATTAATCAGTTTCCGGAAGAACTCCTGGCTCTCTGCTTTCTGACTCCCGTTCTGCAGTGGTCACTGACTTGTGTATGTCGATGACAACCATATTATATTCCTTTGGCCTTGTCTCTGCCCTGTATGAAGTCAGGAAACAACGGGACAGTGAGCAAGTCTCTAGGCTTTTAGTACTAGCAGCTTCAGACAGAAAATATGCTATACTGAGGTCTGCAAAAGTCCCTTGGATTTAGTTTGTTCATGTAAGTTCTGTGCTGGGTAAGCAGAGGTAAGGTCTGGCTGTACCTACCCTAAGCACCATGATTCTAAGAAATGTGGGCAATGATTGGCTTATTAAAAAATTAGAGATCAATTAATTTCTAACAACTAAGAGGTCCCTGTTGTTCACACCGGATGGTAACACTTGCAGCAGTCACTAGGCCTGCGGACACAGTCCCGAGCCTTCCATGAGATGCAGGTGCTCTGCCACGGCCCACGAAGTGGTCTCTATTTACTCACCACAGACTCCATGTCATTCAGAGTTATCTGTTTTCCCAGCATCATCTTGTAAAACGGTCGGATGAAGAAACCTACAACATGGCAAAAATCGTGTAGAATTTCAGGTCTTGGATACAGCTGTGCATCAGAGTAAGAAATAACCATTAATTTTCTTTTAGTGTGAATGACAGACTAGGACAGAAAACTTAAGGACCTTCTAGAGAAATCCATGAACACAGTCGAGGGCCTGGGGAGCAGAGAGGAAGGGGGGCGGTGGACCAGCGGACAGGACGACTGCAGCATAGAGGGCTGCAGATGGCTTCGGTGGGGCAGTGGCTAGTAAGACCCAGTCAAGCAGGTGTCTGCAGTGCAAATGAGGCGTATGACAGAGGACATATTGGGGACTGGTCAGCGGCTGGACAGGGTGTCCCAGGGACGTATGGCCAGAGAAGGGGTTGGGAGCATGTGGGGGACAAAGGGAAGGGCTGCTCCCTAGGGCAGCAGGGAGCCACTGAGAAACCAGAACTCCATCTGCAGTTCCACATCCCTGCCTGGGAGTGACCAGGACAAAGCAAGCAGGGGAAACGAAGGCGACCCCTGAGCAGGCTACACAATCTTCACTGAGGGAAGGTAGAGGGTTCAGGGAGGCCAGAGTGGAGGGGTGACTCTCTATGCTGCAGGGACATCACATGCCGGTTCTCATGGGGTGCTGTGCCCTCCTCCTCCTGCTCACCCCAGGCCTGGAGCCCCCCAGCACAGGCCAACTTGCCCTAGTGTGATGTGGACCCTCAGAGAGGCGTGGTGGCAGAGGTGCACAGTGTGCCTGCAGACAGGACCATTCCCATTTTTAGGAAGAACTACAGGTCACGCACATCTGTGGACACTGTGGCTTTCAGTCTTGCTATTCCTGGCTCATGCAGTGCCCATTTTTTGTAAGCACCCCCTCAGCTGTCTCTTACTTTTCTGTCTGTACTCACTTTGCCACTACAGAGCCTGAATCCCACAGCCCCAGCTCCTGTAAAATGCCTCGGCCTCTGACGCTCACACACTGCCTGCCCCCGAGGTGGTGTGACCCCTGCACCTCCAGTCCAGTCAGTTTCTCTTCTGAGCACTCAGCATACTCCTTTCTGCACGAACCCTCTCATTGAGACTCTTTTGCTTTTCTTTTTTCCTCACTAAAGTAAGAGCTCACTGAGCTCAGGACCATATCCTACACTCTACATACTTCCACAGGAATAACAGTGTGCTTTCATTTCAGGGCAGAATGTGAATCAGCTGCACTAAGAAGGCAGAAATGAGTCCGGGAGGCTGGCATAATCTAAGGCTTAGCGCCACTGCCACAAACAGCGTATATACACACACACACACACACAAGAAGCCAGAAACAGAAAAAACCGTTTACCTCCCCCTGCTCCAAAATATAACACTGAAATCAGAGCATCAAAACCAGCAAGCAATTATTAACAGTAGCAATCTACTAAAAGAAAATGTAAGAAGGTATATAAATTATTTACTAAAATAGCACAGGCTCCATAAATTCAATTAACATAATCCCCCTGCAAATAGCTCTCTCTATAGTTTTTTGTGTTGTTGTTTTTGGGAACCAGGAATCAAACTCAGGTCCCTGCGCTTGCCAGGCAGATGCTGTGCTGCTGAACTATATTCCTGGCTCACTCTCTGTAGTCACTGACGTGTCAAACTCAAATCTTACTGTCTTTCCTCCTCACCATTTTATACACACGCTTAAAAAAATATTCTGAAGATTTTCCACACTGATGATTTCTGTAGAGCTGTCTTAAGGATATTACTTAAAAGTCCCTAAGAAACCTGTAGGCTAAACCTATGATACAGCCAGGTATGGGGCTGATTACTAACCCTTAATGTAACCTGAAATTCTTCTTTGATTTATGCTTTAAATAAGAATAAGGTTATTTTGTGCCATCTATTTCAGCAGGACTGTAGTGTTAAGGTCTTAGCTGAGTTAGAACACTGATTGGAAATTACCTAGTCTTGTCACATTAAAAAATAATTTGGAGACAAATGGGACAATGGCAGGATACTGATGGATGGGATCATTTTAATTAACTTTCAATTAGATTTTCCTTCTGTCACCAAATCTAGTTCTTGCTAAAGAAAATGTACTCTGGAAAACATACAAAATGCATAAATATAGAATGTTCTGTGTTTCGCAGTCTAAAAAAGAATTTTAACTCTAGGTAGATGCTTTGTCTTCAGTGCCCAAGATGACACTAGGGGAAAGACCAGTAGTATGGATAAGACATAAAAATAATTCATTGACAATGAAAACTAGTGAAGCTTGTACTTATAATCTACAATATAAAAGACAAAACACCTAATACAAAACCACACATAGCATTGTCTTATATTTTTTGTTGTTTCAAAACTTTTTAATAACTTACCGTCTAAGAGTTTCCCATGAAATACTGCCAGGCCAGCAACTCTTCCAATGAAAGTGAAATAAGACAAATGATCTTCATTACAGAGGCCTGAATTAGGATTGATCTGAAGTGTGTAGTTGTCTCTTTTAGAGAGAAAAAAGAAGAAAAGCTCAACCATACTTTTGAAAGAGAAATAAGACCTGAACTTTACTTTGTCACCTGTCGCTTGACTTTTAATAGTGCAATCACAAAAATTTCACACTCAGTGGGAACAGGTGTAAGCTAGAGAATGCGATTCACCAGTTGGTTAGCCCTTTCTGTGACGAACCCGAGGCCTACTAAGACTGACACATGTACTCTAGGGAATAAGTTAAACTTTCAGTGACTGCTGATGAATGCCTATTTTTGATCTGTAAAAATATCAACTTTAAATGGTTTAGCCAAATACCTTGAGAATATAAAAGAAAGTACACATAATCAAGAGGCCATGCAAAGATTCTCAGTGACATGAGTGCTTCAGATTGTCTCTGTGGTGTTGGAAGGTTAATTCCTTCAAAAGCTTTTTGGTTTGGGATAAGATTTTTTCCCATGGCTTAGTTCAGTTTATCCGACCATCAGTCTCCCCTGAAAAGGCCATAGAGGCACAGGGAGCAGAATCTGCTGTCTTTGCAATGCAGACCTCAAAAGTATCCAATCATTCTTTGTTCTTATAATCATTCCAATCAGCAGTTTTAAAACTGGGCTGCAAAGACAAATTCCTCCAGGGGGTATCTTTGGGAGTGGTGAGAATTCTCTATGCTATCTGGGCCTCCACTTCAATGGGTTTATCAATTTTACACAGCAGGCTTTCTCATGGAAATCACTAACACCTACTAATCAAACTGTGCAATTGTTGGCTAAATCAATTGAGAAGGATATACTAAAGCTGTCCTCCAAATAAGCCCCAGAGACTGGCACCAGGCGGAAGATGCAGAAGAACCCATAACTCCTTAGAGCTCAAGGCTCGAGTGGTGCCCGGTGCCTCTTGGCAAGGTCAATAACTATTGAGAACTCATGGCTGACCCTTAGCCTTTGAGGGTTGTTAGCTTGGAGAAAAATGGTTGGTCTTATGAGTAATGTCTGACCACTAAGAAAGCAATGTCTGCTTTATTCCCCACACCAGGCAATGATGGGATCCTAACATATGGGATAGCTTGGTTCTTCCTTACAGAACCAAGGCATGGTCCTTTGTGTCCCAACCATGGGTCCTCAAATACCACGTAATTTACCTTTATAAAGTGTGACTTCAGAGATTAACCTTGTTCACATAATGACTTTTTAAAATTCTGACACTGACAAATTCTCTTCCTTCTTCTTGAATTAATGGAACATTATAAATGGAAATTGTCTCTTGTGCCTCATCACAATTATCCAAACACATTTCAATTTCAATTCCATGAACCCAACAGACAAGAGAAGATTCAATTTTAGGTGTTCACAGAGCACATTATTTTACCATGTAGTCTCAGAACCTATTCTAGACCTAAAAGGGGTGGCCATAGAGCGACTAAAACCAGTAGTGATTTGTATCATAACTGAATGACTTATTTTCTCTTTAAGAATGAAACTATTCCCATGGGGAACACATTCCAAAAGTACCCCATATACTTACGTTGCAGAGTACTCAAAGAGACCGTAGTAGGGGTTGAACATCTCTTTGGACAGTAAGAAAAACCATTCTCTGGCTACACCACCATAGTCTAGACCTTTCTCTGATTCAAATTCAATCCATAGTCTAGCTTTGAGGACATCTGGTCTTTTTACAGACATGATTCTCCGATAGGACTCCTCAAATATGTTATTTCTGTGAAGTTTCATTTCAAATCTGTTTGGAATATCAGCCTACAAAGAAGAAATAAAAAGCTCATAATCATACAGTAAATATACACCTTGCTTCTTCACAGGAATAAAAAAAAGTAACAAAGGGCAGAAATGATGGCATGCTTTGAACAGATGAGCAGTGACAGGAATTTGAACTGAGATATTTTTTCCTTTATTTGTTTATTATTTTTTTTTTTTGCACTGATGGAAAGCCTCATTGTGTCAAGGGACACACAGAATGTCCACCTGCAGATGATCAAGCTGAATTTGTAATACATGCTGCAGAAGACAATCTGCTGAATAGAAGAAAACCATCCTCTTGTCCCTTTATAAGCAATCTGGGCACTGGGGCTGGGGATTTAGCTCAGCGGCATAAGCGCCTGCCTTGCAAGCAGGCAGTAGTGAGTTCGATCCCCGGTACCGATAAAAAGGAAAAAGACAAAAAAAAAAAAAAAAAAAAAAAAAAAAAGCAATCTGGGCACTTCTCTACCCACTGCTAAGCGAAGCAGCCAACTCTACATATTGCATCAGTCAAAGAGATAGACGTCAGCCCAGGTAATCAAAACCTATAAACAATCTCCACCTGGCCAAGCTGAGCCCATTTTCTTCTCCATCCTTATCTCTGGGAGGCATTCTAGGTAGTATATATGAGCTGCTACAACTGAAAGTGCATTTTCTTGTCATGGGGGAGGGAACCCCTGATTATGCCAAGTGTGGGAGCAGTAACTCAAAGCTCATCACAGTGTTAATACAGCACTTGAATGGCCTCCTGGAAGGATGAGGCAGAGGGCTGGCCTTGATCTAGGAGTGGGGCAGGGTACAATGCAGTAGTGTCAGTGTCAGAGTGAGGCTGGAGACATGCAGATGCGTTACAAGAACCTGCACATGTCCCAATCTGAGCTTGGAAAGACAGAGAGTCATTTTAAAAGTCATTATAGGTGAGGTACTAGAGTCAGAATTTGGAGTAGGGGAGAGAACCTGTGAGTAACTGCTGGGAAAAGAGGCATCAATAGGAGCATGGCCCAGGGAGGAGGTGCCAGACCCAGCCAACCCGCAGAGTGCGCAGCTGCAGCTGTAGTCCCTCCCCAGTGGGGCCACAGCTGTAGCACACAACCAGGAAACTAGACCACTGATACCTGACAGGTGGCTGAGAAGAATACAGAAGATGTAATGGCAAGAACTTGGGCGGATGTGCTAGGAGCAACACAACACTGCAATTCAGAGCCCTGCCTAGGAAAACCTTATGGCGTGTTCTGTTTCTAAATTGCCAGTAAGAATTGTACTTAAAAAATTACACTTGGATCCAATACTGCCAAGTATCATAATTATATGTTAATATACACTGGGAAGTATTTACATAAAGTATATACTGGAATGTAAATAGTACAGTTAAAATTACTCAGTTTAAAGGGATGGAACTGAATCTTTTTAAAATTATGATACAGGTTTTCCTAAATACGACAACTATCAGCAATTGTATGGTTTTCCCCCGGATTTTTTGACTAAGTTGGTGAATTATTTTATATCCCACAAAGATCATTTATGTCTGTCTTCTGTATTACATAAGAAATTACCCTTCAGGTGATTTGATATGTAATACTGACTTAGTCTTCACTTACCATTTCTGTTAAAAAGAAAATTCAGATTGAAGATCCAGGTGGATCAAAGTGCAGTGAAAAAAGGAAGGCAATATTTTTAGTATGCATATAAAAGTAACAAACAAGCTCTTTTCACTGAAGTAACTTTGGTGAAAACCAATGACTGAAATATAGCGTTCTAGGGAGAGATGATTACTCACGGGTTTCTTTAACTTCTTCCTAAAGTAGTCGTATTTCTGCTTAAATTCTCTGGAGTAAGGAACAGCCTGGAAGATAATATAAATACAGATAATGCAAACAGCTTGCTTAAATTTCACCTATAGTGAGCCAAGATTCAGAAAATTTCATGAATCATAAATCTTAAAATATTCACTCTATATTTTCTGCAGAAAATTTACACAGTATCTACAGAGTACATGGGCAATTCATAGAACTGATTAAGGCTAATTAGCACTGAATGAAAGTAGTTTCATCCTTATAAACAACTACATTGACAGTCAAGGAATCATCTAGGAGCATGCTATACAAACTAAGTATGTTTTCCAAGTGACTTCTCTCAGAGTCCTTTATCATACTAATGTCCTTCATTGTCTAGGGTACAGATAGATATGCCAAAACAAAGTAACTACTATTTACATGTCATTTGTTTTGAATTTGACACCATATTTATAAATCGCAAGAATGTTCTAAAGACAATGCATACTGCCTATGGTCTGTTCCTTGTTTTTAGGCCCAACTAACTGCAATTTAACTTTCCACACAATTCCATGCATTTCAGACATTTATTCTGATGAAATCATGTATGAATTCTGATTCTTGCCAATATCTGGTCAGTCACCAACATAAGGACAAAGATACAATGTTCTGAAGCTAACAAATACAACCCATAACTACACTCCCAACACTACAAAGAATAACAAACTAAAATTTCCATCTCATTCATTCATTCATTCATTCATTCATTCATTCATTCATTCACCAACCAAGCATTCTTTGGTAACTCACTTGCCCATTCATTCAGAAGATATTCCTGAAGCACCTATTTTTGCCAGGCATTTTAATTGCTAAGGAAATGATTGTACATAAAACAAGACTTCTATCCCCAATACCATTCTGGAGCTTTCAAGTTCTTGGGAGCAATAGGTAGTAAGAAATAAGAGAATAGAGGACTTCCGGGAGAACATGGCGGACAGATAACAGCAACTACCGGAGGCTCTCTGAAAAACTAGGCTCAGAAGCCAGATATGGTGCGGACTAAAGAGACATAAGCAGGTGGAGTTATGCTCTGCTGACTCAGGAACGAACTCGGCTGAGAGAAACCAACTTGGAATGCAGTCCTGGTGCTAAAACAGGAACAGAAAAGTCTCGCTGCTGAGGCTGGACCCTGCGCCATTGGAAGCCGCGATTTGGGTTTCCCGCCGCGCAGTGGCTGGCTGCCTCTACATCGGCTCGGCAAGGAGAGAGACGCGTGGAAACTCTGAGAACGGGAGTCTGCGAACGGAGTCGAAAACAGGACGGGCAGGGAGGCATGTTCTGACTTGTGGCGAGGTGAGTGAGAGAAACTGACACTCCACCACAGTTTGACTCCAGCGGACTTTCTGGGCCCGAGCAGTCCTGCGGGAGCAGGGCGTGGTGGCGACTCCAGCCACACATTCCCCTCTCGGGCGGGATTGGTGAAAAGTGCCTGGCCTGCGTGACGCTGCCGGCGGACCCCGTAGGCTGGCCCAACCCAGATCCCAGAGCCTGACGGAGGCCGGGAGGGGCGGGCCCCGCGTAGGCTGCCTGGTGCGCAGCGGTGAGTGGGAACACCTAACCGGCGCAATTCGATCAGGCTGTGGCTGACAGGGAGAGAAGCTGGGCCTCTCATATAAGCTTGCATATATAAGGAACAGAGAATATGGGAAGAGGCAGCAACAAGAAAGGCTCCTCGGCCCCCAACTCTGAGAAACAGGCAATAGCAGACACCGCACCAATACACATAAAGCACCATATAGAGAGCCTCATAGACCAATTCAGGAATGAAGTTATCAACGACCTGAAGCTAGAAGTATGCAAAATAGTTAGAGAAATGCTAAGCCCCACCCAAGAAAAAACAGATGGTGGAATGGAAGAACAGAAAAAGAGGGGAGAATTGCTTGATGGAGAAAACAGAGAAAGCATTGAGTATGTGAAGCAGGTTCAAAGGGACTATCAAGAAATTAAGAAGTCTATCCAAGACTGGCATAACAGCTTGAAAGAAACTAAGGACAGACTATCTGAACTGGAGGGCAGAATTGTAATATGGGAGAATGAAATGAAAAACTTCTTAAAAATAACAAAGAGACAAACAGCAATAATACAAAGACAAGAAGATGATAAGAGGATCCATAACTTAAGGATTAAGAACATAAAAGAAGAAGTAGGGACACAAACAAGTGAACTACAAAAGCTACTCACAGAAATAATCCAGGAGAATTTTCCTAATTTAGCAAAAGGTAAAGATACTCAGATGTATGAGGCATACAGGACCCCAGCTACCTACAACCCAAACAGAGCAACACCCAGGCATATAATAATAAAAATTCCAGAAATTCAATACAAGAACAGAATATTAAAAGCTGTCAGAGACAAGAAACAGACCACTTACAAGGGAGCACCCATCAGAATTACAGCAGATTTCTCTGCACAAACCATCAAATCATGAAGAGCGTGGGGGGAAATAATTCAAGCTTTGAAAGATAATAATCTCCAGCCAAGATTGAGATATCCTGCACAACTGTCCCTGGAAATTGATGGAAAAACAAGGTGCTTCCAGGATAAAGAGGAACTGGGGGAATTTGCAACCACCAATTCAACTCTACAGAGAGTATTGCAGGATATTCTAAAAAAAGAAAAATACAAAGAATCCAGAAATAGTGGAGGCCACAACTAATGGAGCAGAGAACAAAGTGAAGAAGACAAACTGACAGCTACTGACAGAATAAGAGCTCAACAGAAATGAGGCAGAGAAGATTGGATGATAGGAACAGCTATTTTGGAGAAAATGACATCTTAATAGGTAATACTGATTTAGTATCATCTTGTTTTGAAGTCTCATCTAGCTTTTGTCCTTCTGTCTCCAATGGTCTAAATAGGTTGTATCTTACTGGATCTTATTATGTACGATAGTATAAGCAAAAACCTTTTAAAGACAAGGAGATTATACAGAAACCATTATTCATTTTCTGTTAGTCGATTCTAAATACTCTGTAATGCTGTCATTCTCTTAAATGGTTTTGCATTGTTTTGATATACTTAATGCTACAGTATACGAAGTTGTACTCAAGGATTTCAAGGAAAGAGACAATATGGTAACTACTTTTAGGTCAGGATTATCTGGTGGTGAAACACTATTCTGCTTAAATGGTTATGTTTTGATCTGTGCTGTTTCGTTGTTATGCCCTCTTTTATCTCAATCTCCACTCCATTATTTACTTTTTTAATACTTTTTAAAAAATTTTTATCCTTTTAATTAAAGGAAAAAAAACAGGATATATTATAGTAACCCACTTTGACGTTCCATTACCTCGATTTAAAGCCCTGTATTACTCTCACCATCTGGTTTTTAACTGATGTTCCCCTATTCTGTTTTGCTGGATAGTATCAGGTTCGAAAATTTAGGCATCAGCTGTGAAGATAATGAGATTCATTATAACGCCCATTCTCGTTGACTTTTATCTACTTTTGAAGACCTACAATGTCTCCAATGGTTTGGTTTTGTCGGTTTTGTTCTTTACTGTTTTGTTCAATTGTATTATAACTAATGGTATAGGCAATTCTATTAGAGATAGTGGGAGGCATTATGGTAACCATTGTTGATCACCTTGTATTATGTTTTCACATTATCTATTATGTCCACCCTTTTGACTTGACCGATTCTGTTATGTCACATTTGGTTTTACTCTCTTCCAAAAAAGTAATAAGAACCGTGAGAGCAATGAAACCCAAAATGTGTAATAGTCATTGTACAAAAGAGAGGAAAAGAAAGTGCTCTAAACTATATAACTGCATGTATATTTAAGTGTATAAGATAGAATATGATATCACAGAGTTTTATTGGATCATTGTACAGAACTGTTTGCAGTATCATTGATGGAATGTCCACTTTACAAGTTTTAATTTTGTGACTTGAACAATTATTTCTAAGATGACAATATGTAATCCATTAACTAGTAATTTCCTACTGTTCATTTTTTTTCTGCAAATCTGTATAACTTGTACCCTTTCTCTGCTTTTTTTTTCTTTTCTCCTTAAATAAAATTAAAAAAAAAAAGAAATAAGAGAATAAATAGAGGTAAGTGTTATGAGTGAGGGCAAAAAAAGGGATCCATACACAGTGCAGGTTCTGGGCAGGTTTTATGTGAGGGGGGCGAGGAGAGCAGCTCGAGCAGGGACCTCAACAGAAACCACAGAGACAGAAGGAAACAACCAGAAGAGTGAGTGCCAAGTCCCAAGAGGAAAAGCATTTCAGCTGATGCCCTCAGCTAGGATGAGCTGTAATACACGGGAATTATCTGAAACCAATTTCCTTCTACTCTCTTATGTCAGCTTTAGAAGGCTGGATTCTAAGGAGACCATTACCTGCTAGGATTATCATCATTGCACATGCAGGTTCAACAGTTTTAGGCAACAGATTTCTCAAGGAATAGATTGCAAAATGTTGCCGCTCACTTGTGATATCCACTCTCTTGCCTGCCTTGTAACCTGATAGGTGCCGACTAGATGCACTGGACATGTGCTTTTAATGACGCATGGAAGCTGAATAATCATTACTTTCCTTTAGCAGTTACTATCTTTCCTCTCTTCATGTAGTTCTCACGATGGAGTAAGAAAGGTAAGTTTTTACTTTTTCCTCCTGAAAAGATTTCAGCAGTGTACCAGGACAAAGACATTCATCCAGTGAATCTTCTGGAGTATTACACTTAACATTTCTTGTATCAGACACCAGGGTTAATTGTTCTCTTTTGAAAACTCGGCATTTCATTTTCTCCCATAGAAGTTAACTTGTCAAATAAACCTATTTGACAAATGAACACATTTGTAAATTAAAAGCTCTTTAGTTGTGTACTAAATATGTTCTCTCTTGTCCAGGGTGCAGCCTGCCTTATTGTGTAGGTCAGTTCTAAATGCTTTTATGCTTATCATTCAGGTAATGCTGGTGCTCCTGGGAGAGAAGTGCTCCTGTCCAGTGTGGAGAGGTCACTGATGCCACTACACCTGGCTTCCAGGCCTGGTCTGACACTTGCTTTCAGAGCCTTTGATAACCTAGGGATAATAATATCTCTACCTTTCTGAGAGGATTCCTGGGAATTTTAAATAAGCTGACTAAGAAGTTCTTGGAAAAGTACAAAGTGTTATATAAGCATGAGTTGATTTTCATTCTAACAGCACGCCACAGACAACACTCAAGGGTGCTACTAAGGGTGGCATCTGTCTTAAGAGAAAGCATACTAACTTACAGTAACACTGTCCTCAGCTGTCACGGAAAGGATCTCCCTCCTTATTTTATAAATCTATTTTATAAATCAAGACTTATAAAATCCCCCCTGTAAGTCAATGAAGATGAACACACACACACACACACACACACACACACACAGTCTCACGTGTTAAACTGAACCAATAGTAAACCACCATTAAGAAGACTTTACAGACATAAAAGGAGAAGATTTAAAACCTTAGGACCACAGGTAACAGAATAGTCTGAAAGAGGCCAAGTGTTTTTAAGTGGTAAGAGATGAGAGAATGATAAAGGAATGATAGCATGTCTAAAAACACAAAGCAAAATTTATGAGACTTAAATAGAAATTTAAACATAATCAGGGAAATAAGACAAAATGAATAGATTATAAAAAAAACCTTAAAGAATTAACTAAAAGAACTAAGAGCGCACTGTACAGCAATGCATGCACACACGTGTGTGAGAGACAGGAAGAGGAAGAAGAGCAGGAGGAGGAGGAAGAGAAGAGAACGAGAAGGTCAGTGAAGAGGTAAGAAGAAAATGAACCAAATGCTAGAGGTAAAAGTTAGATATCAGAGAGTGGGAAAAGCGCACTATGTGAAGAAATAATGGCTAAGAATTTTCCACAACAGAGGAAAGATATGATCTCCACACCAAGGAACTGAGTACAAAGCAGGATAAACCAAGAGAAAGCCACATATACATACATGACACTGAACCTATAGAACATTAAAGACACAGATAAAAGTTCAAAACCACCAGAAAAAGATTCAGCCACTAGAAATAACAATTATGATAGCAAGTGTCTCATCTTTCAGTTAGGGAGCTGGAAGACATGTAAGACTATCTCCAAAGTACTGAAGGAAATAACTCAGAATTCTATAATCTGCTGAATTTAACCTTTAGGGAGGCAGTGTGATTAGACTTAGAGAGACCATTCTCAGCCTTGGTGTGCCGCAGAATCCTTGAGAAGGCTTGGTGTAACACAGGTCGGGGTGCTCTCCTCAGAGCTGTGGGTTCAGATCTGGGCTGGGACCTCAAAACTTGCATTTTGGTGGACAAGTTCCAAGATGACGCTGGTGCATGGAGAACCACAACTTGTATTATGCATTCCATTAAGAAGAAAACCCAGGAACAAAATGAATGCAAAAACTATGGTGGGCAAAGAAATTTGTTTATGTATAGGTAAAATGAAGTAAATATTGATTACTGGAGAAAAAAGATAAAACACTATTTGGAAAGTTTAAAGACAAGGTGGTTTAAAAGTCTGCCCAACAATGACATGGAAAATAGAAATAGGAAAGAATGGTATTAATGTTTTCTGAGGTCCTGATGATAACCAGGAAGAAAGAGTGATTAACTTTAATCTTAAATCAGGCATGCTGGTTAAGAATTTTAATGTGAGCACTGAAAGAATACAAAGTACAACTCAAAATCACATACAAAGTACTCTATCAATCGAAGCAGAAAAGACAAGCTACTGTAAAGAGACAGAAAATACACACTGGGCGCAAGAGAAAGAGTGAATGTAATTACATAAATATCAGAAAAAATGGATTGAGCAGCAACTATGGAAATTTTAATGTAACTCTTTGATTAGACTATGTAGTCAGGAAAAACAGTAATAAGGGTATGGATAATTTAAACACAATGGGTTTGACTAATGGATATCTCCAACCAAACACACAATATATACATTTTAAAAACACAAAAAGACCATTTTCAAAAAATGACCAGGCTTCCAAGGAAGCTTCAAATATCTGGTAATATTCCTAGGCAATATTCTCTGACTGCAATGCAAGGAAATTAGAAATAATAAATGGATAGGTGAGATTCCCTCATTCCTCTTGGGCACTAAAAAGCAGACTCTAAATAATTTGTAAAGTCAAGAAGAAAAAATCATATAAAAACTGCCAAATATTTAGAACAGTATACCAAAAGCCATTAATTTGATAATCACCTAACTATACATATTCTTACTAAAAGCAGTATCACTAATAATAATGAGTAAACAAGAGTCTCAGACAACAGAAAGAAAGAGACCTTTCTTGAAAGTGAGTCTACCTGAACTTATGTAATTTTCAACACTAAATAAGGACTAGCAGTGTTTGAGTAAAGGCAGGTGATTATAAATGAAATAGTTGAAAATTTTAAAATTATCACAGGAACCATTTTCTGTCACTGAAAAATGCACTGTTTCTAATGACAGAGAATGGAAAACACTATTCTAACAACCCACTGTGACTTGTCAAAAAAAGTGCCACTGTAGTAAGACTTCTTCAAGCTACATACAAGAAAAAGTACATCATTTTTGGGGAGCACTTTGAATAGGAAACAGTCCCAAAGCAGCTGAACAAATCAAACAAATGTACCCAAAAAAATGGCTGAAGGGATGTCAGTTATAGATGTACATTGGTATTATAATATCTTCTAAATTTTCATATAAACCAATCTTTAGATTTTAAAATATAATTTGGGAGCCGATCAAAATGACAAAATAATATTTTCAATGTAACTATTGGGCCCTTAGCTTATTGCTTGCAAGAATAAACTTTAGATCCTTTTCTTTTGTCAGTCTTTTAAAGGAGTTTTGGGGGAGGGCAGTTCTGGGGATGAAACCTAGAACTTCATGTATGCTAGGCACATATTCTACATTATACTACACTTTCAGCCCTCAGTCTTTTAGAAAGGCTCCAAATCTACCATCTTGTGCTGAATGAGACCTTTCCTATAATTCCAAATTATTTCTGTGTATGCCCTTAACTACTGGCAAAAGCTATTAGAATATGGTGCATATAGTCCCTCCCATCCTGTAGAACCATCCACAGAGTTCCACAGTGGATTCTCCCTCTTTCTGTGACCATAGCGTGCTACAGAATCTTAAGAGGTCACTGTACCTAGGTCAGAATGGACTCTTTTCCCACCTGGCATGAATAAGAAAAGTCAGTGACAGCAGAGTTGAAAATTCCTAACTCTGCAAGTGCTTGAAGGAAGCAACCTCATCAGAAAGGCCTACATGTTTTTAAACTGGAAGACATTTAAATATATTAACATATATTTACTAGCCCTGGCCTAAAGCAATGACAGTACTCTACAAATATAGGCTTCATGTAAGGGAGGAAATCTTATGTTTTTAGGTTACCTATTTACAAAGGAGAAGAAGAAACATTATCTAAATGTGCTACCTTTACAAATCACTTTCTTTCCCTTTTCTTTATGAAAAGGCACATACAGCTAGAAATGGTAAGAATAAGGGAAGAATTTAATCTACTCATTGTCCCAGGTCCTCGGCTTAATAGTAATTAGTAAAACGGAAGAAACACATGTTTAGATGCAACCAAAATTTATGTCAAAGTGTCACAAACTGAGAATACTGACCGGACCAGTGATAGCTGGGTTCTGCAGTCTTGGGTCTTCCCACTGGGTTATTTTGCTATCTGAAATATTAAAAAAGAAATAATCAGCACATTACTTCACATCTATTCTATATAAAGGATATTTCAGAAAGAACTATTTTTGAATTCTTCAAAAGTTGTCCAGTTCCCTATTCTGTCCCCTTGGGATAAAATTTAGTATTTTAGGGTTAAAAAGTAACTATACTCTACATGGTAAATTTCTCACATACTGTTTAGTTGAAAATAATAAAAAATGTACAACTAAAGTGAAACATCTATTTGCACTGTTTTTGGCAAGCAATCTGCTGTCATTTTAATTATAAACCCCTATCCTTCCAAGGATTTATAATTTGATCTTGATTTTCATTTAATTAAAAAAAGGCATGAAAAGTTTTAGTGTCTCAGAAGGTTAACAAACACACAGGATTTTCTGTCATTTCAAGTAGTTTTTATTTGCGTATGGTGTTGAAAAACTGCTTTCAATTAGGAATCCTGCACTGAACAAATGAATAATCCATTACATGCGTCACTCACACGCACACAAAAATCAAAACTACTACGGTAGTTCAACACACAAGAATTAGACACAGTCAATAAAAAGTCCAGAGGAAGGTTTCTTTGCTAGGCTGGCAGAGGGGAATTTCCTTCTTCCAAATGAGTCCAAGAGAGCTTGATTGCTTGATGGTACTTACACTTTGACCTGTCCAGCTGATAACACACAACAGCTGGGTCACTAACGACTTATAATTATGCCTAAGTAAAGAAGACTTCAGAGATCTCTCAGTGTGTGTTGGAGAGCCAGGGCTAACAGGTTCCTATGAAAAACAGGGCAGACAGGAAGACCTGTCTTTGGAGTTGGTGAAAAAAGGAGAGAGTAACCCTGCATATTCTTACCCTGTACCTGGGTTGACAAAGCTAATGGATTCAGCTTTAATAACTGCCAGGAGTTTCTGAAAGTCTCGTATTATTTTAACTAAATCAGAAGTAAGTGAAAAAAATGCTCCTTGGGTATATGATCAATCTAGAATTCTTTGTTTTCATGGTGGCAGAACATTTACATGAAGTCTCAACTGTTTTTGAGAACCCTAGTGGAATCAAAAGGCATACTGGGTCCTTTGCCTTGAAAACAGAAGACTTTGGAAAGTAAAAGTTGCTACTGTGATGGAAAAGAAAAGATCTCCAAATAAACAACACAAAATATAGCTCAGTAAAAACTGATTTAAACTACCAACTTGGACTGTAACTGTACTGACTAGATTTTATCATTGAAGCAGAAAATAAATTTCCTATTCCTAATACATTAGGACTTCCAAATCTTCCAAATCAGATTCTCCCAAAAGACCCGAACTACAAACTGTATTCTAGACATCCCACAGGGTTCTGAGCTCAACTATGCAAACCAGGAAGGCTATCACCACAAACTGCTCATGCAACCCTCTCTTTCAGCTTAACAGTATTGCAATACATTCACATTCAAATTAGGAACCAGGCCGCGGCCTCACCACAACGCCCTGGTCTGTTTCTGTTTCTTTCTCTCTCTTAGGCTTCTTGTCTGGGAACTCCTATTTCTTGATCATTCTCCAGGTTTCCTTGGCTCTGGTCTCGTCCAAGCCTATTCAAGACTTTCTTGACAGCTCTACCAAGAAGTTGTTCATATAGCACACATCTGACTAGGGTCACTCTCCTCTGGAGAGGCCCTGTAGACAGTGCTCACAGAGTGAATCAGAGGCCCCACACCTGCCAGACACCCTGTGACTTGGGTCTGGTTGCCACATTAGCCTGCCTGCACTAGTTAAGTGGGACATGGTGGCCTTTCTCTGAACACAGCCTAGTCTGTACAGAGTTGTAAATTTGTATACATCTTCCCTCTCATTTGGTCACTCTCTGTTGGGCTGCCAGGCTCAGTGCTTCTTGGGTTTGAAATTGATCTGAAAGGGAACCCATTCTGGACCACCCTCTTCAGCCTCCCTCAAACTCAGCATCCAAACAACTGGTTCCCGATGCTGATAACAGCTGATGGGCCTCTCCCAGCACTCCCTCTGGATGGAAGCCCTTGAGGACAGGAGCTGTGTGTTATCTCTATAACCCCCATGATACCATTTGACATTGCTTCTGGCATGTAACAGGAGCTCAATATATTATTTTTTTAATGACTGAGTGAAATGGATGGTGAAAAAGTTCCTTTAAAGCCAAACCTTTCAGAACGACTTGTGTTACAGTAAAGACTGATTTTCAAACTAAGTGTTGTCAGTGTATGAATGAATGGTGGCCAGTAACACAATTTTAAGAACTTTTGAGCCTAAACTTGCTTTGTGCCTTTGAGACATTACATATCAAATAAAAGGGCACAAAAGTAGAAGGATGAGAAATTCAATTTAGCTACTATTAATAGATTTGGCAAGACTCTTGGCAGGGAAGACCAAACTAAGAACCACTGAAATTCCTTCTTTCTTAACATTTGTGTTTAAGATACCTGTGGTCAGTTACTCAGCTGCTGGGTACACGCTGTCTTAAGAAGAATGACATCCTTCTCATGAGGGCTAGACACTCCTTTCCAGTTCTACCCCTAAGTTTTTATGCCAGGCCTGAGCGATAGGCGCTAGTCAATGAATGCCAACCAAATGGATCAAGAACGAACTGAAAACTAGAATTATACATACACTATTCCTGAAATACTGTCTTTAAGGTTGAATATCGTTAATCTTGAAACTTTAACTTATCAACAATTAAATAATTACTTAAAGGCCAAGTACGTTCATGTTTATAATTCAATCACGTGTCTTAGCTTTCTTGGAAGACAGGATGACTCTAAACAACTTACAAAATAACTGTGTGCATGGTACATGCTATATGTAGGATGACCTTGCTGATGACCTCTGTCCTGCAAGTACTATTACAGCAAAATTCTGAAAGAGAATCCCTAAATATTATTTATCAGGTAATTAAGGTTATTTTGGAGACTACTTGTTGCCCCAATGAGGAGCCTCTGTAAAATAAAGGGATTTTGTGTTTCTCACAGACTAGATTTTGGAGGAAGGGTAAATGCATTCAACTGCTTTGTTGACATGCACCTCCCCTTTATCATTTTCCATTGAGTAAACCTTGGCAAATTAGAATTTGGACAGAAATGCAACACTAAAAGGTAAAGGTGTTCCTTCAAATAGATCTTTTTCTTAAATGATATTTGGTTATCTAATTTTTCCTCTGCTGAAGAGAAACTTTCAGTATGGTTGTAAATAGGAAAACTAGATTTTAATCTGTAGATCCATGATGATAAATATATGGGTACAGTGCAGAGCCATTAGGCTCCCAACATGGTCTTTCCCCACTCACTGGTACTTGTTTCCCAGGAGTGAAGAGGAGCTTCCTATAGGGAGTGAAGCATGTCTAGAGGAGCTCTGGAACAACTAGCAGACACATCAGAAGTCAGGAGCAGCCGCCCTGTCCCTGTCCCAGTGAGCAGATTGGTGGGGAGCTGCTGCTTCTCCAGATAGGGGCTCTCCACTGTGCTCAATGACAGCACCTCTGACACCTTAACCACTGGCACTCCATGAATTGGACATCAAGTTACCATTTGCCAAGCATCTACTAAAAACTTGAGGTCCACTACAGCATTTTGGTTTCCAGTGTACAGCAGTGAACCATTGTTCCTGGGGCGGATTAGAGCAAAGTTCTTCCCAAGTTGACTTAAGTTTTAAGTCACCAGCCACAACAAGTAACAGTGAGTGAAATGCTTGTGAGTCACAGGACAAGGCAATGGTACTGCTTAAGACTTTGTTTTAATGAAATGACCAGTATTATTTATATTTTTCTTTGAAAAATGAAAAAAAAACCTTTTGTTAAAGTGGGAAAATGGTTATGACATCTGCTTGATTTCAGCTCTAAACACTAGAATTGTGAATAAATAACACATTGAGCGGAAAGTAGTTTGTACATATACATTTTAAAACTTTTGTCCCAGGAACATTATGCCTACTATAAAATTCTGGAAATTATGCAAATGAGAATGATTTTCTGATTAAAGATGAAAATGAAGCCTATATGTCTTGAAATATCTGATTTAAACCCAAAGGCAGTCCTCTCTCTCATACAACAGACTTCTATTTTTGGTTTAATTCTAAATTGCTGGGGCCTATTGCTTAATTCAATTTATACTAACCCCTTCAACCAGCGATGGCGAACATTTTAGAGCTTTCAAGGATAATACACAGCCTGCATGTCACAGTTTGTAAGAACAAAGTCCCCTGGCAGTGCACTTGGTACCCAACACAAGCTCTGCATGTATGAGGATTCCTTGTGGCCAGATTTTTCAGTGAGTGCTCATCAGGATGCTTTTGTTTATTTATGAAAATGTGGTAAAGCCTGGAGCAGACCTCCTGTTCGTGAACCAAATGAAAACAAAGACCAAAATATTACTAAACTGTACATATAATTTAAACTTTGTATCTACTTGAGTTTTAATACACCTTTTCAGAACTGTTAAAGGGCTGTAAAAACATGATCCCATGAAGAACATGTCACCTCGAAAGAAAAAAAAAAAGAAAATGAAAAAGGAAAAACTCACCAGCTAAAAGCAAACATTTATTAGTGTAACTTTTAGTTGAAATAAGAAATCACGCATTTATTCATAGAGGATGGAGCAATTGTCTTCAGCAAATTACTACAATTTCAAGAAAACTACTATATATTATTAGTGTGTTGGGTGCAAGAGAACATGCTATGAATAGAAAATAAGGTCAGACTGAGCATCTCGCCATAAGACCTTTGAAGGCAGTGTTCTGAAAACTTACATACAGCTAAATGCACTGTTCACACACAGATTTGTTTTGACTAAATTGTTGCCTCTAATCTTATTTTCTATTTCCAGAGTGTATTTAATAAGAGCGCAAGTATCAAGGGATTGCCAACCAAAAAAAAATTTTTAAAAAATTATATAAATGTTAAATAAAAAAAGTTAATAAAGATCAAATTGGGCAAAAGCTTGATGGCTACTGGAAAGCAAACTCAGGGTAAAGGCACAGTACCGTACGAGGGCACTGACTCTCGGGTATCATTCTCTCCACATAACACCTGGCTGCCTGGACAAAGAGTGAAACAACAAAGCTTTCACTATCATATTTGAATCCCGCTCCCGCTCCCACTAGCCTGTAACCCTCGGTGTCCAGAGCGATGCCTACTTACTGTGGTCAATGTAAAACGTGCGGCCATCCAGGTGAATTCTTTCTTCCCAGCCAGGCTGGTGTCCAGCGAAGGGAAGTGCAGAGAATGCAAACGTTAGTTAGTGGTCCACTATCAAAGGTGATCATTTAAAATATCAGAGGAACTTTCCTTACTCCTGTCTCCTAAAGTGCACCTTTACATTCACAATAAATACAAACATTACTGGTTAACTTCTGACAAGCTCTAACCACGCACACACATTCCACCATCCCAGATGCATTCCCTGTGTGACCAACAAGAAATGAGCGTTACCTCAAAAGCTCCAAGTAGAACTTCAGCATACATGAAAGCTGAGGCTGAAAAACTTACTTGGTTAAATAAATACTGAGTTCTACAGTGAGGGAGGAGGACGGTTAATACAACCATATTAGACACAGTGGCTTTATTTATGTTAAGTGGCAAAACACCACAATACAGACCATTCTCTGCCTTTAATTCTCACTACTCAAACTCAGAACTGTTACATCCAGTGGACTTGTGGTCTAGGGTCCCCAGATTCACCCTGGCCGACCTTGTTCTCTCTCTCTCTCTCTCTCTCTCTGATGAAACCCACTCAAAGCGAAAGTAATTTCATGATAGGCATTATAAGGGGAAGTGTTAAGAGTCCTGCTGGAGGGGTGGTGGGGCCCACAGCTGGGATAGCGCTGAATCTGGGGCTGCGATCCTGTTCATGGTGTACGGGCCCCAGTTTCACCTCCCTGAAGGTCAACACTTAACTGACTGGATATTGGGCTTGTCAGGAGTTGGGTCTTGTGGGCCGAAAGGTAAGCATGGCAGCCTGCATTAGGAGGAACGGTGCTGCCTGCACACAGGAAGGTACCAAAACCACGACTGTCAGCTTCAAACCACAAAACTGGTAACTGCTTGCTGCTAGCAGCCATACAAAAGCTGCTGTTCCCTCTCTAAAAAGGGCCCAGGTCTTTATTTTAATATTACTTAAGGGTCGCTTCTGTTTCTATAGGAACTAATAATACTTTAGGATAAGGCTGATGTGCCTCCATTATCTGAACTGTCCTAATGTGCCAACTGAAACTCAAGAATCCAGTGGATTCAAACACACTTTCTTTTACTTTCTAAACTTGGTTCATTCTCCAGGCTTCTGAATTCGGGAACCAACAGATTTGGACAGTGAGGGTGACATGCATCATAATAAGCAATCAAAGAATCTTAACTTTTGTAGCCCACCTTTCATCATACTGAGGGAACGGGGAAGTAAAAAGGATGAAAATATTATGTGTGTCAATCTCCCATAATGAATGTATATATAGTGCATTATAAACATATAGTAATAAAAAAGGCAATCTTTTTTTTGCTGCAATACATCATATGCTGGTCAGTAGAAAGGTTCTTATGCTTGAAAGACAACACACTCACAAACACACACACATCCCATTTAAAATTAGACTTGTCCCCCCATCTTCTGATCCCCACCCTCCAGTTTTCTTTCTGAGCAGGCTGTTGACAAGGATGCACAGTGAGATTTCATTCAAAATCTATTTGGACCAAAGCACTCCGCTCTCCTAAAGAAAACAGCCTGGTAAAACATTAGATTTATACCTAGTCATCCACAAGGGAAAAAAATTCAAAATATTTGCAGGTTAAATGACTTACTGTGATTACTTAAACTTCCTGTGATCACTTATGCCTTTTTTCCCCTCCCACGCTGTTTTCAGTATTTTTGTTGCTATGACTAAATCAGCAAATGGATGGAACTCAGTGGCTGTTAACTTGTAAAATAAACGTGTGCGCTTAAACTGTCACCTCAAGTAAATGCCTCTTGCATATCCTAATTCAAGGTCTACTTTGGTTAAGTGGCTAGCAATTCAGAAACTTAATTTCTCAAGTGCTGGTATCATATACCCTGCAACGTAGTCTTAGAATTCCAACACAAATTCAACCCTATTAACAAACACAATCTATGAGACCCAGGAAGCCTGGGGAAAGAGAAGACTCAGAGTGCCTCTCTATCAACACTGGGGAGAAAAATGAACAAAGACTTTCAGCCCCTTTTGTGCATCTCCAGTATACTCACAGGAAGAGGGCCAAGATCATTGGGGTTTAAAGATGCCTTTGACCGCATATGTACTGGAAATTTCAGGCGTGGATCTTCCTGCAAGAAAAATACCAAATGTAGAAGCTGTTATAATGGACTCTGTGTGCAGTTATGGGTTCCTTCCCTCCTTGAGATGCTACAACGAAGTTGCCTATGCATGGTGGAAGATCCCATCTCTGTGTTCTGGCTAACCATCTTTCAAGACTCTACTCTTTATTCTGTGCTTAGTGAAGGAAGAGGGCACAAATATTTAAAAAGAAGGTGAACTATTTCCCCCAGGCTTTGAAGAGGTGTCGGGAAAGGGTCGAACACTGATTTACCATGGAAACCAGAACAAAGGGTGCCAGTGATGCCGTGGTTCTACTCCCGAAGGGAGGGGACAAGGCTTTGTAAATCTCCCTCTGGGTTCTGATACACAGGAACAGCACCCCATCAGTGCCTTTTGTCTTTCTGCTTATTCCTAAACTATGCAGGGATTTGAATCTGGTCTGCTGCCAAGTCATGCAGTTGTTCCCAAGAAAGCTCAATGTTCTGTAAGAAATTATGTACTCGACTACAGAGCTTTACTGGGATTTTCATCAAGTTCTGCATATTGGCTTCTCATTTATGTTTTAATATAAACATTTATAGACTTTTTATTAAAGGATACGTCTCGTAAAATACCACAGAAAACCAAGAAAACAGAAACATGTACTCTGTCATCTTGGGTTATGCTCAATACACAAAAAAATCATCAGATGTAATTTTGCAACACTCCTTATTAGAAGCTGGGACACACTGCCTTTGTTTCTTTAGATGAGAACAAGCATCAGAGATAATACATATTTGGTCACAGTGATAATCCAGAGCCCAGAAACTGTGCCTTTAAAATATGATGTAGTGTAGACAATCCATGTCTTTAAACACAAAAGATTAGAAAATAACAAAATTCAGAAAAAGTATATTGTCAGCAACCAAAACATATTATCTGACCAAGATTAAAAAGCAAAGCAAACCCTTAAGACATTTGCCACTAGCTTAACTCAATTATTTTCCAGCCTTTGCTGCTGTCTAGTAACTAAAAAGTTTTTGTTTCAACAATTCTTTGAGTCAACAGAAATATAAAATGCAGCATACTGCTGCATTCATGGGTAAATTTAGAGAAATGATAAAAATAAAAGTATCACAAAAACAAAACTAATCTTTGCTTTCTGTTAACTATAGCAAACTTTTAATTAAAGAAATAACTCATCTCCGCAGGCAGTGCCAACCCTGAATCTAATCTATTTTTAAAAGTCTGAGGAGTGGTACAAAGTAAGTCCATTGTTCTGTAGCAGAGAGAACATACAGAGAGCAAAGAAATGTACTAAATGTTTAGATAATCTGGTAACCATTTTTGACTGTTTAACTGTAGATAGTGGAAAATTTTAAAGCATCAACATCCACAAAAGTTACCCACTCAACTCTAACTCTAGGTGAGACAAGGGAAGAACATAGCTACCAGGGTCCTTTGGGGCTCCATGCAGCCAGTGACCATGCCAGGTTTAGAGAAAGCCCTGGTGAGCCTCTACACCAAAGGAGGCAGAGATTCTCGATGCTATATGCAAGGTGCAGCTGTGTTTTAGAATTATAGTCAGCCACACTTTTTAAAAGTAAAAAGCTAGTGATTCAGAGAGGGGAGAAAGAGCTAAGATTAAAGAAGAGGGCTAGAGAATAGAGGTGGGTGGGGGGCAGAGGGGTGCGACAATAAATACAAAATGAGCTCAGTTTTACAGGTGCACTGAAACAGCTTTGCATGAAAACACGGGGTTCATGGGGTACAAGAGCCAGAGTCCCTGAGGGGTCATATCATTTTATTTTGCCACCATTAATCAAAACGATGGTAGTTGCTACCATTAACCATGCTCCAAGGGCTCTCTAGCGGCTACTGAACTCGTTCTCCCTACAAACCCCTGCAACATGTAAGGAGGCCAGCACCCCACAGCTGAGGCAGCAGGATAGCAATGGTGAACCTACGGCATGCATGAAAGCTCTGAAAGGTTCACCATCACTGGAGTAGGAGACAGTCAAGGACAATTTTGGGGATGGTGACAAGCTGGAATAATAATGAGGTTGCGATTGATATGAATATAAATAAATGAAATACATAAACATACTTGATTTGTGTCTCCCTTTTCACAGCATAGTAAGGGCAATGAGTAATTAATTTCTTCCCTTAATCCAGTCAAAAAAATTTTCAGAGTGTAATGATGTCTTTGTTTCCAAAAAGGTTTTCTTGATTTAACAATAAGAAAAAAGTATACAAGAGAGTACTACTCAGCCACAAAGAAGAATAAACTTAAGACATTTCTAGGCAAATGGATGCAACATGAGATCATACCCATAAGTGAAATAAATCGACTCTCACGTGCACACATGGTACTGTCTCTCTGGTGCAAGAAACTGAAAGAGTAAATAAGGACCAAAATGTACAACAGATATTGAGAAATAGGAAGAAACTAGGAAAAGCAGCACCAAGGTGGGGGGAAGGGGAAGGAAGGAAAGAAAGATTAAAAGAAAATAGAAGATAGTTACACTACTAGTTTCTCTCTGCTCACTGAAAAGACAGGTTTGTGTTAATATCATCTGGAGAATGTTTTATGCCCATATCTTACAATCAGAGAAACTACTTAGAAGATAACAATATGCAGCATTAACTATTGCTATTCTTTTACTATTTTGTTATGAAATTTTGTTTTATTTTTTCCATAAAATTGAAAAAATGTGGTCAGACATTTTTTTCCAAATAGACTACAGGCATGCTGTGTGTCTCACTTGTACATATAGACAAAATGGGTCTTATAATATGCTTGGAATGGAATTTTACTCCACTGATGCATAGAGGGAAATGGCATGAATATTCTCATACTTCTGGCTAGTGTAAGAATCAACAGTACTCAGGCTGAAGCAGGAAGCATTATTTTCTTTATTCTCAACCTGTCCTACCAGTTTCTTTCCTTTTACTATTCAATGTTCAAATCTAAGAAGCATACCATTGTATGCTGCTTTCTCACTTATTCTTTTTAAGAAACAAAATCCCAAACTAACTTGAAACAGATTTTAAGCCAAAACTGATCTTGACACCCTCTCCATACTTATGTTGAAAGATACATGTAATTGAGAGTGTGTCTTCCAGACTAGAATGCTGTGCAAGGCTGTGTTTCATGAGATAACACAGCTGTGGCAGCACATCTGAGTTTATTTAAGAAGGGGAGCAACTTGGGGGATTTCCAGTTGTTGCCTTAGGGATCTTCAATAGTAGCAGCAGCAGCAACAGCAATAAAATGTTTTAACAGCTTAAAATTTCAAAGGAGTGAATTAGTCAATAACAAGTACCTGGGTAGAATGAGACAACTGAAAATTAAAACTTGGTTTCATTCAACAACAATGCTGGCAACAAATAAAGCTAGTGCTATTTAAAATAAAATCTACCCAGTTGCAATTACCCTGCAGTTGTGGTGTGAAAGGCTGTGAAAAGGTTAGGGGATTTGATTACTAAGCTAGTTCAAATTACTAAAATCATAGCTTATGTTGGCAAGCCACAGTGGCTCCATACACTAATCCATCTACTTTTATAACATTTACCCTGTTTCTGGAGCTCCAATTTCTGGCTGAGGATTTGAAACTACAGCAGTGGTATGGGGAAGGGGAACACCTTAGGGCAGCCATAGTCTGTGCCAATGACCAAAAAGAAAAAGACTAAAACCAAACTTCATTACTCTATTTTCCAAAGAGCTGCCTGTCTCTTATTCTGATCTGGCCCACAAACCCTGTAATACTATCTCAGACTAAAAGGTGAGTCAAACAAACCTCTATGTCATTAGATGCTTTAGAAGTAGTTATCAGTTTACCAAACGAATGTCATCAGATCTCAATGATAAGTGCTCCTGGCAGCTCAGTAAATTCCTTTACTACAAAATAGGAAGAGCTTTTAGAGTGGTTCTCACTGAGGAGTGTTTGGAAATGTGTGGAGCAGTTTTGGTTATCAGTATGTTGGTGAAGGAAGCGAAGGCAGGTATTAACATTTAGTGCTAGGAGCCAAGGATGTGAAACATTCCACAGGAGAGGGCACAGCCTTGCCCCAAGTGCCAAGAATGCCCTCATGGGACCAGACATGCTGCATGTGGTCCACAAGACTTAAGGGAGTACCCTCCAGACTAATTCTCAGAGGACAGGATTAAGATCACACAATGCACAAGTATAAATGAAAACCCAGGTCTCCTTGGTAGAGGCTTTCTCCTTAGAATACACCACTGTGCCAGCAACTATCTGGACATCACTAGAAATGGGAATTTAAAGGGCAAGTTCATATTTGAACCAACACTGATGAACTTGGGCCAAGAACAAATCTCTAAAACTTAATTTACTTTCATATACCTCAGTTCTAAGTGAGCAGCACAAATAATGAGACTAAGCTGATCTCCGAGTTGACTCTATGCAGACAATTAGATGGGGATATAAAATACAACCCACAGCATCCAAATAAGCCAGAAATGAGAACCCATTTGAGATCAATTTAGGTCTAGAGAGATACATCAGAGAAATATCTACAGACTTTTAAAAGAACTATGTCACCATGAAAAGCCACAACTGGTTCAGTTAAAAAAAAAATCCAATAGAGTAATTTAAAGATATACATATTCGCCTTTGCTTAGTCTTGTTTTGCCCCAAGTTCACGCAACACACAGACCTCTTTTCACTCATGATTTGGGAACACAAAGAAGTACAGCAGGATAAGAAAAATCATTTTTGACAAAATACTGAGAGGAACTATCAGATTTTTTCAACTGAGTCATTCAATACATCTTAACCCAGTCATACAATATATACATGAAGGAATGAGAAGTTTAAACACTGAAAATAAGTGACAAATCAAGTAAGAGAGGTTATGTCAATAAAGACGCAAAAAGAAATGGACAAAGACAAAATGTCTTTAGAAAGATGATAACTCCTGATAACATGGCAACAGCAGGAGCTGCGATAACACAACATCAACATGGAGTCACCCATTTCCCAATTGCGGCCAGCTGTCAAAGCCAGCACCTGCCAGGAGTGCTGTGAGGAAGGCAGGACAAGAAAACAAGCTGGGACCAGCACGCCAACCATCAGGTTGCGTCCCCCCACTCACCAGCCCACCAGCCCCGAGACCCCGGGAGACAGCCAGAGACACTCCTGTCCAAGAAGTCTGAGCACTGAGGACGCAGAGGGAGGAGGTAGCGCCAGACCTCAAGGTAAAAATGGTGTCAAATAAAAGCAGCAGTCTTACCCATGTCGTCGTCTTCGTGTTATGGTCGATGAAGAAAGGCCGGCCGTTTGGAGCGATTCTCATTTCCCAGCCAGGAGGCAGGAAGCTCTGTGTGACTTTGTGTTGTGGTTTGGGGGAGTTGTAGGGTGATGGCTGTGGGGACTGTGGGTTGGAAAGGGTATCTTTCACAGCCCGGCGTACGGGGGAATCCTTGGCACCCTACGGAATAATAATGAGCATTAGGACTTTGCCATGCGCTATTCCACTGTGTCAAAATGTACCCGCATACTGTAAAATGCTCTTCCTTAGAGACGGGTAAGGGAGAAGCTCTTAAAAACCTGTTTCTTCATTCATTTGCTTTTAAATCAATCTAACTTCATACTCTTTCAGTTTTTCTATAGTTGTACCTGTTGGTTGTTAAACACACTATATTAAGAACTTATAACTACCAATATTTGGTAGCCACTGGATATGTGCCAGAAACACAATAGTATTAATATAATTATATTAATATAGAATATTGTATTTAAGCATTATGGACAGGGATTTTACAAAGTGCAGAAAAATGTGTCCTTGCTCTTAATGAGCTCACAGTCTAATGAACAGATTGGCAAGTTTTAGAGCACAGAAACAAAAATCTCCAATACTGAAGATAACCAAACCACCCAGAATGACAGTTACCTATAACATTTACATTAGTCTGTAAATTGCTATTCCTGCTTAGCAGTACCTTGACCAGAGCAAGAAAGAACCCACAGTCATCTCTAGGCATAATCAAGTTTAAACTTCAAACGTTTACTCTCTGGTTTTTCTAACTCTCTGACCTTTGTGATGTTTAAGAATGGCACTAAAACAACACAAACAGGAGAGCGCACAAGCAGATGTCCAGCAATGACTTAAGGATAAAGATAACGCATCAGAGACACGAACGCCCATACAACGAAAGTCCCTATAGTCAAAGAAAAAAAAATGATCAAAGCGACAGCTACGTTTAAAAACTCAATATAAGCACTGGTATTGGAAAGAGTTATTATGCAGTTCCAATGAAGTAACAGGCAATAAGGAGCAAAACACAACAAGAATGGTAAAAGTTCTGAAAAGAGAGTTCCCACATCCAGCACAAGTCACCACGCACGGCGTGAGCCAAATGAGAATGAGAATTGCATGAGAGTCCGGGATGTTATCTGGGCTAGACAGAGAAGCATAGACGGAGTCTGCACAGAACACCGTGCTTCACCAGCACACATGACTGACCAGAGAGGAGGTGGCTGCAAAACTGAAGTCCAAGTTAAGAGTGAAGAGAGAGAGAATGAGGAGAAGCCACAGGACAGAGGTGACCCTGGTTAGACGAGGCAGCCTTCTCACCTCCAGTGGGGCAGATAAAGTTACTGTTGGCGAGCTGAGGCTGCGAGGCCGGCGGATCTGAGGCTCGATTAGGTGGTTGTTACTGTTTGTGGCTGATCCGGAGGCACCATCTTCTGCAAGCTATTTTGAAGGCAAAAACAAGTTAGCTTCATATGAGGATCTCTCTGTGTGTGATTAGGAGCGTGAACCCAAACAACACACGCAGCAATAATAAGAGGTCTGGCCTATTTAAAGCCTGGAGGAAATAATTAAACATAATCATGGGGGAACGAATGGGGAGATACATTCAAGAGGAACAAAAATGAATCACTGGCCTGCATAAAACTAGCCTTGGAAAAAAGAGAGGCAGAGGCTGTATATTGCAATAGGCTCTGCTTTGAAAATACCCTTCACATCGTATTTGGAAAAATGTGACCAAGGTCTGGAGTGTAGCTCAGGGGTAAAGTGCTTACCTAGTATGTTCAGTCCCCAGCACCACAAAACAGACAAACAACCCTCAAAAAACCAAACCCAAAGACAAAACAAAAAATAAAATAAACTGTATCCAAGGCAAGACTGGCTTGAAGACCAGGTCTTCCAAAGGCAAACATTACACTTAAAGGAATTCATGTTCTGTAGCAACTTTTTAAAACATGAGTCCTTCTGCACAGTGCATACACACTGGGAACGGGATGTAGGTCATGTCCATCTTGGCTGTTACGGCCTGTGATTTTAGGTTGGATGGCAATCTTCATACCTGCATGATTGGTCGAGTCCAAGTTGTGGTTCGATTGTTATGATTGACATAGTATGTGCGTCCCTTAGCATCTTTTCTTTCTTCCCAGCCTGAAGGTAGGCCCGGCGTGGTATGTACATAGGCCACTGATGGCTGTTTGTGCAAGAAATCATTATTATTTAACATCTAGCGTCTGTTTCCTGATCAGTTTAATAAAGTTACACACTCCTAGATAATTATATTTTCTGGACAAAGTAAGTTATGTACAGAAAACATTTCAATGAGTTATCTCAAAGACAACAACAGATTTCCAAGAGCTTCATCTACAACGTGAGATGAATCTCACAGCTGGGGCCCACATTCTCAACACTCACCTCTCAGACCCTGAGGTCTTAAACACAGAGTCACTGTGAAGGTGACTATAAGGAGAGAGAAAAATACCACAATCCGTTCTAGTTATTAAATTTCACTATCATACCATGTAGAGCTGAAAGGTATTTCAAGTTGCCCAATGCTGCTGTCCATGAGGGACTCTCTAGATACTTTCCTTTTGTCAAGCCACAGGAAGGCCTGGCCCTAAGTCCTTTCAGTGACTCAGGCCCCATACACAGCAGTTTTCAGGGCAAAAAAGAAAAAAAAAACCCAAAACCAAAAATAAACAAAAAAACAACCCAATACAGAGCACTTCCGCTTTGACACCAGCACTTCCACAGTAGCACAGAATCCTGAGGAGCACCAACAGGCTGTGTGCCCCAGCCTGACCACCCGTGGAGAAATTCCACAGAGCCTCACAGCTGAGCTGTGCTTACCGCAGACTATGGATGTGGAGTCTGTCCCTTAGGTGGCCTAACAAATACATGCAGTTTTTGGGTTTGAGTCATGTGGAGTAACTGTATTTGGACAGATCAAATTAGATTGCAAAGGATTCCCAAGACACTTTTACTTATAAGAAGTAGTTTGAGAAATGTGGTACAGATGGAGAAATACAGGGCTAACAAGGAAAGGTCATGAGATGATGAGACGCACAGAGCCAGTGCTGTTCCAAAAATCCTGTACACATGCGTGCTGCACCTTCAATCTGCACTCAGGAACTGAGGCTGTAGCAGAGGGGCTCAGAAAGACGATACCAGCGCAACCAGGCTCCTGGGAGATTGTGAAAGGCATGCGAGCCCCACTGCTAACAATGCCTGGGAAGGACTCTGCTGCCGCGGGCACCGTCTTCCCTGACCCTCCAGGTGTCTCAGCATGTGTCACCTTTTCTGGACTGGGCTCAGGATGCATACCTCCTCATAATCTAACTTTATCCTCCCATCTCCCACCTTTTATATTCACTACTAACAATGTGCTTGGTGAAGAAGGTTACAGGCACACAGCTCCATTAGTGGATCCCAGGACCCCTCGAATAAGTTTGCTACAAGTATTGTATTCAGAAAAGCATCAAATATGATATTCAGAAAAGTATCTGAAGAGGCTCTGCAGTCTGCTTCATAAGCTTAACATCATACTTCAGGGAAAAATTAACACCCTAATTAATCAGGAAGCCACTGACTCACACTGGTCATTTCTAAACCATGTTTAGCAGGCAGGGGAAGATTATTTGTAAGAAACCTTCCTGCTAAAAATGCCATGACTGTTTCCTTGACGTTTTCCCAGATAAGTACTAAAGGTACCACCAGATAATTCCAAGACTGACCATAAGGCCTCCTGGATCCAGACATGAAGATTCAAGAGCAGAAATGTGAACTGGCAGACTTAATCCTTTTACAACCACAGAGACAGATGGATAGAGCACAGCTTGGACAGAGGTCTTCCTCCTTTTTCTCCAGTTGTAGCACCAATACTAAAGTGCCACCTTCTATTTACTTCTATCTAAATACCCAAGCTGACCAAGTATGTGAGCAACCCAAGCTGTAACCTATGTGAGCTGTCAATCAGCGTTTGTGCTGTGGTTTGACCTACAACTGATATGGGTTAGTCAAAAATGCTTTGATTCAGTAGAATACTAAATGGATTTATTACTTTTCTTCCTCTTTGCTGAGTTATTTTGTGGGGAAAGGCAATTCGATATGCTCTCAGGATACTCAGTTCCAGAAACCTCAAGACTATTTTTACAGTTACTGCATCCATGAAAAGGATATTTATGAGGCAACTGATAAACTAAAATAACTTGGATGTGCCATGGCCAGTCTCAGAATTCAATTCTAAGCTGTACTGATCCTCAGCAACCAGGTTACTTTCACAGACCTATAGTTATCAGGTTCAATTTATGAAAACTTAGAAATGCAGCAGAGTGAATACTGAATTTGATTAAAATGTCCATTCTTCCTTCTTTAGAAAATTGAACTGGTAACCTGTAATTAAGCTGCATTTATGCAAGATGGTATTATTAAAATGTTCCTTTACAGCATCCTCTCCAAACAAGCATGTAGAACAACCTGTGCTGATCCCATTTGTGACTCAGAACACTGCCTCCCACTGCACAAGGCCAGAGAGCAGCAGGCCTTGAGTTCCTCTACAGATCTGCATAAAAACCCAGCCCTGGGCCAAATCAGGCTTCTGCTGCTATGTGCATGACAGCATGCTCCAGCGTCTCAAGAAACAAGCTAGGTAATTAAAAACCAAACTAAAACTTGTAAGTTAGCTTCATATTTGATAGGTTTTCCTCTGTAGACCAAATACACTATACTGTGCCTTACGATGTCAAATAGTCATTAACTCGTGGTGGCTGTTTCTTTCATTAAAATGAAGAACCTGAATAGTTTAAGCTGAAAAGACTTTAATATGATTTTATAAAAAATTTTTTAACAGATTACCACAAAGTCTCCAAGACTTGCTGAAACCCTCTTGTGGTGGTACCTTAACATATTTTTGGAACTCACAAAGCAAAGATCAAAGGACTGTGCTACCCCTCTCCGTACAGCTCAAAGGGAGGGGCTCTGGCTTAGCCTGCCTGAAAGTGACACCAGGGTGTGTTTACTTGACATAAATCACAGCTGTGGTTCCTCAGGCAAAAATCAAGCCTCACGTAGTACCGAGGGAAAAGCACGATATGGAAAGACATGCTGGCATGCTTACTGCAACACAATGTGGAATGCCTCAGTGTCCTTCAGTGTGAGAAAGTTACGTACATTGTGCTGCCCTCACTTCACTGAATAGTAATTACTAACATGTCACAGAAGAATGAACACAAGTAAAAAAATCAATTTGCTGAACATTATGTATCCGACATGTTGCTTTTTAAAAGTAAAACTGTGTATGTGCCTTGTGCACGAAGGAGCATTTGAAAAAAACAGAAGCAAGGACCTATCCCAGGGTGCCCCAAGCGAGGCACACATTTTGGTGAGCGGTGATGTGGGAAAGAGCCGACAGTGAGTCAAAGAGAAAAAACAAACGAACAAGAAAAAACAAAAGTGGCAAAGAGAAATTCCAGGGAAGTCATGGCAAGGAATGACGGGGTGGGAGGGAAAGGAATATAATCCTTCCAAACGTTACCTTGGTGCTGAAGAATCACGAAGTGAAAGTGGGTGAAATGCTTAGAAATTACTGTGGTCTTTAATAATCCCAAACTGAACCCAATCTGTATTTTAATTCATTGATGTGGGGGAGGAAACCACAGAGAAGGAGTAAAGGAGCGTTTCCATAGTTTCCAGAGCCAGACGGGCTCTCTCCCAGAGCACCTTTTCCTGCCAGGTGGCTCTTGCCATAGAGCTTGGCACTACACCGATTCAGATTACTCTGTCATTTTGGTCATCAGTTATTAATGCTTTGAAGTTACAAGAAGGTTGTTTGGCGAACAAAGTGCAAAACTGGATGTTTCATAAAAGGATGCTCATCAGTATAGAGAAATAATAAAACCATCTCATGAAATGATCTCTCTACCTTACAGCTTGCTCTATGATCACCACAGAATTACTGGCAGCAGTAGGAAATAAGCTAGTTCATGCATAATTCTTTGAATTCTACTACAGGATAAGCCTGGTTCACTTCACACAAACCACAGTACCTCAATACCTTAAATTGCACTGATTGTTACTGATTGCCAATTTGAATTTTTCTTTATACAAAGCTAAGCACTAAATTCTGACATTGTATCTAAATTACTCCTTTAAATGATCAACATCCTTCAGAAAATCAGCCATTGTATGTGTAGTTAAATCTATTCACAAAGTAATAAGCAGTTACAGCAAAAGCAACAAAGTAAAACAATAAGGAAAATTCTTCAATTAGCTGTCATACTCAAAGCATAGACCAGGCTAAGGACTTCAGGGATCAAGGAGAACACAGACAATTAAATATGCAGCCAAATCTAAGTTACTCATGAATATAAATACTATAAATTACTCAATGCATCAAATAGAAGAGTACCCACAAATATGAATACTATAAATCATTCAACGTATAAAATAGAAGAGTAACAGATACTTGGCTTGAAGTATTTTTCTGGACCATTTGAGGATTTTAATTATGCTCCCTCATCTTGGGAATTTTTCAAACACATGTCCATTCCTGTGATCAAGCCCCTAGTGATACAGAAAGGTCACTGGTTCATGCTAGAGGCAGAGGAAGTCCAGCCTCCTGCTAAAAAAAATGTGGTATGGGAGACACAGAAGCACAAGCTGGACTCTCATGTATCCTCATGTGATTCCTGTGGTTTTGCTGGTTGTCCTTCAACCATGTTATTTTAACCAAGCATTCTAATGACAACAAAAACGTAGAGGTACAAATGCTAAAAGGTAAACCTATATTCTAAATGATCAAATTAAACACACTTAACCAAAGTCTAATGCTAGTCCAAATAAAATTATATGGTACTAAAGATTATTTCACTTTAGTTGGTGCCTTTGAACAATCTGAAAAAATTTAAAACAAAATATGTGCCTCTCTGTAGCGCAGAGAAGCCAATCTCCATTTAAAGAACGGAGAGAGCATATTCACCATCAACTGAAATATCAAACTGGCCCACTGATTTTCGCCATTAATGTCTGATAAAATGTGTCATTACCGTTGGCTCCTCACCACCCGTGACAGTTGACGAACGCGCTCTCCTAGTTGGGGTGCTGGGCTGTTAAATGATAACCGATGTCAGTGAAATGTATTCAAGGGGTCAACCCACTGCTCAGTGAATCAGGAATCACTGCTGTGGCAGCACCATAAGGCAGGTGGCATGTGATCAGAATCCCTGACATTCTGTCTAAACAAAGATGAGCAGACATTGATGACCAGCAGCCAAAGAGAAGCAGGATCCCCTATTTGCCGCCAGGGCCAACCCAAGGAGGGCGGGATCCTCTGTGCAGATGAATAACAACAGCCTCACCAAGGTGAGATATGTTACAACACAAAAGTGGAAAGCCAGTTGGCTTTTCCCCTACTGTCTAATAGTTAGCACATTCATAAATCTGACAAAACTCAGGTAAGAGGCCACTGGTGATCCATGAGCTCAGCTCATTGTAAGGTAGAAGAGCAGGGAGAGGAATACTCATTTTTATGAAAATAAGCTGTTGGGCAAAGAAAATTGACACTGATTTTGAAAAGGAGAGAAAGTGCCATTAATTCGTCAAGGGAAATCACAGAATCATAAGGCTAAGAAGAAACCCACTGATTCATTATCACTGATTGTTCTGCTCAGACAGTGGAGAGCCCGTGCTGACCCCATCCCAGAAAAGACAGTCTCTTCAAGCTCATTATTAACCAGTCTACTCTGTGTAAATCACAACTCAATCTCCTATCTTGACCAGTAAACTCATTAATTCATTTTTGAAACATAACCTAAAATGTAGGCAAAAATACCCTTTAAAGCCAGGTAGAAATGTACAAGACCAGGAAGATACTGGTTTCAAAGACTTTAAATATACTCTGCCCTCCCTCAAATTCATACATGATAAAAAGTATGTGCAAAAATAATTAAGGATTTGTAGTAATAAAAAACCTAGTCGAGGTCAAATATCAAATTGAGTATGCACATCAAACATTTCCCAAGGCACTGCTGGTGTGCTTTCCAATTTGAATGTTTATTTTTATAGACAGTGGATATTATTAAACCCTCTGCCACTTCTATGTCTGCCAGTAGTTATTACAACAGTGGGAGACTGAGAATGAATTATAGCCAATTCTTTACTCATAGAGCTGCCTTTCAAGACAGAGTGAGTGGAGCAGCTTTGTGGAGCTGACGATTTAGGCTGCTGGTAGCGGGAAGGGGCACAAGGCTTTCTGCGGAGAAGAGTTCTTCCTGCTTGGTGGGATCAGTAAACTTTCAGAGTCCAGTTTACTGGAGCACAGCTACAATAACTGAACGAAGTACAAGAATTATAAACAAACACAAGTAGTTTCAGTCAGGTAAGTGCATCAGGATTGATACAAATTTGGATAAAACCCCAAAGCAATGAGGTGTTCGGCATTTCAGAGACCTGGTGGCAGTAACAATTCTGTCTTGGAGACCTATTCTCCTTGAGCAATTTGCAAGGAAATATTAAAATGTCTCCCTTATTCAGTGAATATACGTGGACAGGAAAAACTCTTTCTTAGAAGCCCAGAAGATTTTATATCAAAGCCAAAAAGCCAGCTGATAACTGAAATGAACATGGGTTACCGGTGGTAGGTGGGCTTGTTCCGCAACCGTGTCCGTGACACTGCAGGACCGTAACCTGGAGGGTTCTCTCTGCTGGAAGAGAGGAAAAGACAGCAGGTTTCAAGACGCACATTCCTAGAAATGAGTCTCACTGGTTTAAAAAAATTATCATATAATCCTATGCACTACATCTTTTTTTCTCCAAAAAGTATTACTGGAGGATGAACCCAGGACTTTTCACACTGAACAGTATCTCCCATCCTCTTTTATTATTCATTTTGCGCCAAAGTCTAGGCTAAGTTCAAACTCACGACCTTCCTGCTGCAGCTTCTGAGAGTGCTGAGATTACAGGTGTGTACCACAAGGCTCAGCTCTGTGAACCATTTTTGGTATTAGGAGGTAATTCAATGAAACACCTTTTCAGAGCAGAGAGTCAAACGATCCTTTGTTTCAATTCTCAGCATTTTCAGCAGACTGGGATTTTGAATGGATTTTAGATTAACAACAAAAGTAAGAAGCCAGGTGCAATGGCATACATCTGTAATCCTGGCACTTTAAAAGAGGCTGAAGCAGGAGGATCACAAATTCAAGTCCTGCCTTTGGGACTCTGTCTCAAAAATATAACAAAAGGGCTGGGGATTCAGCTCAGTGCAAAGGCCCTGAGTTCAATCCACAGTTCTGGAAAAAACTGGGGGTGGTGGGCTGGGATGGAGATGGAGACCAAAACTCCTAGAAAGGAAACTCAAAAAGCCCCTGCCATACTCAAGAGCTGCTTTCTAACCCCACTCAGAATGAGCAGCTTGTACTCTGCTTAGCATGCCAGCTCTGGGAAAATACCAACATGATAAAAAGAGAGGAAAAAGCAAGAAGAAATAGTGGATATACGGATACTCAAAATTTATTGATAACACAGTTGAAAAATTATTAGTTGGTTTCTATGTCCAAGAAAACTCAGAAATCATTCTGCCCTGGTTCTGAAAGATAGAATATTTATAAAGCTCCTGAGTAGAGCTGACATAGCATAAAAAAAGAAGAAGAAAAACACTGAGGTTAATCTAAAGACAGACTAATGTGTAACGTTACAATACGCCTCTCACTTGTTGGTATCCTATATGGTTAAACATGGCCTAACAGAACAGAATGGAGATCCCATTCAGAAGTCAGAGGTTGCCTTACTGCAGGCTTGTATGTGGTATAAACGTGTAGTGTGCACTAGTTTTTAATGATTTGCAACAGCAAGTAAAATGACATAATGTTTGAGCAGAACTCTGCAGTGATGATGGGAACTACGCATGAGCAATTCTGAGTAACACTTCACACTACTGTCCTAACACAGAGTGACCCTGAGCAGAGAAACTGGAGCAGGGTTCTCTAGTCATTTTAACAGTTAACCCAGTCTGGAAAATAATAAAATACTGCCCTCAGGTCTTAGGGTTATTTTATGCTTCTAGAGTAATTAAATGTACTAGCTTCCCGTGCAATAACTAGAAAGTTTAATTTAATATTAGTGGTGATGAAAACTGTATTTTTTTCCCCACTTGGTTCACTAAAAGCATATGACTGCTACGGTTTCTGTGATTCTTTTTTAGGTTTAAAATATATGGCTTTATTGCTTATACTGTTTCCATAGCAATAATTTTATCAATTCAAATGATCTCACACATGAAACTCTTTTCCTCTCTATTTATTATAAAATTTTCATCTTGGTGCCATTTTCTTCTTCTTTCTTCCTCGTTCCTCTTCCTCTTCTTCCTCCTTCTTTTCTCCTTCTTCTTTCCTTTTTCTTTCTTTCTTTCTTTTTCTTCTTTTTGGTATTGGGGATCGAACTCATGACCCACACTCACAGGCAGGTGCTGTGCCACTGAGTCAAGCCATTTTCTTTTTGAAAAAAATTCACAGAAATCACATTAACAAGAAATCCAGGCTACTGACACTACATAGGCACATGGAGTCTTTTAAAATGAAAATACCGTATCAAAGGAGAAACAATTTGTGAGTACTTATTTGGCTTGTGTATTTCATGCTGTCCTACTATCTTTTATATTCAGTGTGCTCATAATGACTATTAAGTTTTATGATACCTTTTTCAGTGGAGAGATCACCACCATTTACTACATTACAATTTTTCAGTTCAATTCTAGAGAAACACTGTTATGCACTGGCTCTTAATTCCATGCACATGCACAAGTTAGCTACGGGCTTTTTCTGCAGTTTCTGTATTGTCAAATGCAAAGCTCTTCCCACTGCTTCTCACTGGGGTTCAGTCCCATCTGAAGTCTCTAGAAGTGCGTCTCTGATGGTTGAAAACCTCAGTTCCAATGCTGTTTTGATGTCAGTGTCCTAATTTTACACCCTTTCTCACGGCTCACACTCGGAGTTAGCAGGAACCTTTGACCTCCCACTGAAACCCTTGTCTGCACGAGTGACTTAAACGCCTGCCCTTGTCTGTGAAATGGAGTGACAGGGTACACACAATACGACCTCAGAAGCTTGGTCAGGAGTTTGAAGCGTTCCAAATTCTTCCTGTGAAATACCACTTTCATGATGAGGGTGCTATTTTTATGACTTTTGCCTGTGAGGTTAAAGCTAGTAGTCACAAAAGTGGCATTTTTTTTTTTATTTTTTTTTTTACAAATCAAGTATAAGAGTTGGTAGTACATTGCTGTTTTCCAAATCAAGACTGCCATCAGCCTGGGCTAATTTTAATATACTCCTGCTTTTCTTAGAGAGGGGGATCTCCAGTAAACATTAGCTTGCTGGATAACCCTTGGTTGTTATTTATATTCGAAAATCTCCTAAAGCAGTAAAAAATGACAGAACATTGTTTAGCTTTTCTTTTGAACAAAATCACCGCTTACAATCAGAGAAGTGAACTGTTCCCCACTGGAGTCTGGGGTGATCTGCAGCCGTCTGCTCAGCTCCTCCGACAGCTCCTGAGGACTGGTCCGAGACACGGGGGAGGAGGGCGGTGGAGGCAGTGCCAGACCCAGGGAGTCTCCGGCCATGTTCACTTCTTCTGAGATGGTCTCCCAAGGCTTTCAAGGACAGAGATGCTGAAGTAAATGCTAGGAAATGTGGATCCTCCCAGCTTCCCCTCAACAGAAACATAACAATAACCACAGGGATGGCTGTCATTAACGTCTAGTCAGCACTTACCATGAGGCACACAACCTTTGTGATAATCATGAGGAAGACATGACTACTGTTCCAATTAAGAGATCAGGAAACTGAGGCACAGAGGGTAACCTGCCCAAGGTCAAAGAGCTAGTGGTGGCAGGGCTGACATGAACATGAGGTCTGTGTTTCTCACCATTTTATGATCCTTTATTACTTCATGCTTAGGTTAAAGTAAACTCAGGAGTTTAGAAATGATTTTCACAGAATTTCTTTTACTTTGACTGCTAAGGATTTATAGTGAAAACAGCACAGATACTAAGGTGTAATTACACACTAAAATAAATTTTAGTAACTTGGTTTTCTAATTTTGATCTGCAACATTTTGTGAATGATCTTCCTCACACAATGTCTAAAAAGAACTGGTCTACTGAGTGCACAGCTATTTTAATTTGCGTTTTGTAAATGACCAGTGATGTTGAATATTTTTTCAAGTATTTACTGGCCATTTCTATTTCTTCACTGATGTCTATTCATTTCAGATGCTCATTTTGGATTGGGCCTTAAATTTGGGGGTCTGATTTTTTTGAGTTGTTTATATATGCAAATCGTAGTCCTTTGTCTGAGGACCAGCTGGTAAAAAAAGTTTCCCACTCTGTGGGTTGTCTCTTCACTCTGCAAATTAAAACAAGGCCAAGATTCTGTCTTACCCTACAAAAAATGCCTATTATCAAGAAATCAACCAATAACATATGCTGGTGGGGCTGTAGGGAAAAAGGAACCCTTCTTCACTGTTGGTGGGAGTGCAGCCTTGTGTAACTACTGTGGAAATCAGTACAGAGATTCTTCAAAAAACTAGGACTAGAGGTTTCATTTGACACATCCATTCCTCTTATTAGTATCTTCCCAGAAAGCATAAAAAGCATCATAAAAGAGCAATATATGCACACCCATGTTCATAGTTACACAGTTTGTAGTAGCCAAATCTTGGAAACAGTCCAAATGCCCACCAACTGGTAAAGATGTGGGTTTTTATACAGTGGAGTACTACTCTGCCATAAAGAAGGATAAGCTTGAGACATTTCTAGGTAAACAGATGTACCCTGAGTCCATATTCTTATGTGGAACAAATCAGACAAATGTAAATACTGCATTGTCTCTCTGGTGTGAGAAACCAAAGGTGTAAACAAAGACCGAAATGTGTAACAGGTATTGTGAAATAAGAAAAAAAAAAAGTTCAAATGGGCAGGGGAACAAAGAAGAGGGGAGGGAGAAAGGAAAGAAAAAAAAATGAGAAAAGAAGGAAAAAATGGAAACAAAGCTTTTGTAAATGGGGAGGGAGTGTTGTAGGGAGGGGGCGAGTGGGAAAAGAAAGAAATAAGTTATATCATGTACAGGGACCAAAATAATAAATGTGATCATTTTATAGAACAAAATGTACCAAGAAAATCTGATTGTAAAAGTTAAACAAAAGAAAAGAATTTCTGAATAGCTGTATGTGAGGAGAAATAAAAAAGGATATGGCTAGAGCTTGGGGAAAAATAAACTACAAAGTGTCTCAGGATTTTCCTATTAGAAATAGTGCAGTCCCTTTTGTAATGATATAAGGCCACTGTGCTTGTCACACATAGTATTTATAAGCATTTCTAAATTAATCAATACCATCCCAGACATCAACTAGCTACAAGGCCACAATCTTACATCCTAGACAAATACCACTGGACTGAACAGCTCTGAGTCTGAGGGGCGGTGGGGACAGTGTACCTCGGGGCCCTCTCCGCCTTCCGAGGCCTCGGGCTCCAAGTCCTCGCTGATGTGCCTGCGTGAGCGGAAGCGCCTGTGTGCCGCCTCCTGGTTGATCTGCCTGATGTTGTTGTCGGACTCGGAAGACACATCCCTGCAGGCAGGGAGAAGGGACGTGAGAAGAGAAACGATATTCAGTTCCGGGCCTCCACCCATCCAGCCCTCACCGAGGGCCACCAGGCCTGGTCACCAAAGCCGAGCTCTCTGAGCTCCACGCCAATGCCAGGCTTATTTCAGTCTACAAAAAGCAATTTTTCAGTGCAGCTTTGAGGCACGCACAGTGCTTCCTCAGTACGTGTAGGGGCCGGTTCCAGGATCCCGTTGGCTTCCTCACAGAGGCAAGTGCCACAGAACCCACACATGACCTCCTGTATACTTGAATAGTCTCTGGATTCCCCATAAAATCTAATACAATGTAAATATGATACGAAAAACGGTTGCACTGCCTTTCAGAGAATAATGACAAGAGAAAAAAGTTCATACAGGTTCAGTAGAGTGCTAATTTATTTAAAGAGTCCAGTAATGACCCCAAAAGCTATTTTTTTGGTCATAACTAATAGATCAAAGACTACAAGACATGCAAACTCAAAATTGCAATCTGGAAGAAAACGTTCCTGAGCCACAGTGACTTTGCTCAACTGCTTTCTATCTCACTGTGACAAAATCTCAATCACATTTCTGACTCCTCCTTCCCCTCAAACCTACTTTTAAAAATCCAAATAAACGCTAGGAGTTAACTTTCCTGGTCAACTGGCATTTGACAAACACTGCACCTGCAATGTCATGAACTCTACTTCTGTGACACAAGGGTCTCAATTCAGGATCTGAATGCATCAACTTAATCTTGCAAACATTTTGCAGTGTATTACAGGTTATCACTTGGGAGAAACAGGCTTTCCGGGTAGAAGTTTAAATGCTACAATACTGTTCAGGACACTTCCAAGTACTTTCAGTAAAGCTCATGTTCAGTTAAGAGGAAATTACATTGAGATTAATGTTTTCAAATAGTTGAAAGTATTTTAGACAAAGTAAAATACAGTATTAATCAGGAGCCCTCACCATAGAACTTTTCTGAACAAAGCTTTTAAATTTCTAATACAGTCTCTAATTTACACTACATCCTAAATAAAAGAACTTGCTTAATTAAATGAAATGGTGTAGCTAATTACAGACTAGTTACTTACTTAACTGAATGAAAAGCATCTCCCTTCTCTGACAGTCACCACCTAAGTCCATGTAAGACTATTTGCAAGTAAATGGTTGACTTTTGGACACTAGCTGCCTAAACAGTTGAGTATTTCAAAAAAATATTCTTTACAGTATTAACTTTGGTAAAGGGGACAGTGACTAAAAATGAATTGTTGATTATGTTAGTTGCTGTATTTATGATTTTATGTTGCTGTAGTAATTTTTATGACATTTGACATTTAGGTACAGCATGATTATAAAATATAAAAAATTATTATGCAACAACAACGACAACAAAAAACCTGGAAGGAAAATGATCAGAATACACTTAAGAAGTGTGCAAATAAATTCAGTAGTGCAAGGTGGCAAAGGAGTTACACAGCACCTTCTCTGACTTTTTATTAAGGATGAAAGCAGTTACACCTGACTTCAAATCTAAGCTTTCTACGAAGGTTTTAAATCTTCCTCAAAATGCCAGTTGTGGCTACTGTCCGGTCTCAGTGAAGGAATAACCTGTACACAGTTATATGTGCCAGGCCCTCTAGAGCAAGGATACACTGAATTGTTACAAGTACAAGGGCTCTGAGAAGTGGGGAAGAATGAGACTTTAATATTACTACATCGATATCTCACATCGTTCAGAAGTACACAAAAGTCACAACTCCAGGACTGATTTTTAAAAACAGAAGCGGGTTCAAAATCAATTATGTCAGTCTTCCTTATCCAACATGCTCACATAATCAGTAATCAGTGTGAAGCAGAGAGAACCAAATAATTTCAGACGCAAAATAACTCTGATTTTGAAAGTTTAACCAGGGGCCTCCATGGGCTTGGGCGGTGACAGTATTCACTGAAGGAAGGCCCTTTCAATTAAGCAAATACGGGGCTGCTGACGTGCACTACAAGTTTAAATGGTCACTAACAGGAAGATGGCACTTACCATTTTTCTGACCTGATAAACAAATAAAAAACGATTTGCTTGTGGGGCACAAAATAATTTTAAAAATGGCCACTTCAATTTTTCTTCAGTCATTAGTTTTGTACGTACAGTTTACACTTGACTTTCAAAGGAAATGACACAAATGACTAAGGTAACAGTGGAGCAAGCCGCTTGGAAATCAAGGTCGGTGCCAACTGAGATCAGCGGCTCAGACAATTTTCATTCCCCGTACAGTGCGACTGAGGTGTTGCTATGAACCACACAGGGGAGATTAAATTATCGTTAAACAGATAAATAAAATATTTTATAATAAAAAAGAGTTAAAACAAGTGTTTCAGGAGACCGAGATGGAAGCAAGCCCCTGCCTGTGAGCCATTCTGAGCGTGGATGGGGAGAGCAGTGAAGGAAGCAAGCCACCACCTGTGAGCCTGTGGGCCAGCTGAAACACCAACTGGGGTGAGGACAGCAGCACCCCCCACGAGCAACCAGCTGATTGGGAGGTTGGTGTTGTTTGATTGACGTTGCAAGCCTAACGCCGAGCAACTATCTGGAGGACGATAATATGCAGTGCAGTAACTGTGGTGGATTTCCTACTGTCATATCACTGTTTTGATTTATTTTATTGTTGTTATGCCCTTTAAAGAGAAACACAACCTGAAAGAGTTAGTGGGATCCAAAATGTACACTAAGTATTGTGAAGGTGAAAGGGGAGGAAATGTCTAAAAAAGGGAAAGTGGTAGCCATTGTTAATTGCCTATTACCTTGTTTTGAAGTCCTGTATTGTTTTCATCGTTTTGTTTGGTTTGATTTTGTTTTGATAGATTCTATCATGTCTGATGGTATACAAAGCTATTTTGAAGATAATAATATATATTATGGTAGCCATTGTTGATCTCCTATTGTCCTGAAGTCCTGTATCACTTTCATTATTTTGTTCTGATTGATTTTATTAGTCTTATGGTATGGGCACCTATTTTAAAGGTAACATGAGGCATTCTGGTAGCCACTGTTGATTTTCTATTATCTTGTTTTGAAGTCGTGCATTGCTCCTATTAGTTTTGCTTGGATTGGCTTTATTCTATTTTGTTTTGTTCTCTTCAAAATAAATTTTAAAAAAGTTTAACAACTATGTTTTTATTTACAGAATGTCACAATTTGTTAACTTTTAAAAAAACTGTATTTTTACACTGCTTATCTTCACTTTACACTAAAATAAGATTTTAAAAATCTACGATAAGGGGTGTTTTAAAAGCCATCACCAGAACTAAACAGGCTGGTGTGAGCTCCACGGTCACTGGTGCTCACTGGGTCAAGGCCTAGAGCGTGCACCAAATCATGGGCCGAGAACCACTTCCAGAAACTGCTTCTGTAGTCAACCGTTCATTTAAAAATGTATGTTCTCAGCTCCTACTTTGTGCCAGATTTGAGGGTTAGATCTATGAATAAGGAAATATGGTCCCAGTCCAAACAGGCTAGGGAAGACTCTGTGCCCTGGGCCATGAAAGGCTCCTGGGGAGAGCTGGACAGCAGAGGAAGGCCTCGGCCTAGCGGGAAAGGAGCACGCTCTGGACTCTTGGTTTCTGCTGGTTTGGGGTGCTACCCACAGGAGCCAGAAACCAGAGGAGAGCACGGAGAAGGCAGCTGTGATGGGGCCACTGGATGAATTCCAGCAAGTGACCTGGTGAAGAACAACTCTGTAAGGACATCCTGGGAGCAAGGGAACATCAAAGACAGAACATAAACCTGTTTTCTGTGGGTTAAAGTATAGGGAAAAGTCTGTAGTGAACTGGGAAAGAAGTAAGTCATTGACACAGTCTTAAATTCTTTGCTTAGCACATGACAACTGCTATGATTTCCTGAGATACCCTGTCAGTTAACGTATTTTCTAACAATATCAATTTCCTTCTGAAGGATACCGCAGTGTTCTGTGAAAACTGAACTATGGAAAAGCTGACTTTTGAATTAAAGCAATTCTTAACCATAATTCTGGAGACGGAGGATTTTTTGGCCAAGCCAAATAAAGTTAAGGAGAAAGACCCCAAACTCATAAAAGTGCAGAGAGAATGAGATGCTAGTGTGGCTCCTAACTTTTGTTTTGCTTTCTAAACGCCAAGCCCTGTGGAGATGAGGGTTTTCCTGTGTTCCATCAAGTTCTTCTGATGCCTTTCTTGGTCCAGCTTCTGCCTGGGACAGTGTGCCTCACTGATGGGGACAGTCATGTGCAGCTAACTTTTTCCTAAACCACATGTGAACCTGAACTTGAGTTAAGACCTGCTTCTTCCTTGTCACTTCTGGATTCATGATAAGCCAGCACTGTGAGGGTGTATCTTTTGTTTTGGATTGGTTCTTTGGGACACTGCCACCAATACCTGTTCTTAAGGTATGACTGACACACATAAGAACTTGTACTTATTCAATGGACACATCTTGCAGAGTTTGGGGATAAGCATACAGCTGTGAAACCATGTAAAATCATAGTCAGAACATTTAAAAACATGTTTCATAAGTCTGAGGCAAGTATCCTTACTTATTACCTAGAGGATAGACTTCAATTTACACGGTACTCATGAATGAAGTTGAACATTTTTCCATCTATGTATCAGATCAATATTTCTTCTTTTGTGATTTGTTCCTGGTTACCTTTTCACAGAGGCCATTTGACACTCTGGCTACCACAGAATACATCCTTTCTAGGTACTTCTTTCCCATGCTGCTTAACAAAAGTGGATGGTAGTACTTTTAGGGCACTGCTACCATGATTCTCATTAAGCACGTAATCAAGCCCAAGGGGATTCAAAGTCATTTTTACTAACAAATAGCTGGAGTAGTCAAAATAGCTTAGCATGCTGTTAACAGCTGTGGTCACTAATGAAAGGGAAGCAGTAAAACATAATAAAAAGGATCTCAATTAACCATTTCCATTTATATTTATTACTTCAATGTCCTGATACTTATGCCTTCCTGGGGGCAATGAGCTGGCAGCCATGCTCGGTGGTCCAAAGTCAACAAAAATAGGTGATAGCCACAAGAGCAGCTCAGGGAGGATTGGCAATTTATTGCTCCAGCATCTACAAGCCTTATTTCCACATTAAACAAAACAGCCCAGCTGACTCGGTCACTTCCCCCACCCAGTCATATGTGGAATATCTTCACAATTTCTGATGATGATGGGTTTGCAAGAACACTTTCCAGCACACTGCTAATACTACCTGCCTAAAATGCGTTGTTAGCAAATTTCTTTCTGGTTAGATTGAAGAGAAAATTGTGTCTCCCATTATACTTGCCTTTATTACATATTAAAAACCTATATAATGTATAATTGATAATTACCCTCCTTGTCTTGGCTGCTAGAAGTTTGTAGTTTGTAGGGTAATTCTTCCTTTCCTTAGTACTCTGGTTTTGCCTTTCACTGTATCAGTAGATACAGCAAGCTACCTCAAAAACTTTTTTGAGACGTGCTGAAGTTTGATTAGGATTTATTTGCTAGGGAGCAAAACACTACTTGGCTCACTGTACCCTGAGGCTGGTAGGCAATTTAAAAAACCAGTAATTGGTAATTCTGACTTCGCAAATCTCCTATCTGTTTCTAATTATATCAAGGGAGTAATATATAAATTTCTCAAAAAGAAAAAAAAAACTTTTGAGAGGATTGTCAATTGCACAATTAAAAGAAATAGAAATTCAGAAGCATAAAAGAGAAAATTGAGAAGACAATTTGGGTTGCTAGAGTAGTCAACAGCTGTGATCTATTCTGGGTCAGTTAGGAAGGAGAAGAGAGCAATATAATCATCAAACATAAGATAGATCTTGGAAAAATAGAGGTGAGAAATCTACATGAATAAGATATATAGAACAATGCAGTTCATCCCGCAAATGACAGCAGGTGGTGGTACAAGGATCACGCCTCTTCCTTCTGATTCACAAGTTCTGTCTGCTCCCACACTGTACCCCCAGAGAAGACGAACTACCTGCTTTACTGATGCTAGATGTACTTCCTAGCCTATCCCAGAGCTGCAGGAGCCCACTCCTACCTGTGCAGAGCTGACCAGGTAGTCCCGACACTGGAATACTTACATTAAGCTTGGTCGGTGCCACTGTGTGGTCCGGTTGTTGTGGTTGACATAGTATGTTCGGCCTAAATTGTCCACTTTCTCTTCCCACCCTGGAGGCAGAGGTGGAGGAGGAAGTTCCTCCTGGTGCTGAGAAGCTGAGTCATTGGAGTCAACAACTTCCCACCCATGCTGTGGAATAAAATCAAATGGAAGATTATGAGGGTGATTCTTCAGACGATGGGGGAAAGACAATGACGATGTGTCCTGCATGTCTTTCTGTTCTGTCGTCATGCCCTTCTGGGTTCTTGCAATGGCTTCACATGCCACACTGGATAAGTTCCCAAAAAAGGGAAAACAAACACTTCCAGGCCTTCAATTAATTGTGCCACTTACTAAGGAGGACTACATCAATGGGAAGCTGTGTGGGTTTGGATGTGCAGTTGAAGGAACTTAAGACTCATGTATTCTTTCATATCTCATGTTGTCATTATGATCTGAGAGCCTTCAGGGCTGCAGAAAGCTGGGCCGACAGTGTGGACCACATCACAGCCATCGCTCCCTCAACATCTCATGAGGCGAAGATGCATCATGCGTATGTGTTCTAACAGGGAGCATGGTGTGGGGGAAGGGGACCTCAGAGTTCTGCTGGTGTCCACACAGGATAGAGTGCAGAGCAGACAAAGCCTCCACTCTGTGTCTGCTATGATCCCAGGGGCCAGAAGAAGTCTGGAAGCTCCTGCCACTGCCTGCTTAGGTCCTGCACACAAACAGGCTTCACGGTACCAGGGTTAGAGTTACATTTTACAATGCATACCTTAGGCATTAAGTATTGCTTTTCTAACATCCCCTAGTAAAGTCACTGGAAAATTAAGTAATTCACTGGTTACTGCAGTTGGAAAGCAAGATGACTGTAAAAAATTCCTTGGATTTGACATAAAAATCTGTTGCTGTGCTTTATAAAGTCTCAGCCTCCACAATGGCCTGCCACCCACTTCAGTCCTTGTCACATGGGCAGGGCTGTGAGCCCACAGTGGACACTGTGGAACAACAGCCTCCTGGTTGGAGGGGGTTTGGTAAACTTGCCCACAACACATTATTCACGTATCACATATATGCGACAGCTGCAAACAGATGTGAGAACAGAACAGCCGTAGAAAGGCCTTGTTCAACAGATGCTTTCCAAATGCTTAGAGAATGTGGTTTTTTTTTAAACCGCTATCTCAGCATGTGCTGAGTAGGGTAGAAAGGGAGCCACAATACAGGTATGTGACAAGAAAATTAAGAGGCTGCTGTTCCAGAAGGACAAAAAATTCTTCTGACCAGCTAATTCCAAGGAGGCCTTTCGAGAGTGGGGGCTGTTCTAATGCATGCTATCACCTGTAGAGCAAACAACTCAGAAATGGGAGATTTTCTAAATGGTCATATCCACTCTGAAGCAATTTCAAGTGTTAAATGGCACTTACAAGGAGCTGAAAGTCCAAAGCAGTAACAGCCTCAGGCATACAAGGATAATTTTGTGGATGGTGGGGCTACTGATACGAGAAATTGGAGCATTGTCTAGGGAACACTCTCCCCAGTTGCATCATAAAATGAAAAATTTGACTTTTTTTTACTAAAACAAACACATGGGGAAGACTATCAAAGATACATTCAGTGACACTGTAACTCTTTTCATATTTAACTTTATATACTTTTAACTTCCTTCAATGCAAAGTCTACAGTAGAATACGAGTGAGGTCTCAGCCAGAAACACATGTCCAGGCGCAGGCCTGCAGCCCTTTCACCCACCTCCATGTCGTCTCTCTGTTCACTGTTTTCTTCATCCTGACCTCCGTTTTTTGGCATGTAGGCCATTTTCAACCGCAAAAATCCCTTAACTCGAGATTTATGACTGCATAAAGGAAGAAAATTAGTTATAAAGGGTATGACTTGTGAACATCCTTCCTTTTTATGGCAACTGATGAAACTGTCCTCAGAAAAACCAATCCCTGAAATTCACAGGATGCCTCCCCTATGTGTCCACCCTCTCATGTCTCACCTTCTTGGTCGAAGGAGAAAGTCCTTAAATGTATAAGGTCGCTCCATGGTTGGATCTTCTGTCTGTGGCAAGAAAAAGTAAATCAGGTCTCAATATTCCTGACAATTTTGTACTGTAGGAACAACAAACCAGATCATACGGGACATCTCTACATTTCAGAAGACGGCAAGGAGCTGGCTCTTCCATTGTTCCAGATGATTAATTAAACATCTGACAGGCGATGGGGCTTTGTCTACCTAAGATCCACTAGATGTCACTGTCTACATCGGGTTTTAGGAGTCAACCCCAGCCATAGACAAATGACAAAATTATAGTTGTCACTGCCAACTGTAATTTTGTAACTGCAGGGTGCAGCCTCAATCTCACAAAACCGATTAGCTTTGCAGATCCAGGGGCCACGGCTGCCTTCTTATCCTTGTGACTTCAGAGGTCTAAAAGAGGAGTCAACAGAACTCCCAAGATCTAGTTTATTTCTCACATTAAAATATCATGTCAACCTAAATAAAATAACAGGTACCTGCTGTACAGAGATTGTCTAGGAAGTACTACAAACTACCTTCCACTGGAGCTTATCTTGTGAAACTCTGTGTGGATACTAGGATATTTATTCATATAAATCAGTCAGTATTCATCTTACTGTGCAAAGCTGGATGGCCCAACAATGCAAGAAGCTAGAAATATAAGTGCTTTTATTATTTTTTAAGTATTATACATAGTACAACTTCAAATACCTAGAGTCTTTAAATGAAGGCCACATAAAGTACTTAACTTTTGTAGCAAAAGACAGATCATAGTACGAGTTACCGTGTCACTTATATTTGAATGTTATCTTCTTTATGTTATTTCTTGCTTTTACCTTCCACTGACTTCCTTCTCTTCTTAGAACAAAATGAAAGTTCCTTCCTTAATCTACAAAGTATATGACCTGGCTTTTCATTACCTGTAACCTCACTGTGAACTGGTCTCCCTCACACTCTCCAGAATACCCTTGTTATTCTGGCCTTTCTGCCTGGTATGCAAATCACATCTAATCCTGCTGTAGACTCCCATACTGGCAGATCCCTTTGCTGACAGCTGACTATAGATAGCAAGGCTATCTCTACTTTGCATCTCGCCGCAGAGTTCCCATACTAAGCGGTCACCATGAGCCTACACTCACCACTCAAGTATATCCCTGTTCTTTATCTTCTTTTATCTCTGTCTGAGATTGTCGTATTCATTTACTTATTTACTAGTTTATCATCCATCAGTTTTAGTGTGTAAGCCTGTGAGATCAGAGACTTGAATTTACTCATACTGTTTTGCTGTTGCTAAGAAGATTGCCTGGTGTTAAGTAACACATAGATAAATAGTTGGTACATTCATTTGATTTACAGACATTAACAAGGTCCTGAAAACATAGCATCATTGAAAAAATTCTATTATATTCTCTGGACTTATTTACTAAGGTAATAAGTCAAACTTAGATATTTGGGAATATTTGCTATTTAAAAAGTTTCCAAATATACAACATGTATAATGGAAATTTTATAATTAAGGATACTATTTCTAGTATCTCCTCCTTTTTATTTACTTGAGAAAAAAATAATTTTAGAGCAACACTGCAGAGACAGCACTTACTTTAGTGTTACAACTATATGGGAGGGTATCAATAATTCACTAGGCTCTACATTGCATGGAAGGAAAAGACTAATTTTAATTTAAGGACCAAGATGGTTTGGGGTGAGTGGTACAATCCTAGAAGAATGGGAAGATAAAGGAAGACAGGGAACTAGGAGAAAGGGCAGTGCCAGGTCAGGAAACAAAAAGAGCTCAGGCAAAGCATACAGAATCACTAGCCAGCACGTGGGACATGGGAGCAGCAGGGCGTGCAAGAGAAGAGCACAGAGCTCAGAAGGCTCTGCGAGCGAACCAACACCATACATCAAGAGGCAGATCCTCCAAGTCTGTCCCTTGGCTTTCTCACTTACAGAGCCATACACTCCAGGGCAAGGTCTTTAAATCTTTTTTTCTTTGCTCCAAGGTCTTCATGTATAATGTGTGTGTGTGTGTGTGTGTGTGTGTGTGTGTGTGTGTGTATGTGCTGGAGACTGAACTCAGGGCCTTGTGCATGGTAGGTAAGTGTTCTACGATGCAGCTGGATTTTATAGGGTTGTTGTGAGGACAAACCAATCATATGGTCCTCACAAGGGTGCCTGACACTTAACACATATGGTCATTTTCATCACTGGTCAGTTCTACATTTTTGTATCATGTGAGAATTACCAGCTCAGTGTCATACAACAAAAGGCAAGGAGCTGGAAATCTCCAGCCAGACAAGATGATGATCTTGTTGATAACTATTCTTGGTATTTATTCAGGTTCAAAACTGATCATGTTCCCTGGAGAAAAGCCAAGTGGAGATTCCCAGGATGGCACTGGAGATATTCCTGGTGGTAGGTATTACAAACAGACAGATACGAATTCAAAAGAAACTCTTAGATTCATAGTGCGGTCACCTGAAGGAGAGTGGCTGCTCCCACAGATGCACAGTTGTTTAACACTAACTGAGAGAAATAATTTTGCAGGCAAATGAAGAGAGAAGGCCTTGCTCGATCCCCAGAAGCTCCCAAGCTTCAGGCTACTCCTGCTTCTTGTGCCCTTAACTGCCTCAGTGCACACCGATACAGGGGAAATGAGGGTGGGCCTGGCCCTGCCGCCAATCTGCAGAGACACTGGACAAATCAGGTACTTTGCTGGGCTGAGGTTTCCTTACCTGGAAAATACTCTGAGAAATGGATAAATGCCTTTAAATCCTAGCAAGCTCCATGATACTGATTCTGCACACAGGAAGAGACTACTGTTCTGCCACCAGCCATAAACATAAGCAGGATGGAAGAATGTCAACCACTGAGGTAAAGTTTAAGTATAGTTAGACATCACCTTAATAATCCTTCGCTCTAGGAAAACTAAAATTCCAAAGTTAGCCATGACTGCTGGAAGTAGCATTTAACTGAGATGGGAAACATAAACATTTTAAAAATGTTAAGCTCTACCTGCCACAGATGCAGAAATTTCATGGTGGGAAGAGGCAGTGCTGGGAACTCTACAGGAAGGGCAGGTACAAAAGACTAAAAAAGCCAAGAAAAAGTCTAGAGGTGCAACAGGCAAATACCTGTCAGAATTTCATTCTGTTGTTACGAGTATCTTGTAGTTATTTTTATTGCAAAATAATTAGGTAAGAATTATCAAATATTATATGAATATTAGGCAATAATCCACTGAGTTTAGCAAGCAGACACGCAGATGGTAGTTTACAATGACCAATGGTCACACTCAGCTACAGCTGACGTTGCTTCTGGTGCTGGTGGAGAAGACAGGGGTCATGTCTAAGCTGCAGCACAGGCGCAGGTTGGCAGTGGAACAGGACCTTCCTCAGTTACAGCCTCCCATCCCCTCCGCATGGCTCTCTCTGGTGCTTTGCTGCCAGCATCTCCTAGGTAACATATAAGTCATCACAGCCGTGCAGTCTATGATCAGGGAACACTGCAATAGCTCTGATGCTCTATTGCAGAGCCGGATGGAAAGCTGGTCTTGTCTACACAAGTACCCTCATATTACAGGAAAATAGAGGCCCATACAGGAATACTAACTTGGTTAAGGTTACTTGGGCAACTCCTATTTCCCATATAGATGCCAACAATGTCTGACAGATTCCTATTTTTTTAAGTCCAACCTTTGGAGACTTCTTAAGAGTATGGATTTGTGTTCCCTTAATTCCCTGATCTGCAGAAAAGGTCTGGCTACTATCCCTCTTTCCTTCACTCCTCTCTTCGAAGTGCAATAAAACAGAAGTGAAGTATTAAAGATAAGCAAACTCCCAGAATAGGAGCAAAGGAAACAGAGGTCCCTACTGTTCTAGACCACTTGAATCTAATTTCCTATCCATCTTTTCCACAAACAAAACATGGCCAAGAATGAAAGTGAATCATAATTCTAAAATTATTTTCCTTCTTTTGGAAGCATCTGATAAGCTTGAAGCACCGAGGAACCTAGGATGGTCAGAGAGGGAAAAAGTTAATTTGTTCTCATTATCACTCCCTCCCTTCCTGCTCAGGGATAACGACACTGGCCACTGCAGCGGGTAACTGAGGCATTCTCCAGCACACAGAGCGCCAGCTTCAATGACCCTCCCTGCCCCCCTCCATTCCCAGCTGCTGCCTCCTTGTCACCCTGGCAGAGCGCCAACTTGGACTTGCACATAATGGCCTCCAAGGCCTGGCACAGCATTTGATTAATCCAGGTGCCTAACTCTTGGCAGAGAGTGGACAGCAGAGGAGTTTGTACGAGCCAGCTTCACGGCACCGGAATGCTAGTGCTGACACGAGTCTCTCCACACCCAGGGTTGTACAGCTCAGCGAGCTCTCTTGCAGCAGGGGCGTGCTGACCCTCTAGTCAGCCTGGGGCTTCTCTGGGTCAGACAATTTATGGCTCCATATGGAAATATCCTAGAAGAGTAGAGTCTAAGAATCTGAAAGCCAGGATTTATATTGCAAACACCAATATCCATTGGCAACTGCAGCAACAGGCCTTTGGAATCTCGATGAGGAAAAGTTCTTCAGCAGATGTCAGCTAGGAGGGCAATGGTTTTTCTTTTTCAGAACTTCACACACAAAATACACAACAAAGGATGTTTAAATTCTTAAAAACAATTTCCTAAAATCATGAGTGCACACTAAGTTTCTTTCTGCTGTCTTGACTTTTATCCATCAAGTTTCTCATTTAGGTAAGAGCTTCTTCATTCAACACTGGCAATGTATAGACCAGAAGCAAGACAGCCAGTGGTTTTGCTATAATGAATAAAGGTTTGTGTAATACTTTTGGCAACAAGACAATGTCTCATTCCTATTTTGAGATTTCTTAAAGTAGACAAGTGACTATCTATGTTAATATGGAAGAATGGGCAATTGGGTATTTTTCAACTAGGTATTTGGAAAACACACAAAAAATAATTTTGTTATGCTTTGTGTCTAGATGTCCCCCCTCTCTGCTCCAAAGCCTTATGTAGTCATGGGGGCGGGGGCAGGCTTTTCTGAGGTGACTGTTCCTGGAGTTTGAGATTGATTCATGGTCCAGTGCTGGGATTATGGGCGTGATGGCTATACCCACCCTAGGGCGTGTGTGTAGCCTGCATACAATATAAGGGACAGAAAAAGGCTTGTTCTTGCCCTTGCTTGCTTGCTTGCTTGTGCTGTTTTCTACAGCCATGAATTATTGCCCCTCTGCCATGTACCACCTGGCCTTGCAGCCAGGTGACTGTGGAGTGAAACCTCTACAAACTGTGAGCTAAACAAACCTTTCCTCCCTTAACTTTGGGTATTGGGTACTTTGTCTCCTCAACAAGAGAAAAGTAATCAAGACATTCTTTTTATTTTTGTTTCAAAATTTGAGACCTTTTCTTATCTAAATTAAATATTTTTAGTATGTTGCATGCATAGAATGAGAAACAGCCCTAGATAAACACCAGGAGAGGAAAAAGGAATGAAAATATACCAACGAACACAGGTGGGTTGGGGAACTGTCTCACCTACCATTTTCCACAATAGTCAGAATTATTATCTGAGGACAAAAGAAATGCACTTTCTTTTTTTTTTTTTGGTCAGTACTGGGGATTGAACCCGGGGCCACTGTACTATGTGCTAAATCCCCAGTCCTTTTAATTTTGAGATACGGTTTTGCTAAATTTCTAAGTTGCCCAGAAGGCGGGCTCTAACTTATGATCCTCTTGCCCCAACTTCTGGAGTTCAGGATTAGATGTGGGCATCACTCTACCCATCTAGAATCATATATTTCTCAGCTAAGGGTACTCTGGTTTGCTTTTCACACAGGTTGTGTAGCCCCATGTGACTTAAATTTAAATTTTACTTAAAATGAATAGAATGATAAACTCAGCTCCTCTATCACATTAACCACATTTCAGATGCTCAGGTGCCACCTGGCTGCGGCATCTGGCCATGTGAGGGAGGGACTTGCCCTGCTGATCCATCCTCAAATACCAGAATCCTCCCCATCAAAAAGTATGTCCTGAAGGAATAGATAGCCCCAGATGATGGGGCTATATAAAAACATAACCATATCCCCAATCCGATCCCTATATTCTTAAAAAGGCAGAGGTGGGCTACAGAGGCAAAATTACCACTATATTTCTGCCCTCTTCCTTGCTAATGAGACAGCTGGGGCACTATTTTCACCTTGCTAATTTTTTTATTTGAAGTTTGATCATTCTGACCAATACTGAATCTATGGGCCATATATAACCTAACAATGGTTGTTACGCTATCATGAAATGAACATCCATTATTCATTCTATGAAGCATTCAAATGCTTCCATTGACTTCAGTCTCACATTTGTGTATGATCACACAAAATAAATGACACATAAAATAAATGCAATTTCCCTACAAGTGTCCTACACATTCGATCAAATATGCACACCATAGCATCTCAAATTCTGGGACCAAAGGCCATGCCCATTCAGAACATGCTATTTGGGTTCTACCATCACATAAATTATAAAGTATATACCTTCATCCATTCTTTTTGCCTTGTGTTCCATCTCCCACAATGTAGCTAGTTCAACAAACTAGTCAGTTTGAAGTACATGGATTATAGTGTACCAATGGAAACTACTGTTTGGAAGCATCTACCATTTCAATGATTTGCTTCATATTTGAGAAATTAGCCCTCTCCAGGTGGTCTCTGTTCCATTTCTTTAATCTGCTGGTTTCAATTCTAACCCTGAGCCTCATTGTTCTTCTTTGAAAGTGCAAAACTGCCTCCAGCCAAAATCAAAGGTGAATTATTCCTGCTACCGACGTGATTTCTCCTTGAATTCTCTGAATGCCATGCCCAGTCTTTCAAAACCAATCATTACTAAACTCCAACAAGGACTTATTAGAGCAAGCTGGTAAAATTTGCACTTATTTTTCTTAGAAAGGATTAATAAATAATCTCCCCTGGCCAAGATGTGGTTTAGGGAAAAGGTTTGCTGGGGGTAGCCACAAAAAACTGGCCAACCAAGATCTGGAGAGCATAAATAGAAGAACTACTGGTATGCGAAGACATGAAGAGTCTTCCTCACAGATACTGAGACACTCACATGCTCTCAATGGGCCCTGAGAAAGCCCAACTGGATTTCTGACAACTTTTAAAATCAGTCTTATGCAGAGGTGCCATGCAGGCATACACATATGATATACACATAAAGATCTTCTCAAAGGATCTTTAAGATTCAGGATTTTATCCAAAACGAAATAGTTTAATGCTATCACTTATCCTCAAAGCTTGGTTGGCAAGACGTGGTCTCAGTATGTAACATACTGAAACAGCCACAGTTTACAGGAGGAAGGCTGCACGAGGTGGTATAAGATATTTTAGTTTATGGACTATTTATGTTTCACACCCACACAAAGCATTTAAAAAACACAATGCCCTTGTAAGGTAGAAATATTTGACTCTCCTCTCTCAGCTACTACTTCTGCTATGAGCATTTGTGCTGCCCAGGGGAAGAAAGCCAAGAGGGGAGATGGAGCAATCTAGAAAACTGAAGTTGCAATATGAGATATATCTACCTCCACCAAGGGCTCCAGGTCTTATCCCCACATCCTCAGGTTACAGGTGACAACCACTCAGCAGTTCTAGTCAACAGCTTTAGTTGTTTCGCTCATTTAAGCAGACATGAATTGAACAGATCAATGAACGTGAATAATGTCTTGAGAAAGCTACAGACCCAAATGTGGGAAACACCAGCATAGTATGCATGATAAGCAAGCATGTGCACTTCTAGACAAAGAGAACCAGGAATCAACTAGACTCAGAGGATGAATTTGGGAGCAAAAAACATCTATAGGCAAGGAGAAGGGCTTGACAGAGGACAGGGTCATTCTGTAATGTGTGACAGGACCAAAGGCAGCGAGGTTATAGGACCGAAGGTGGGAGCTAGGGATGCTGGCTGCACAAGGACACCCTACATGAGCGACCAATCTTGAGCAAGCAGCAAGGGCCTCAGCACATGCCCCTCATTCAGCCTCTTCATCAGGCCGAGAGAATGCTACTCTGCAAAAATACCAGCTGGAAACAGTAAGGAACTACTCCTCTTGGTGTGCAACACAAAGCATGTAACTGTCCTTACCGGAAGATGACTAAGGGGCACGTCCACCTGACCCAGGAAGTCGTCTCGTGTCTGTAAAAAAGACAGCAAAGAGTTAATGTTGTCATCTGTTCACAGAGGTCCAACACCTGCCACTAGATGCAGTGGGGGAAGGTTGAAGGCAGAGGGCCAAGATGAAGCCCAGAGAGTCATCCCCAGGAGACCTGGGAGCTGGAGAGCTTGTGCATAGGACCTTAGCTGGCTGACTCTGGTTAACGCCTATTGCAAACAGAGTGGTAAGGAACCATGCTTTAGGGCTGGGAGCGTGTGGTTAGTCAGGCAGGACTTGTGAGGTTACAGAGGTTTTAGGGGTAGAGCTGGGCCCAGTTTAAAAAGAAGATAAGGAGTGTGGAAGAAGGGCAGCAAAAGGGGATGAAAACGTTATTTTAAGATGTGTTAGACACATGTACCAACTTCCCGTAAGAAATGAAAAGATTATATGCTACACAACTGTATTAATAAGCTAAAATTAAAAACAACAATAAAAATGAAGAAAATATATGAGGAACGTTTTAAACAGGAATTTATCATGTTACAAACCAACAGCTTCCTGATAGCTGAGAATCTAGGAAAAGAGTATAGAGCTGAGCCACTAACAGATCTTGTAAACTGCACATGATAAAAATAAAAGCCTTTCCACCCAGCAAGTTCACTGTTTGCTTTGATACAATTTTAAGTAAGTTTTGGACATGCTATGCCCTTCCTCTCTGCATCCGTGTGCTCCTGGCTGACTCGTAAGATGCCATCTGGGCCCCTCTGGGACTCTGGGTCTCATTTGAGAAGCCCTAACTCAGATTCAGGAGTCCCACAGACATGCTGACGCCGTGTCCTGTGGTTACTGTGCTCATGGGCAAGCCTTGGGTGTTCAGATAAGCTGAGTTACAAGTGGACCAGTACATGCAAGCTGCTCTGACACTCCAAATGCATAAATGCTTGAAAGTCCTTTACATGTAATCCAACTTAGCCCACAGCTAGCTGAAGAGCAGCCAAAGAGTCTACATCCCATCACTTCAAATCCTAGGATCCTACTTTCACTCCGCGGCTTCACTGAGAAATATGCTGATTTATAGAAGCTATTTTTCAACTTTTTCTTCTTCCATTTAGAGAAGCAGCAGGTTAAATACAAATGAAATTTATTGAAATGGTTTTCTCTAGCCTTAGGTATTTCCTTTTAGATAGTTTAAAAATCTGATACCTAGAAAGCCATCTATCCCCTCTAAATGATGCATGAAGGATAATGACAAGGTAAAGCACTGGGCGGGTGTGCATGCCCCTTGCGAAGATTTCCAGTTCTTACGTTTTCTCAGCTCTATCTGCCACAGCCTAATGTAGGAAGCATGTAAGGAAAGTGTCACCAAGCTCTGAGTGTCCTACAGGAAGCAGCAGTCATCAGAAGGCCTGAAAATGATGACGGTGTTGCTGCCCAGCCCAGACGTATGCCCGCCGCCCAGTGACTCACATGGATGACAAGAGGAGTTAGGGAGCCTCATCATTTGTCCTCTATTTGGCTGACTTCATAGTCATTCTACTTGAAAAACTGTAAACTTGTAAAACATGGTTAGTATATTTCTGGAGTATATAATGATTACACTCCTGGGGAGGAACTGGTACGTATCCATGCTATCTTAATTCTTTTCACTTCCCCTCTCCCCATCTGTTAGTCCTCTTTGCACTTGCAAAAGAGCTACCTCCCCGCTTCCTACTTGCTTTATAATGTCAGTTAACTGTGTCATCCAAAAAGGAGTGGAAACTGATTGCAAGCTAGCCCTGAACTTGTGTCTAACTAATGGGAGCAGACTGGCACTGCCGCTTGGCCCCTTCCCATGTTTATCTCATCTCCTGCTACCACTAATTCCATGCGGGAGAAGAACACAGAATGTGATCATCCGGAGACACTATTATTCGAAGTTCTAGTTCACAACCTGGTATCTACACAAAGCTATGCATGACTCACGACACAAAATGCATTTTCTTAAAATTTAACAAACATCTATGTGCCCATATGGTTTTGTGAGGAAGAGAGCAGAGTTCCAAACTGACAAAATAGTTAAACTTTGTTTGGATATGCAAAGGCAGGTGCCCCCAAAATGCCAATTATGGCAGTATACTTCATGGCACTCGTCCTCTTTTGGCTCGGTGCCGAAGCTCTGTCCTTGCAGCAGCCACAAGAGGCAGCCACAACTACTGTGCCCATTTTACTGATAGGACACATCTGTGCAAATGGCAGGAAAACAGGGAATGCACCAGGCTCTTGCTTGGATGCTGGCTGTCAATGAGGGAGATGAGCAGAGACTCTAATGATAGCGCAGATATTCTAATGAGCTTCAGGGGTTCTGTTCAAGCGTTTGCTGGGTCTGTCATCTTCCACACTACATCTGACTGCACCTGCTCCATTCCTCAAAGCAAGCAGTTTACTGAATTCCCCGAGGCACGGTAAAGCTGTGAACCTGATGCTACCTTATCAATTTCCTCATCACACTGAAAAGACAACTTCTAAACAACTTCACCCTTAAAGGAAGCTAAGGCTCTTACTGGCTTGTCTCAAGGGAAATACAAATAAAATTAGTTTTTAAATAAAACAGAGATAAAGCCCAAATCAGCACATGATCTGAGAGAAAGGGCTTAAATCAATCTTATGTCACCGGACAATGTGTTTGGGTGAGAGACCTAGATTTTAAAATGTCCATTGCTGCCCAAACTATAGAAAGTACAGGCAATACAGTATTTAAGTTAAAATCACTATTCCAGTTTTTTACAAATGTCTTCAGTTGAAGAAGAGATATACAGGGGATAAGAAGCTCTTGGAGACCTTTATACATAGGAGGCACAGGAAGGGAACACCTCCCATACCTGTATGCAGAATCCTGCCTGGGGCCCTGCAAAGAGTCTCTGAGGTCATCACAACTTTTTTAGGACCTCACTGCCACAGTATTGACATTTATAACATAAATAGTACATAGATACATTAGTTGAATTAATTTTCATTTCTCTATATTAGGAAATTATTTCCATCAAGCCTCATGTTAACTAAAAAACCTAAATTAATTGCAACACATATAATGAATATGGTCATTCTTTGTGTTTTTTTTTTTTTTTTTAATGGAAAAGGGCTATGAATTCCAGCTTCTTAATTGTTCTACCGGTCTCTAGGGTGAAAGCATGCAGGTTTGTAATCAAACTTCTGAGGGGCCATCAAATACTTATTCAAAGACAACATGCAATGGAGCCCCAGAAATGTCGCACAAGGTGAAATAGAAACCCATATTTCATTACTGAAAAAGTGAAATATATACGTAAATCAAATACTATCTCTCTTAGAAACTGCTCACTAAATACTGACTTTCAGGGCCACCCTTTGCTCCTTTTTAACAAAATGATACTTAAATGAGAAAGACAGGAGGTAATGTTATACATGTTCATGCACAGATATGCTGTTACTGCTCCAGTGAGACCCCATCTAGTAGCTCCTGGATATTCCCTCCGAGTCTGCAGTGGTCAGAGAAGCCAGCACCAGAGTGGACGCCAGATTGAGTCACCCTCACAAAACAAGTGAGATTTGCTCACTTATTACCACTTATTATTGCTCAGAGGATCACACAGACTCTTGATCTCTGGGAAGGAGTTGCAATTAAGGTTGGGACCCGAATTACTGCTCACCATGACCCCACCACCTCGAGCCTTTCCACACTGACAGTGGCAACAGCAAAGCTGTGCACACCGTGAGCCTCTTGTCAAATCAGAGCCAGGGCAGGGAACTGGGAGTGCAGGAAAGAACACGAAGCCAAGGAGGACGCCCAAGGGTCACACTGGGGCCATAAAGTGAACAGGTGCGCAGCCAATGTCTTATTGCTGAGACAAAACACCTGACAATTGTAACTGAAAAGAGGAGAGGTTTATTTTGGCTCATGGCTTTAGAAGTTTCAGCCCAGAAATGGGTGGCTCCAAAGAAGCAAACAGCATGGCATGGGGTATGGCAGAGGAAAAGCTATTCTTCTCTCATGGCTGCCAAGAAGTAGAGGGTTAGGGGAGAAAATAAGGCAGATACACCTGTTTCAGGTCACACCCTCAGTGACCCACCACTTCCAACCAGAACCCCCTCCTAATACAAGCATCTATTATGTCCCATGATCTGATCACCTCCTGAGCACATGAGGCTTTTGGGCCATTTTAGATCTAATGCATAAAAACAGGCAAAGGACAGTAAAAAGTATCAAGAGGAACTGGTGATTCTCAGAAAGGCTATGTACCGAGGCAGTACTCTATAAGCTGTGAGTTTCATCCTCACAAAGATTTATAAGCAGCATTTTTATGTTCCCTGGTGCTGGGGATTGAACCCAGGGCCAGGTAAGCATTCCACAATTGAGCCACACTACCAATCTTCCCTCCATTTTAAAATGAAGTATAACTAATCAGAAAATACCAGTGCTTCAGATGGAATACAAGCAATTTTGTTTTAAGGAATTTTTAGATACATAAATATATACATATGTGTACTAAGTTGGGGTATATGATTAATTTCTGTCTATGTGCCACCACCAAAGGAATCTGAGAGACACTCCACTACAGCAAATGAAAAATCCTGCTATCCCAGCAATCTGGGAGGATGAGGCAGGAGTACTACTCCAAGTCTAGGCCCCACTTGAGCAATGAGAACCTGTTTCAAAATAAAACTTTTTTAAAAACAGGGGTGGGCATATAGCTCAGTGCTAGGGCCCTGGGTTCACTTCTCAGTACAATGAATACGTACCTGTCCTCCTCCAAACAACACAAAACAAACTAAACATCCAGAGTCACCTATTGCTTGATAGTTTATCCTGGAAATTACTAAGGAATGATTTCAATAAACACAATTTCTTAAGATAGAAGCGAAGAATAGAGAATGTACAATATAAGCTACAGAATCTGAATTTAAGAGTGAAGACAGAGTATGGCTACATTTATTTGTCATGCATCAACGTAAATGTTAAGCTGTCTCGATCACAAAGGCTCTCCCACTTCAGCACCAAACACAACCTCTGCACCTGTTCCTCCCT